AGTCGGTCAGTCGGTCAGGGCGAAACCTTGGACAAGTTTCCTTACTCCACACACGCGCCTGATAATAATCCCTCAAGAAAAAAAATAATAAATTGGTCACTTTCAGTCCACGACTGTTTGTGGGGACGCCGCTGTGCGCAATTGGCTGCCGCGTTTCGCCCACAAATGTACAGTCAATTCACTTTACAGCATATTATGTGAAGTGCTTTGAGACAACGAGAAGACCTGATAAGCGCTGTATCAAATGCGAGGATTATTATTATTATTATTATGTTCATTCAGAAATTTTCAGGACCCACAGAGGGGAGATCAAAGGTTCTCCAGCAAAACATTTACAAACATTGCCACCTTCAGGTCAGTGGAATGACACACAGAAACACTTTCCAAATCAACTCAAGAGTTTGGGGCAAAACATCCAGCGACTGACCTGAAGGCGGTTACTCTTGTTTCTGCTAAATCTTTGTAGGCTCTGTTTGAAACCATGTGTGGTATCAAGCCTCCGGCATATCTAAACCAAACATCCCAAAGAAATAAACAAAAACAATTAAACATATAAATAATGTGGTCACTCAATACATGACTGTTTGTATGACGCTGCTGTGTGCAATCAGCTGGTGCGTTTCGCCCACAAAATACACAGTCACTACAGTGTATCCCGCGAAGCGCTTTGAGACATCTAAACGGTGGGATAAGGCACTGTATCAAATGCAAGGATTATTATTATTCATGTTGGCGGATTGAATACCTCCCCCTCTCCCCCCCCCACGACTCAATTGAACCTCTCAACATTTCCCAATGGAACAACAGCATTTACATAGCGGCCCTAACCCAGGGTAGGGGTCCCAGAGAGCTTAAAGCTCCTCAACACGTCCCAACAGGAACCCCCTCCCTCTCACCTGCCTCCCCCCCCACCCCCACACACACACAGTGTGGCCCATTGGCAGCCACTCCAATTCCCACCTGAACAAAATCCCCTTCCGTCATGTTTTAACGCCTCCCAAACCCAAGGTGTGTTTCACAAGCTCACCCACTGGGTGTTGAGGAACGAAGAAATCTGATTAGGAGCTTTGTTAGCGAAGTCATAAATAGATAAGAGAGCCACGTGTGTTCTCCCCCCCACACTCCCCCCACACACTACTCACCTATCGGCTGTAATCAAGCGCGGGATGTGATTTCTCAACCACCTGAAGCTCGCAGTCTCGGCAGCGCAGCCTCTGTGTAGAAGCCAGAGGCTGCCCGGAGGCTGTGCGCTCTGTATCACAAACAGGTTCTGGCAGATTTTCAGCCAAGTTGTTCAAATGCGTTTCCCAAACCTCGTTCACTCGCTCGCTGGTATTCGGTCCATCTCACAAATAATCGTAGAATCATAGAATGGTACGGCACAGAAGGAGGCCATTCGGCCCATCGAGTCTGTGCCGCTCTTTGACAGAGCAACTGACTTTTATTAACCCCACTCACCAGCTTTCTCCCCACAACGCTGCAAACCCGTCTTCCCCCGATACCTGTCCAGTTCTCTCTTAACAGCTGTTATCGAATTGGACTTCACTGCCCTTTCAGGCGGATCATTCCAAATTCTAACAACTCGCTGAGTGAAAACATTTCTTCTAACCTCCTCTCTGCTTCTTTTGGTAGATATCTTAAAGACTGTGACCGCGGGTCACAGACACACCGACCAGCGGAAACAGCTTTCCCTATCTCGCCTGTCGAAACCTTTCATGATCTTGAAGACCTCTATCAGGTTCCCGCGTAACCTTCTCTGCGCTAACGGGAAAAGTCCTAACTTTTCCAGCCTGTCCTCATAGCTAAGGTTCCCCATTCCTGTACCCCAGTAGTGGTCCCAATTGTCCACAAAATGGAAACCTTCTTTTCTGGACCATTTTTCCAGCCAGTCGTTCATACGCCTGATCCTTTCATTATGGTGCCCCGTTGGCTGAGGCACCGGGAGTAACCCAGAGATTGCCACCTTGGAGGTTCTGGCCTTGAGTTTGTTCCCCAACTTTTGATACTCGCCCTGGAGTATCTCAGCCCTCTTCTTCCCAATATCGTGAGTCCCCACATGGACCACGACTTCTGGACATTCTCCTTCCCCCTGAAGAATCTTGTCCACACTGGGTAAAGTCCACCTCCCTCGCACCAGGAAGGCAGCAAACCATCCTCGCCTCACGATTCTTATGACAGAAGATCCTGTCAGCGTCTCGTGCTGTTGAATCCCCCATCAGAACAGTGTTGCCCGTGTGATCCATGGCCCCTATCCTGTTGGACAGAATGTTCGCTGCTTTCCTCACGGGAGGTTTCAACGCTCTCAATTGCTAATGCTGAGTACTGATTTGAGACGGGTACTCTGTTGGGGCTGCTCTGCCTTGCACAAGCCCTCTTCTTTCCCCGTCGCACTGTCACCCAATCACTTTTAGCATGTGGCTGTGTGTTGGGCTCCTCTGGGAGTGGTCCTGTTCCTGAACTCTGACCTCCCGATGGCTCCAGTACCCCTCTCTCATGGTTCCTATACAGTGATGGGCTGCTATCACTGAGTCCTAGGGGAGTGAGGGTCTCCTCCACCATACTGTCCAGGAACCTCTCACTGTCCCTGATGGAGCGCAGTGTTTGCACCTGGGCTTCCAGCTCAGCTACTCTCAGCTGAAGTTCCCTGATTTCCAGACACTTGTGGCAGATGAAGTCGCCCGGACTTAAGGCGCCCTCCGTCGACTCCCACATGTGACAGACCTCGCAGTTTACCTGCCACACCATCTTCACAATCTTTATTTAGATACAAAGATATATAGCCTGCCCCCACTTCCCCTCTGCACCTAATTCCCACTCTCACCAAATTCCTTCACACTCTGGCCTCGCCTCACTCGCTCCCTATAAAGTTACCCCACAAGACCAATGTACCAATGGTATCAGCAATTTTGACTAACACAAGACTTAACACAACTACAACAACTACTACAAGACTTGAATAATAACAACAACAAATTGGGTTATGTACTCACGATAGCAGTTCTCCCGACACTCACAGCAGCAATTCCCATTCTCAACAAATTCCCTCACACTCTGGCCTCGCCTCACTCCGGGCGTAGCTCACTCTGCGCTCTCGCAGCTATCTCCTATTTATACTTTCTGGGTGCAACCCCTTTCTGATTTGCTCAGCAGTGATTTGGAATTAACACCTAATCAAGTGATTAATCAACAAGTTAAGTTAATCAATAAGTTACTTGTTGTTGTCGAGGCCTAATTGGCTACAGCTGCTCCCTGTAAAGTTACCCCCAAGACCAATGCACCAATGGTATCAGCAATTTTAACTAACACAAGACTTAAAACAACTACAACAACTACTACAAGTCTTGAATAATAACAACAACAAATTGGGTTATGTACTCACGATAGCAGTTCTCCCGACACTCACAGCAGCAATTCCCATTCTCAACAAATTCCCTCACACTCTGGCCTCGCCTCACTCCGGACGTAGCTCACTCTGGGCTCTCGGCTAATGTAATCTAACGATCCTTGCCTTTGATTAGCGCCTTATCACATTGTTGGGACGTCTCAAAGCACTTCATAGACTATACTGTGAAGTGGAGTGTCTGTATATTTTGTGGGTGAAACATGACTGTTAAGCGCCCGGCGGCACTGCCCTGTGTGAAGGGTGCTGTGTAAATACAAGTTGTTATTGTGCAGATATAACCCAACCAACACTTGCTTATGGGTTAAACTCAACCATTTTTTGGCTCATGAAATCTTTATTGTTAATTGCTGATAGTACTTTTCTATCCATTAAAGGAACACTTAACAATGCCTCACCCTTTTGCCACACTCCTTTAATACCTCCACTACCAATTATCCACTCAAACCTTCAGTAGAAAGGACCCTTATGATATTCCCAGTCACAGTGACGGAGTGAATATATTTTTATTGGAGCTTCTGATAAAATGCCCTCGATACCAAAACAATTAAATTGGCGTTTTATCTAATAATCCGTGGAAAAACACCAGCAATGTTTTTCTTGCTCGCTGCTTGTGTGTCAACTGTGTATGTGGTGTCTCTGCCTCGCCCTGTCCTGTGTGCTCAGGACAGGAACAAAAGCAAATACGCATTACATTGGGCCAAGTGTGTCAGCCTGGCTCAGTCGCTCGCGCTCTCCTGCCTCTGAGTCAGAAGGTTGTGGGTTCAAACTTCACGTCGGGACTTGAACTCAGTCTAAGCTGAGGCTCCAATACAGCGCTGGGAGGGGGAGTGCAGCATTAGTCAGAGACACCATCCTTCAGATGAGATGTTAAACCTCACTCCCCGTCTGTGCCCTGTTCAGGTGGACGTCAAACATCCTGTGACACTATTCGAAAAGAGAAAGCAGTTCTTCGCTGGGAGCAATTGCGCTGCCGTGTTTGCCTACAAATGCAGTCACCTCGTTCCAGAGTAAATTCCGTGAAGCAACTTTTCGAGATTTGACAAGGCCTATATCAAACGTAAAGATTATTATAATGTATTATGCTTGTTCAGGCGGCTGACACCTATACCTGGGCCAAGGACGGCTCATTACACCACAACGGGTCCCTGAATTGGAAGCACATCACAGGGGGAACGTGCCTCATTAGAACGACATGTAGAGTAATTACCTCTCCTCTTCCCCTCGGTAAACTGAGCTGAGAGCTTTTCAGCAAACAGAAAGGACCAGGTCTCTACTGCTTGGCTACTGACACAGAGTCGAGAGATTTCCTCCCTGCTTCTCTCTGCAAGAGCTCTGTGGTTTTCATTGAATTTGATATAGTGCCTTATTACGCTGTTGAGACATCTCAAAGCGCTTGACAGAATGCACTGTAAAGTGAATTGACTGTGTATTTTGTGAAGCGCTTTGAGACGTCTCAACGACGTGACTATGTCAAATGCGAGGATTATAATAATTTATTATTATTATAATAATTTACAGTGGATTCTGCGATGTGCAATGCAAATCCAATTTATCTTTCTTAAGCACAACCTGTAAAAAAAACAAAGTGCTGTGTGCGTCGCATTGAAGGGACTACTTTATTTACATAATAGATTTACCAGATCTGCTGACACATTTACACTCACTACAGAAAAATATCTCCACGGGCGGCGAGTTTGATATGTATCTCACCATCAGAACAGCATAACAAGACAGACAGACAGATATAGTGCAATTCGATGCTGCTGCGATGATTTGATCCGATCTAGAATTATAAATAGAATGATTGAATCTCTTCTCTAAACAAGTGATTGTTGTGACGGCCAGAAAAAATAAGATACGAGTTAAAAACACAGCTGGAACAGACTGAGAACGTGGAAAGTGCTATTATACAGTACTGGGAGGGAAGTGTGGTCCGTCAGGAGACTGGGTTGTTCAGTAGGGTATCTGGTTCTGGTAATACTGAATCATGTCGTACGTCTTACTCCTGAAAAAGGCATGAAAAGGTTAAAATGTTTCACCCACATTTCACCTGCCAGTCCCCTCCCTCCCTCCCTCCCCTCAGTTCCTGTTACCCCTGCAGCCAAAGCCATAACGGGGAGGGTGGTCCTAGCTGGACAAGCAGTGGGAAAGCTTGGCCAGACAGCGCTCACAATGGCCAGCTTTTGCCCACAAAATTTGTTTGCTTTACAGTATATTCTGCGGGGGAAAGAGAGAGACAGCTAATGATTATTACATATATAAGGGGGGGGGGAAGGGGTCAGTCAATAAATATAATTAGGATACGAGTCACATACCTGTTGCTTAAGAAGCAGTTCTGAATGACTTTGATGATGAAGTTCGCTGCCTCTCTCTCACTCACGTTCGGGTTGAATCTTTGTCTGAAGCAAAAAAGAGGGATTAAAAAAACAAAATAGGGGGAGAGAGAGAGATAGAGAGAATCATCACAATGTCTGGCCGTTTGTGTTTAGGATTACATCACTTTTAAATCAACGATCATTAGATTTAATGCAGGAATTTAACCTCACAGTAATAATAATAATCGTTCCATTTGATACGGCGCCTTATCTCATCGTTGAGACGTCTCAAAGCGCTTCACAGAATATACTGTAAGTGAATTGGTATTTTGTGGGTGAAACGCGGCAGCCAATTGCACACAGCAGTGTCCCACAAACAAACGTGGATTGAGTGATCAAAGTTTTTTTAAAGGGATTATTACCTTCGGAAAGCGATCTGACAATCGACTAATAACCGGGTTCCGACTTACTGCTGGTAAACAGAGGTGTGTGGAGTGAGGAAACTATTAGATTGCAAAGCACCTGTGTTTGGCCTTACTTGAGCAGTTTGATGGTCTGTCCACGGAAACAAGGCAGCCCGGTGTCCAGCATGAGAGTGACCAGAGAAACAACAGCATCCATATAAGGTCTGCGGTGAAAAAATTGTCCCAAGTCAAACAGACGCCTAACTAAAAGCCGAGCTAATTAACTGAAAGGTTCTTTGGCACGAGTTCACAGCTTTCCTTCCGATTTTTTTTTAATGGGAGCGAGCAACAGCAAGGCTTGCATTTGATACGGTGTCTTTCATGTCAGGAGACGTCCCAAAGCGCTTCGCAGGATACACCGTGAAGTGCAGTGACTGTGTTTGTAGGCAGCTCATTTGCGCACAGCGACGTCTCCTCAGACAGTGACAAAGTTTAAGTTTAATGTTTCATCCGAAGGATGGCACCTCCCACATTACTGGCTCCCCCCAACACTGCACTGGGGCATCAGCCTAGACTGTGTAAGTTCAAGTCCTGGCGTGGGGTGTGGAGGTGGGGGCTTGGGTCATAACCCCCCTCGCCCCACCCCTCCGGCTAGCCGGGGTTTACCTGTCACACACTTCACTGCATTAGTGAGTCATCCTGTTGGCTCACACTACTTCTGTAATTAAGATAAGAACCGAAAGCAAATATTTCAGAGAATATCTGTCAGGTCAGCCCCTACGAATACAAACCAATGGACTTTGGAGCGAGCCAAGGGGAATGGGAGAGGAGTCCTGATGGATTAGCCGTGTTATCTAACAAACCCTCTGATCATGTTCTTTGGACAAGTGTTCCCAAGGGCAATGCTGGCATCCTTCGAGTTATCTTAAACACAGAGGCAGCAGGAAAGAACTGGACATTGTTCCTGCGATTTATCACATCGCAACAACTCAAAGCCTCTCACAGGGAATCGCTGTCAAGTGTAGTGACTGTATTTGTCAGCAAACATGGCAGTAAATTTGCACGCAGAAAGGACCCACAAACAGCCATTAAATGAGGCGACCAATTTAACTGGAGACTTGTTGGCCAGGACACTGGGAGAAAGTAGCTGGTTAGACTCCAGCAGTTACCCCAACGCACACTCTGGGCTCCCCCCAAGCTTTGGCTCTTGCTAACCTGTGCCTAATACTCTTTGGAATTAGGTAAGCAGGATGCCTCCCTCCAGGGAGAGAGAGAGAGAGAGAGAGAGAGAGAGAGAGCGCATTCCGTTCCAACAATCTATCTTTGGGATTTCCAGGCGTAGGTGGGAGGCCTGGAATTCTCAGTTTGGTTTGGAGACTGTTAAGCAACGGTGATGGGCTTCTGTGTGTGTCAGACACCCGGCTGACCACACAAAAAGGGGCCTGAAGGTGTTGGTGTAAGTGAAAGTAAACGTTGCTGTTAGTGGAGATGTCTGACCTGATGGCGAGGTAGCCCCTGACACACATCTCCATGAACCACTTGAAGGGTGTGGCCTCCATCTTGCCGCCCATGATCATAACCATCTCGTCGGTGAGTTTGATGTCAGGCTCCCAGCCCAGGTTACCTCCCGGCGAGCTCTCAAACATGAAGCCGAAATCTGCAGCACACGCGTGGGTCACACGTCAGTCACCAGTCACTGCCTCATCCAACACGGACACACGTGTCGTCATATAGATAGCAGCGCATAAGATCACATGCAATTTTCTATATAATAATAATCCTTACATTTGATACAGTGCCTTTTAACACTGACGTCTCAAAGCGCTTCACAGGATACACTGTAAAGTGAATTGACTGTGTATTTTGTGGGCAAAACACGGCAGCCAATTGCGCACAGCAGAGTCCCACACAAACAGTCGTGGATTGAGTGACCACATTTCTTTTTATTATTATCCCCACATTACCCCCAGAAAATGATCTGCCAATCGACCAACAACCAGGACCCTACTTACTGCTCGGTAAACAGAGGCGTGTCTGGAGTAACGAAACTTGCCTAATGTTTCTCCTCACCGGGAATCAAACCTGGGTCCTCTTACTTGCGAGGCGAGTGCTCTAACCACTACACTACAGGATTCTATGTCTGCTGTCAATAAGTAATAAGGGTTTGAGCTAACAGACCTTGCAGTGGATTAGAACATGGCATTGTTTCCAAGGTTGAAACTGACACAGAGAAAAGGTTTGTGAGGCTCCGGTGTCTTGTAGAGTCTGAGTTACATAGGTTTAGGGAGTTAGTTTGTAGTTCCTACCGGGCATTGTCTTGCAGTTAGTATGTAACATGTAATATATATATATATATATTATATTATAGTATGTAACACAAAAGCTGCTCTTAATATGGGTTTTGTTGGTAACAAGTTGGTAGTTTCACTAGGGAGGTCAGGAGAAGGGCTGGCGGGGAATGTCACACAGTGGGTGAGGGAGTGTATGTATAAAGGAAATCATTATGTTTCATTGAGCCATACCTTATAATAACATTAACAATTTTGCCCACAAAATACACAGTTAATTCACTTTACAGTAGATTCCGTGAAGGACTTGAAGACATCTCAACGATGTGATAAGGCACTGTATAAAATGCAAGGATTATTATTATTATTTTTATTATATTTGTAAAGTTCTCCAGCTTGTGCAGCACTGAGCAGGGAGTGAGGACTGAGCACTGATGGAAACAGAGCTTCTCCTCTGAATGGCAGTGGCTGAGGAGGGCGAGCACTGACCTATGTGGATGAGGTGACCTTTCCGATCCAGCATGATATTCCCGTTGTGTCGGTCTTTGATCTGCAGTAGGAAGAGAATGAGGCTGTAGGCAGCCATGCTGCGGATAAAATTATAGCGGGCCTTTAAAGCAAGAGAGGGAGAGAAACAGTCGTTAATTAAATCTGGAATAAAATTTCTGGAATAAATTTGAGAACTATTCCCAACAACCCTCGACCTAGCTGCAGATTTAGTGTTTTTGTGTAAAATTTGTGAAAAATTCAACCTCACCACCCACCACCCCATCCAACCATCCAACCATCCATCCAGCCAGCCAGCCAGCCAGCCAGCCAAAGCAAAGTCAAGCAATAACATCTCACCTTCTGGAATACCTGAGTTGACTCGTCTCCATACTGGTTCCTGAAGTAATCGTACATCCCAAAGTCTGTCTGTCGTCCCAGCTGATCGCGTGACTTACAGTCGGGGATACACTCGATCACCCCGCACTGCAACACCAAACACTCCGCTCAATATCGCCTTCAGCTAAGTTACAACAACATGTCGACATCTACAGTCCACATGGTTTCCTCAAGCAATAGTCGGAGGATGGGGCTTGTTGGCCAAGACACCAATAGAGAGGGAGAGAAACTCCCTTCTCTCCTTTCCAATGGCGCCATGGGATCCTTAACTCCCACCTGAACAGAGGGTTTAACGTCTCATCCAGGGGACGGCACCTCTGACAATATAGCGCTTCACCCAGCATTGCACTGAAGCATCAGCCTGGACTGTGTGATGGCGAAATGGAAGGCACGAGGGCCAAGCAGGAGGCTGGAGCCAACCAAGCAGAGGCAGCGGGTAGTGGGTTGGGGAGTAAGCAGGTCGGAGAGGTAGGGAGGTACCAGGGTGTGAAGGGATTTGAAGATGATACATTATACCATGTGCACTGCACATTACAAATGGCATCACTCTATCCAATAGTTGGGGAATCAATGCATGAGACTCACCCCTGGTGCTGTAGCCACAACCCTGTAGGGAAATACAAACAGGTCTAAACCCACGAGCTGAAAAATGTTCTTGAACAGACCAATGATCTGTAAAGCCAGCATGTCCTGTGTGTGGGGAGAGAGAGAGAGAGAGAGAAATAGGGAGTTAAAAGCATCAATACAAATTCAATTCTTTTCACCCAGCAAAGATCTTATAAGTGGTTCAGTTAAAATGTGCGCCAACTCTTATTACAATGAACGGCTCGAGTTTGTACAGTAATTAAATCCCTCCGTCCAATTTTTTGTAACAAATCGAATTAAGATTGAAGTGCAGAGAGAGAGAGAGAAAGAGAGAGAAGACAGAGAGAGAGAGAGGAGGGTTAGGCTATAAAGCAACAGTGCCTGTTGGTGTACAGACTCATTACACTTCCCTCGCTCACACTCTCTCTGCCTGGAACAATACAGCAGTCCTCTGATGGGCATTCATGAAGAGGGTAAGGATTCTACCCACACAGAGGGCATTCTAAATAATAAGCCTTCCTGTTCCTAAAGATGGCTGTGCAGTTGCCCCCCCGCCCCCGGTACTTATAATACACCTTGCATTTGATATAGCGCCTCATCACGAACATATTGTGACGTGGAGTGACTGTGTATTTTGTGGGTGAAACGCGGCAGCAACTTGCGTACAGCAGCGCCCCACAAACAGCTGTGAATAAGCGACCAAATTTTTTTTGAGGGAAAGCGATCCACCAATCCACTAACAACCGGGTTCCTCCTTACTGCTAGGCAAACAGAGGCGCGCGCGTGTGTGTGTGTAGTAAGGAAACTTGCCTATGGTTTCACCCTGACCCATCCAGGAATTGAACCCGGGTCCTGCAGCTTGCGAGGCGAGCGCCTTAAACACTGAGCTACGGGGACTCCGCGAGATCAAACAGAGGGGTGTCAGATCTGCAGCGCTCAGTATAACATGACCACAGCGGTGTTAAACAGAGCCACACGCTGGAGGCAGGGCAGTGAGAGTGCCACATACCTGCCTGCAGTCGTCACCAACTTTAAAAATCGCCGCTTGCCAAGATGTATCGTCGCTGCCGTCTCTCTCGCTGCCCTGTTCAGCCGAGGCATCCGAGAGCCGGAGACCTGGCAATCACACGGAAATCACCAGCTGTACACGGCTAGACCCACATAAAACCAAAATGGCTGCTTTCCTACACAAGACTCATACACCGCCGCTGGATGCCGAGTTTCGCCCACAAAACACACAGTCACTCCACTTAACGGTATATCCTGTGAAGCGCTTTGAGACTTCTCGACGACGTGATGAGGTGCCGTATCGAATGCAAGGATTACTGTTAAGAATGAAATGCTTTCAAGGTAATAATAATAATAATAATCCTTGCATTTGATACAGAGCTTTATCACATCATTGAGACGTCTCAAAGCGCTTCACGGATTACGCAGTATCGACCATATTTTGTGGGTGAAATACGGCAGCCAGTTTACACAGCAACGTCCCCACAAACAGCAACAAAACGATTTTTGTTTATCTGGGGGAATGTCAGCCAGGACACACACACACACACACACACACACAGATAGCCCCACACACACACACACACACACAGACACAGATAGACACACACACACACAGACAAAACAGTCAAATACACATGTATTAAAGCAGCCAGAATACTGACCTTCCTTCTCCAGCTCGCTCACTCCACACCATTTCACTTTAAACTTAGCCAAATAGGGAGCTTTAGCAGCGCTGTGTGTGAAACAAAATTTTAACAGATTAAATAAAAAAGCACATTCTTAGATCCCTGAATTTACAGTGGAACACTGCGCTGTTTATCGACCGCTGCATGGTCAATAACCTTTAGTTATCCGTCCAGCTTCACAAAGCATAGTAATGGAAAGGGTAGAAAAAGGGGAAATGACTTTATTGCATGAGGAATAAATCAGCTGACACTGGAATATGTTACAATACGTGGATCACAGTCTTGAGTTGGTAGGAGTTATAATGAGTGTAAGTTTATTTATGGACATTAGGTTAAGAGAAAAGTGGTACGCTTCCCGCGAGGGACACAGGAAGTGATATCAGCACCGACCCGAATACCCGGAAGTGGGACTGACGGCCATTTCGTTTTCTCCACAGAATGACATTTGCGATCTGAAACACAATGTTATACAAAAGGTTAACAGAACAAACCTTTGCATGGGAGTTCCTGACTTGTAGTCGATGTCATAGACGACAGCCTCTGGATTGCTGGGGAGGTAACAGCCTGAAACCACAAGCACAAGGAAACTTGCCTAAGGTTTCACCCTGGCCAGACTTTTATCTCTGGAGGACATCTCAAAGCGCTTCACAGGATTGAGTGCAAAGTGTATTTCGCAGGTGAACAACAATAGCGGCACGGTTAGGAAATACAATATTTATGGCTTACACACATTGCCATTGAGAAGGGTGGGAATTAAAGGAACCTTCTTGCTTACTTACCCGGCTGCACTTTGATCTCAGATAAAGCCTTCAGACAGGCTCGCTTCCTTTCCTCGCCCTTGGGTGTCGGCCTGAGCGAACAAACATAACCTGCATCAGATTCACATTGTATATCAAATGCAATTATTATTATTATTATTATTATTATTATCAGATGCCACTAGCACCATTTCCAGCCAACCTCAAGTGCCTTCTCAACGATACAATTCAATACAAATGTATATTTACACAGCACCTTTCATGGACGAAGGGTCTTCATCCAAACCCATTTTGTGAACCTAGTGATTTCAGAGCCTGACAATAAGATTGAGACATTTAAAGATGAGAACGAGGTTAAGTCTTACTTGATGATTGCAGACACATTTGTGATCTTGTTAAAGAAGTCAAACTCCCGCTGGTAAAAGTCCTTGGCCGGACCAGACAGTGAGCCGGTGATCTCTTCTACAAGTTGTTCCAACAACTCACCAATGTCAGCTGTCGACAGAGCAGAATACACAAGGCTCATTTTTACCAAACGACGATCTTTTTAAAATGCGATAAAATAACATCATATTTCAAGACAAAATCATTATGGTTATCATTAAAAGACCGGACAGACATTGCGGATTTGAATTGAAGGTTCAAGTTTCACTTGAGCTGCAGTTAAGATGAGCTGTTGGAAGTTTTCTTAAAGCTAAATGATGAGGATGATAGTTTGACAGCCCAAACACTCAAACACTGCCGTGAATCCCAGTCAGGCAGAAAGGACTTGGCTTTAATGCCCATCACTGGATTTACAGAGAGGTTTTCATGTAAAAATAAGCATTCTTACATGAAAGGCGCTCTGTAAAGCACTTACGTTTCTCCTACAAATACACACACACACACTGCACTTTACGCTAAGTCCTGTAAAGTGTTTTGAGATGGCCTTCCTGACGAGGAAGATGTTGTATAAATGTAATTTGTTGTTGTTGTCGAATGGCGCTGTATCAAACGTGAGGATTATTATTCCCGTCATCTGCAAACAGCACATCACCTAACAATGTCCGGTTGTTATTCTGTCTTCACTCTCTCTAACGAGGATTTGGGTCCCTCAACATTCACAACGTACAAATACCATGAAATATACTCACGGTCCTTATGGTGAGCTTCTTCATCAGTGAATATATTGGTTTTCATATTCCAGATGAACTGGTGCCCTAATAGCTGGGACTTGGCAGCTGCCCACAAGATATACTCTCTCACGTATCCCATCTGTACAGCGGATACAGACAGCTTGGCTTTAATAGTTACAATAATAATAATAATCCTTGCATTTGATATAGAGCTTTATCACGTCGTCAAGACGGCTCAAAGCCTTTCACAGGATATACTGCAAAGTGGTCATGACTGTGATATTTTGTGGGCGAAACGCAACAGTATATTCTGTGAAGCGAATCTCAATGACGTGAAAAGGCACTATATCAAATTCAAGGATTCCTATTATAATTAATATCATTATTAGGTCCCAAAGAAGAACGGGTTCCTTACCTTGTCATATCTGAGAGCTTGAACGATTTGCGGGATGTAGAATAGAATTGCATCCTGTTCACAAAAAAACAGAGCAAAGTCACAGCTTCCACCTTGAACGTTTAATGTGTTCATATAAATCTTCCCGTCCTCTGTTCCTCTGCTCCCCACCCCCGCTTGGCTAACTAGGGCTTGCTGCGTGTCCCTGACTCTCTCTGTGCCCCCATCAGTAGCCGAGCCATCAGATGCTCGCCCTAACCTCTGGATCTCCCTCCCTCTACCTCTCCACCTCAGCCTTTCTCAATCAGTCTTTAAGTTCCACCTTAAAACTGATTTCTTCCACCGCATCTCTGGTCACCTCCCTCTGCCTTCCCCATAATCATCTTCGTAAAGCTCACTGAGCTACGTGAAAAGTTCGGTATAAATCAGGTGAAGTTGCCTTCACTAACATGCCTCCGTTTACAACACGTTAACTTTGTTCCTAACACCCCTCCCTTGCCCTCCACCCCTCCTGATCCAAGCCCCCATCTCGGGTGCACATCCTTGACCGCCTAGAGCTTTGGGATGTCCTCCCGACGTGATGGGTAATTTGTTGTTGTTTTGTGCCGCTCCTCAACAACAACGGGAAAGCAACAAGACTACAGTTGTATAGCAGCGCCTTTCACGTCGGAAGGACGTCCCTCGTCAGTTTATCTTGAAGCTGGAACGTATTCCCGGAGTCGCAGAGAATCCAACCCGTTCAGTGATCCCCACAAACAGCCGCTTACCGGAGGGAAGGAACGCAGCACTTTGACCGCGTACTGAGCTGTCAGCGGGTGAGGCGGGTACAGGCTGGAGAAGTAGGAGAGGGCTGTGGGGGGGTCTGTGGGCTCCCAGCACAGGATGTGGCTCAGCTCTGGGGCATCAGCATCGATTGTGTGCCAAGTCACCAAATACTGAGTGAGAAACAAGAGGGGAAATTAACACAGACTCACACACACCCATGCACACGCACACACACACCCGCGCACACAAGCTCACTCACACACAGGTGCGCGCACGATCACACACACAAGCTCACTCAAACACAGGCGCGCGCGCACGCACACAAGCTCACTCATGCTCACGCACGCACACACACGCGAGCACGATCGCACACACGCACGATCGCGCACAAGCACGATCGCGCACACGCACGATTGCGCACACACACGATCGCACACACGCAGGCGCACGCTCACACCACTCGTGGATCGAGTGACCAAATCATTATTTCTGATTGAATAATAACTATGAATTCATCTCCTGCATATATTGTGACACGTAGGTTGTCAGCTGAGGGGGTGGGGTGTGGGGGAAGGTTCAGACTCTGCAACATCTTATGATGTGCGTCGCACAGCCAACTCCCTGCGTGAGCCGCTCAGGATATCGTTGAGAGGTTTATTTATTCACGACATCGGTGTCAAGGCTGAAGAGCAATCAGCGTCCAAAAGACTAATTGAATTTTAGACTGGTAGGTTTGGCTGCATTGTGAAGATGTTCCCAGCTACCTGCACACTGTGCATCGCTGAGAGCATCATCATAATAATAATCCTCGCATCCGATACAGCGCCGCATGACTTCGAGCCGTCTCAAAGCGCTTCACAGAATATACTGTAAAGTCAATTCAAGCGCTGCCCTGCACGAGGGAGTCTATAAATGCAAATTTTGTTGTTGTTGAATTGACTATATTTTGCTGCTGAAATATATATATCAAATGCAAGTATCATCAGTATTATTATTAATAAAACTATAGAGTTTGTGCAACTCTCTGATATTAAAATGAGCAGAAGGAAAAAAAAAGGTTAAGACAAGAGTTTGTGGGTCACTGCTGTCCGCAATGAGTTGGCTGCTGCGTTTCTAACACAGATTATTTTCCTATTTACCTTAGTTTTCTCAGAGGAATGTGCGCATGCACAGCCAGGTTAATGTGGTCCAATGGATCGAGCGCACCATAGAGATTGGCTGCAATCTCAGGGGTAACAGAGAGCGTTGAGGGTTCCTTTATGAGCACCACAAATAGCAGTAAATCACTTGGAAATAACCTGGGCGGATTTGCCGCGTGATCTGACGTTATTGTCAGAGACAGGACTCGGGTAACGGAGACCAAGGGATGATCTGGAGCACTTGAGAGGCCCTGCTTTCTGTCTCTCACTCACTTCACTGATCATCACCACACACACAGTGCGACAACTCTGTGTGCGAATTGGCTACAAAACACACACTCGCCACAACAATAACAACTTGCATTTCAGCCCCTGGGGACGTCCTCCTGATGTGAAAGGCGCTATACAAATGTCATCTGGTGCCCCCTCACGCAGGACAGCGTCCCAGAGCGCTTGATGGTTGGGGGGTGGGGGGGGAGGAGGTGACCGTAGGCAGGTTGAAGAGGAGGGCCAGGCGTGACCTAAAGATGGGGAAGAATGGGGCAAGGCGGAGGGATAGAGGGAGAAAGTTCCAGAGTTTCTGGGAGTAGAGGCTGAAAGCATGGCTGCCAATGGCAGAACGAAGGGCACAAAGGACAAGCAGGAGGCCAGAGCCAGTCGAGCGGAGGCAATGGGTAGTGGGTTGGGTAGTCAGGGGGTCGGAGAGGTAGAGAGGGAGGTGCTAGAGGGTGAAGGGATTTGTAGACGAGTGTGAGGATCTTGAAATCGATCTGTTCGGTGATGGGGAGCCAGTGGAGCCTGGCGAGGGCCGGTGGGATGGTGGGGACGGAGTTTGGTGATTTGGCTTTACAGTAAATCCTGTGAAGCCCTTTCACTGAATTGAAGAGGTTAACTTTGTATTAATGTTTCCTAGCTCAGCTCTGGGCATTTTACACTAGCTTGTACTTGCCTCACTCACTGACAGCTCAGCTACAAATGGGGATAAATAAGGATCCCTTTGCCGGTCTGACAGCAATTTATTGAGTCCGTAATACATCTGCCATTTTGGTTATTACAAACAGAGTGAGCGACACACGAGTTTGGCAAATTCTATGTTACTAAAAATAAAAGGTAGAATTTGTTCCCGTCGGAACTTCAAATTGATGGGGATTAATGACGCTGTTAAACTTGGATTTACTGAAGGAAAGATTACCATTGCTGCTACCCTTCACCCACAAAACATACAGTCACCACACCTCACAGTATATCCTGTGAAACTCTTTGAGATGTCTCAACAATGTGATAAGGCGCTATATCAAATTGATTATATTATTGCAGGACAGTGGAATAGCACTGTGCAATATGATTCATCCTTGTTTTTGATACAGCGCCAATAGCCTCGAGATGCATCAAAGCACTTCACAGGTAATTATTGCCGAGAGTAGGGACTATAACTGCTGGCAACTGTAGCAGCCAATTCAAGTACAATTGATCTCGCAAACCACCATCAGTGAACGATCCAAGTTAGCTCGAAGATTGTTGGCCAGGACGTTAGTCACTGATGTAAAGGCTTCCGACTCAAGAGACGAGAGAGCCAGCGACTGAGCCAGGTAGCTCAGTGAACCCAGACTAAAACAGCTTAAACTCCCACTGCCTGTTGGGGGGGGGGGGGGAGAGACCAAGCGGGGGATACTTTCATTTGACAGCCAGCTTAGACTCTGTCATTTTCTTCCTCTCTGTTATTAGGATCTCTCTCTCTCTCACAACCGCGCGCACACACACACTCTCTCACACCTCTCCTTCTCCTCTGGCTACAGCATGGAGATCAAATTTCCCGTCCCTCCCACACCATCAGTGGGCAGGCCTGGAGTACTTACATTCCACTCACAAATATTTTACGCCATTAATTATTCAGCTGTAAAGTATTTGATCACATCCATTCAGCTCAGAAGTGTAATTAGCATTCTCACACCACAACTTAATGTCATTGTTAATTATAGAAAGGTACGAACAGGCCCGAAAAACAATAAAGCTCTCTTTACAAGAGAATAATAATAATAATCCTTGATTTGATACAGCGCCTTATCACGTCTTCGAGACGTTTCAAAGCGCTTTACAGGATATACTGTACAGTGGATTGACTATATATTTTGTGGGCGAAACTCAGCCAATTGCGCAGAGCAGTGTCCCACAAACAGACGTGGATTGTGACTAAATTATTGTTTTTTTTTTGACGTGATTATTACCCCCGGAAATCGATCCTCCAATTGACTAACACGAGGGTTCCTACTCACTATTGGGTAAACAGAGGTGTGCAAATATAAGCTAGGAGTTTAGGATGAATATGGTCACGCAGAGGATGGGGAGAACGTGGAACTCGCTGCTGGAAGCTGTGGTCGAAGCAAAAAGCATCAATAGATTCAAGAGAAAACTTGAGGGAGAAGGGGATTGACAGGGAGCACATTCTTACCCTAATGGCTTCAGGCACATCACTGACTGCCCCAGGGTCCAGCCTCACTAAACGAGTCACCTCAGCCCCGATGGCTTCAGTGTTCTTGAACCTGTGGGAGAGATATAACAGCTCGGCTAAAGCCAGCCCTGCAGCCACAATCAATACCCCGTCCACCTGGCAGCTTCTAGTCAAACCCTCTGTACTTTTTACCCTTTAAACTCTGTGAGGTGCTTGGCGGCATATCAACAGCATGATAAGGCGCTATAGCAAATACAAATAATAATAATCCTGGCATTTGATACAGCGCCTTATCACGTCTTCGAGACGTCAGTCACAGAATATACTGTGAAGTGCAGTGACTGTGTGTTTTGTGGGGCGAGGGTTATTATTAAGCTGCACTATCAGGATTATTATTATAAAAGCTCCCCTGACAGCGGCTCACCTGATGGGCAGCTGGATGGCCAGATAAGGGGAGATACTCCAGGCCAGGTTGACGTTGTCCTTCCATTGCTTCTCGCTCAGCGTCATGTATTTGGAGCGCCAGTTTGTGACGTTCACCTCCCCGGTCTGATCCATTGCCATCTCAGGGGATGACAGAGGGTTGTACCAGGTGGTCAGGTGTTCTATCTCGCTGGCCTAGACATCGACAGCAAAAGCAATCATTCTGGATAAAACACACCACCACGTTTAGAGACTGTTTTCACTGGTTATTATTGAGTTTACCATACATTACCATACTCCAGTTCCTACTTTCTATACAGAAATGTACAACAGTGACTTGCATTTCACAGAATCGTACAGCACAGAAGGAGGCCATTCGGCCCATCGTGGCTGTGCTGGCTCTTTGAAAGAGCTACCAACTAGTCCCCTAAAAGCTAATAACAATCCTTGAATTTGATATAGCGCCTTATCATGTCGTTAAGACGTCTCAAAAAGCTTCACAGAACACACTGGGAAGTGGATTGACTGTATGTTTTGTGGGCCGTGGATTAAGTGACCACATTTTTGTGGGGGGGTGGGGGAGGGAATTTTCCCCCCGGAAAAGTGATCTGCTAATCGACTAACAAGCGGGTTACTACTTACTGCTGGTAAACTGAGGTGCGTGGAGTAAGGAAACCTGCCTAAGGCTTTGCCCGCCCGGGTCCTCTCGTTTGCAAGGCGAGCGCTCTGACCACTACTCCGCTACTTCATCCAACGCACAGGGAGTCTCGAACTAAAGGCTCTCGCCAACTAAACCCGCTCACCATTAAAGACAAGAGGAGTGTTCTCCGTTTCATGTAGTACTTGTGCAGTTGAGTGCCTTTGTTGGTTTTCTTGGATAACCCTGAGGAGAAACAAATCCAAGTTATTATTATGTTTTTTTTTGCCCGGGCCTGTCATTGTCTGACAGCCACAGTCACACACGACGGACAGTTCACAGACACGGGCCGACAGCTGGACTACCCCGCCTTAGGTGAACGCCAATGATCGTCCCCCAACTGCAAATAAACAGCGCCCAACAGAGAACCACAGAGCATGCAGACCACAACACACAACCCACACAACCCAAACCACACTGATTGCCAAACACCTACAGCATGGCATCATACAATCAATACAATCTTACAGCACAGAAGGAGGCCATTCGGCCCATCGTGCCTGTGCCGGCTCTTCGAAAGAGCTACCCGACTCGTCCCACTCCCTGGCACTATCCCTCCCGTAGCCCTGCACGGTTTTCCTTTTCGAGTAAGCATGCAAGACGTCACGTGTAGTAAAGGGTGTGAGTGAACTGGAATGATGACGGTTACTGGTATGAAGATCACCTGATTTTTTGGATATGGTTGACATGCCGCTAGACAGGGGGTAGGTGTTGATCCAGCCCTGGGCGGGCTGCTGTCGGGATCCCACGGCTACGTCGAGATTGTTGCGTGAATCGGTCACAGCCATAACAGACAGACTGTTGACAGACGGGTCCTGATTGTCTGAAGAATAGGTGTTTAAACGCAGACACTTTATACCCAGAACCGTTCTCTCTCTCTCCCTCTCTCTCTGCCACAGTAACACTAACACACATTGTCTTTTTACAAAAAGGTCTATTTATTTATTTCAAAAACACACACACGGCAGAAGCAATATGTATAATGGCTGAGCACTGGCTAGTTACAATACTGCTTTATAAAATAATCTCCTGTTATTGGCTTCCCGATGGTAAAATAATAATGTAATAGTAATAATCCCGGTATTTGATGTAGTCTCCAATATGACAAGATTCACTGTGTATTCCACAGAAGGGAAAACTGAGCTTCAATTCCCCACAGCAAATCGGTTTTGAGGTCGTTATAAATCACTACAGAGAATTTTACTATCAAGTGTAGTGACTATGTATTTTGTAGGCGAACGTGCCAGCCAATTTGGACACAGTGCGTTCCCACAAACAGCCATGAAGCGAGTGATCAATTTACAGGGGATTGTTGGTCAGGACATCAGGAGAGAGAAACTCCCTGCTCTATTATTATTATTATTATAGGGGGAACCAAATCTAGAAGTTGCTGAACTTACAGCAGAAGATGTTAAGATGTAAGTCAGATACATTGTCAGCTGACAAGCAGAGGTGATTAAAGCCTTTGTGGAGTCCTGTAGCTCAGTGGTTAGAGCACTCGCTTTGCAAGTGAGAGACCTGAGTTCAATTCCAGGCAGAGGGCGAAACCTTGGGCAAGTTTCCTTACTCCACACAGAGCCTAATAATAATCCCTCCAAAACCAAAAACAATAATAAATTGGTCATTTTCAATCCACGACTGTTTGTGGGACATTGCTGTGCGCAATTGGCTGCCGCGTTCGTCCACAAATATACAGTCAGTTCACTTTACAGTGTGTTCTGTGAAGCGCTTTGGGACGTCCTCCCGACGTGAAAAGCGCTATATCAAATGCAAGGATTATTACTATTATTATTACTCTGTCTGTCTGTCTGTCTGGGTCTCTCTCTCTCTCGCTGATTGCCCGTGCTTCTTCCTTCCCTGATTTCTTCTCTTTCCTTCAGTGTCTCTCCTTGAATTGCCTCTTTTAGATTCCACCGACCATTCTGCGTGTCTGAATCCTGTTTTTTTGTCTGTTTGCTCAGTCTTTCCTCTCCTCCTTACAGCTCAGCTAAAATACCTCCTCACAGAACTTCTGATCCCTCTTCAGCTCTCTGGCCAATCCACATTCTAGTTGCGGTTCGAAAGGAACGTACAAAATGAAAGTTCTAACTTTACGTACTTTAAGACATTAATCACTGCTAAAGTAAATAGTATATAGTGTATCAATGATGACAGATGGTGTTGAGAGGGGAGATGAAGGGTCTAGATAACATAGACCTCAATAAGCTATTTCATCTTGTACTGAACAATAGAACCAGAGGACACGGCTGCAATCGAAGGGGGTAAAATTCAGATCAAAGCTGTGGAAACACTACTTCAGTGAACAAGCAGCAAACACATGGAACAGGCTTCCCGGGGAAACAGACAGACGATGGAAGCAAAAAGTGATGTTTGTTCAAGAACGAATGAGCTAGATTTCTGCTGGGAAATAATATCTGGGGAAACAGTATACAGCTTGGGACACGACATGTCAAGCAACTGCCAGGATGGTGGATGGTGAACTGGATGGACCTTGGTCTTCTTTCTCCTATGCTCCATCTCCCTGTCCTTCTGATATCTCCTTGCGACTTATAACCTGATGATCACCTTCGTGTCTCTCCTTTCTCTCAGATCTCGCCTGGATAAGTGTCTAAATCCGAATGGAATCTATTATCAGATGTACCCCCTTCCCTTCGTGTTCCACATTCGGAAATCAACACACAGCTAAAGTCGTTGATTAATTCACTGAGGCTAAGGACACAATGGTTGGTTATTCTCACCTGGTGGAACAAGCTGGTTTGCAGTTAGGTATTTCTTGTCCGAGAACATAGCTGTCCAGAACTTGATCATAATGCTGATATCTTCCCGCAGCGTCTTCTCCTCTTGCGTGGGGTATTTGGGGGCCACACTGAAACCCAAATGGTAAACATGGAGCGGATGAAACGCGGTAACCAATTGAGCACAGCAGCGTCCCACAAACAGTCGGGGGTCGAGTGACCACGTTTTTTAAAAGAAAATTTAAAAGGGATTATAAGCCCAAGGAAGTGATCAGCCAGGTTCCTACTCACTGCTGGTAAACAGAGGCCTGTGTGTGTTTGTGTGTGTGTGTGTGTGTGGAGTAAGGAAACTTGCCTAAGGATTCCACCTGCCTGGGAATCAAACCTGGGTCCTCTGGCTTACCAGGCAGGCGCTGTAACCACTGCACGACAGGACTCCAGTCCTAGTGAAACAATTATTACCTAAAATAGTCGAAGGCGGTTGAATAGACCTTCTCTCTCAGCATGTTCCGAATGGTGGCATCGGCAATGACATCAGCGTGTAGCATGGCAAGGCCCAGCATTAACAGCCTGGAGTCATAGAGAGGCACAGATTAATCATTATGGTAAACGTAACCGATTTGCAACTTCACTGTAAAGCCTTGCCGTTTACCAGGCTGTGTGTGTTTTTAAAAATACTTGCATCAAGGCAGAGTACTGCTGCACTTACATAATAATAATCTTAATAACAATCCTTCCGCTCAATATAGCACCCTATTACGTTGTCGAGATGCCTGAAGGAGCTTCACAGGAATTACTGTAAAGTGGAGCGATTGTGTATTTTATAGATGAACGCGGAAGCCAATTTGCGCACAGCGACATCCTGCCAACAACCGCAAAGTGAATGAGCGATTTCAAGTGGGGGGATTGTTGGCCAGGACACCGGGAGAGAGAGAGAGAGAGAGAGAGCAAAACTCCCTTCTCTTTTTCCAATTGCTCCTCTGCTATAAACTGTGTTGAAACGCAGACCATTTTGAAGCCGATTCGAGAGCAGCCACACCACACGTACTTGAATCGTGGGCCGATGGCAGCCACGTGCCGGTTCAGATAGCCCTTTGGTCGGCCCACGTTGAGTGACAGAGATCGCTGGAGCAGGCTGCCAAAGATCTCCACCTGGTCTGCGCTGCAGTACTTGGCAATCTCAAACCTCTGCATCAGGAACTGCAGAGAAACAGAGCGAGGCAGTGAGAAGGAAACACTTCTCAGTGTCGTGGATATAATCGTGCACAAGCACTTGTACTACTCCAAATTGCTGACTGACAAGCAGAATGGTCAGTGAGTGATTGATTACCAACAGGTTGAGTTCAACCATGAGCAGCCTCAAACGCAAACTTTAAGACACTAAATTTCAGCAAATACGGATCATCTAATACGTACCACTGAGGGGACAGAAGGTACAGTATAATCACCCAAGTCGTACATCTGCCCAAGTCCCGTTAAGGAGTTTACACTCCATTCAAGTTCGACATAACTCATACTTTGCATGAGTCATATTAAATATATGGTCCCAACAGATACAACCGCGCGAGGTTTTCTCTGCCTCAGTCCCTCTGCCTCACACCCTCTTTGTCCGTCTTCAAATCGCACCTGAAGACTCACCTCCTTGACCGTGTGTGTGGTCACTCCCCCCATCCCCCCCACTCTCCCTGGCTCAGCCTCAGGTTCCGCCACTGTTAAACGCTGCTCCTGTGCTTGCTGAACATGGAGCGGCGAGTGTCGGCTGTGACCTACCTCGATCCAGATGTGATGGGGCGTGACGTTGGGGGCGCAGGGCTTGGGCTGGCTCTCCTCAGACGCTGACAGAGGATCTGCTTCTCTCTCATCCTCGCTGAAAAGACCGCTTTTCTGCTCCACCGTCATCTGCCAGGCACCAACCATTTCTCGCATGAACTACACGGGAAACAGGACAGGTGACATGATTAACAGGTGCCTTTACCTTGCCTCGTTCCCTTCACCTCCACCTCGCTCGCCCGCTCTCTGTTTGTCTTCAGATCGCAGAAGACTTTCCTCCCTGACCGTGTCTATGCTCACACTCACATCCCCCCCGACCACCCCAACCCCACCCCGGCTGACATCAAGATCCGCCACTGTTAAATGCTCTGAGACTCTAACATCCTCACTGTGACAGCCAATCTGCGCACAGCAATTTCTCACAAATAGCCACAAATTGAATGACTGGGTCTATCCACAGTCTCAGAAAGGATGTCCATGAACACGTTCAAACTTTCAGGGCTTTCTCTCTCTTTCAATTCACTGCTAAAAGCTTATTTTCCAAAGCACCTGAACAACGGGTAATCAAACAATAACCCTTGCATTTGATATAGCGCCTCATCATGTCGGGAAATACTGTAAAGTGTAATGACTGTGTATTTTGTGGGTGAAACGCGGCAGCCAATTGCGCACAGCAGTGTCCCACAAACAGTCGTGGATTCAATGAACCGTTCAAACATCCCAAAGTGCTTCAGAGAATTTACTGTAAATTGCAGTATGTGGGAGAAAGTCACTTACTGGCACCTCAATGCCGTTCTTGGCAGCCAGCAGCCACTCCCAGCAGGCCACCGCAGTCTCCATGCCCAGGTCTGTGAACATGTGTAAGGGACCCCAGCACAGGTGGTGAAGGAGCTGGGGATCACAGTCTGCAGTGACATAGGAAGGAACAGAAGGGATCAATTGGGAACCCTCGTCATCAGCATCCAATCCGGACAGAATAATAATACTGGCAATTCATACGGCGACTCATCATGTCGTTGTGACGTCTCAAAGCGCTTCACAGGATACACTGTAAAGTGGAGTGACTGTGTGTTTTGTGGGCGAAACGCGGCAGCCAATTATGCACAGCAGCGTCCCCACAAACAGTCGTGGATTGAATGAGGATATTATTATTATTTTTTGAAGGGATTATTACCCCCGGAAAGCGACTAACCACCATGTTCCTACTAATTGCTAGATAAAACAGAGGCGTGTGGTGTAAGGAAACTTGCCTAAGGTTTCTCCCTGCCCGGCCGGGAATCAAACCCGGACCCTCTCGCTTGCGAGGCGAACGCTCTAACCACTACCCTACAGGACTCCGCTTTTATGTGTTAAAGTGGAACGCTTTTACTCTGTAACGAGCTTAACTGGCACTGCCTTACCCTTGCTGCTGATCAGCAAGGCAGTCAGGTTGAACATGGCCTGTGTGTAGGCCTCACTCTTCCCTGTCTCCAGCGAATCATTCAGCTTTGTGATCATGACTTGGTTCAGGTCGGACTGACGACTGGTGGCCTCCGAGTACTGAATCATCCCCGCGATCTGTAGGGGGAGAGAGAGAGAGAGAGAGAGAGGGGGGAACAACAGGAAACATGTAGTATGGCTTGGAAGAACTAAGCAACTTTGGATCTACCAAAGCTTTCCACCGCGATACTAGACTAATTATACAGAATTAATTACTATCAACATCGCATTATTGTAGCCTGTGACTAACAGATGGTAATAATATAATAATCTTTGCATTTGATACAGCGCCTTATCACGCCTTCGAAATGCCTCAAAGTGCCTTGGCAGAATATACTGTAAAGTGTAGTGAGTGTTTATTTTGTGGGCGAAACGCGGCAGCCAATTGCGCATAGCAGTGTCCCACAAACAGTCGGGGATTTCTTGAGGGATTATTATCAGGCGCATGTGTGTGGAGTAAGGAAACTTGCCCAAGGTTTGGCCCTGACCGGCTGGGAATCGAACCCAGGTCCTCTCGCTTGCCAGGCGAGTGCTCTAACCACTGAGCTACAGGGCTCCTACGAGACTACGGGACTTTACAATGACAAGAATACAATAACAGTCAAAAGAATGGAAAGGATTTCCCTGAAATAAGAGATGAAGTTGATCTCTCTGCCGCTCTGACAGGAGACTGAAGTTAGACGGAGTTACCTCTCCCGCTGCACGGTTGCGTAGATTAAGAGAAGACATGAAGTTGGAGTAATCCTTCTTCACACAAGCCGGCCTTTCTGTCAGCTGAGTGACCTGCGGGTTTATTAAAACAGGGATCAAGGTGTGAAACACCGGCAGACGGGAAGCTTGTCTAAAGAGATTAAAAAATAAATGGTCATGTCTGAGCTACATTACTAATAATTAAAAGGCTCCTCTGATACATTGTGCTGAGGTTTTTGAACATACTTTACAACAACAACTTGCATTTATACAGTGCCCCTCACACAGGGTAGTGTCCCAGAGTGCTTGACACGGTAAAGCGAACTGACTGGATATTTTGTGGGTGAAACGACATTCTCAAAACACAATTTTGTAACTAAGTAAATACACAGTCCGCAAAATACAGTCAATTCACTACACAGTAGACACTGTGAAGCTCTTTGAGACATCTCAAAGACGCGATAAGGCGTTAGCTGCATCAAAAAAGCAAATGTAAAGATTATTATTCCAATTTTGCTGCAGCAAATCAAAAGCTGTCAAGTCACCTCTAAGGAGTTAAACTGCATAGACAACCAACAGCGACCAACAGTGTTAGACTGGGCTACATTACAATCCACAGTCAGACAGATGGGATTAGGAGATTAGTGCAAACTATTCGAAAGTTACAAGCCCCAAGTGTGAAACAGCTCACTCAATGATTTTCATATAACAACACTGTCTGGGTCTTAGCTGACCATGATCAACTGTTCCATTTTACCATGAGCTCGTCAACAGCTAAACACTGAACACATTCAACTATCATTCAGAAACACGTGGAGGGATACATTAAATTAATAATAATCATTGCATTTAATTTAGTGCCTTATCACATGGTTGAGACGTCTCAAAGCGCTTCACAGAATACACTGTAAAGTGGAGTGACTGTATGTTTTATGGGCGAAACGCGGCAGCCAATTGCGCACAGCAGCGTTCCCATAAACAGTCGTGGATTGTGCGACCGGCTTATTGTTATTACTGTTTATTGATCATTATTTTGTACGGGCTTCACAGCCGAGAATATTAACTTCATGAGTGAACTCAGCATTGGGAAGAGTTCTGTCGGCAAACAGTAGGGATGAGAGTTACACAAACCAGTGTTAACGAGCCTGGTACCCTCACGATACCTACCCCCAGGGTTGTGTTGTGTCTGTTATACCCTGCGAAGCTCAGGATACTTTCAGTCGCCATAGCCACACCAGTGTGCTGAGAGAGACCAGACACCCAGTTCTGGTGCTTGTTCAAGTATTCCTGAAACACAGAGGATTCGCAAAGCATTTGCACAGACAGAATTCACAAACCTTCTTTAAAAACAATTAAACAACAACTTGCATTTGCATTCCCCCTCCGTCTTACAGCAAACAAAGACACTTCCTCCTTTTGCCCAGAAGAGGGAGCCATACACCGGGCTCGGGCGGGTGGGTGGGTGGTGGGGGGGGGGTTCAACGAAGAGTGGGGTAGAGCTTTACCTGAAGGTGGGATTTGGTCACAGACGGAGCCCATTTCATCGCCTCCTGAAGGATCCCACCGCAGCGAGCAGCAAAGTCTCGGACGATGCTCTGAGGGCAGAAAAGATTCAAGTGTCGGTGGTTTAAACGTCTCGATTTGTTCTTGCGGATAACAATAATAATAATAACCAGGATTATAATAGTCCTTGCATTAGATATAGAGCCTCATCATGTCGTCGAGATCCAACAGGACTCCACAAGACTAAATAAAACTGAAGCTTTTTTAAAAATAATAACAATAATCCTTGCATTTTGCGCAGCACCTTTCATGTCGGGAGGATGACTGTTAACTGTTCCTCAGGCCCTCTGGCGGCAAAAACAGTGTCGCACAAACACACAGAACTGGGACCTGTGGTTAACACTCCCCAACTGAGCTCACAATCCCAGATAGGCTTTGGGACTGCAAAATTGAGTTCCGCAGCATAGTGGTTAGAGCGCTCACCTCGCGAGCGAGAGGACCGGGGTTCGATTCCTGCCCGGGGCAAAACCTCAGGCGAGTTTCCTGATATTAGTATTAATATAATAGTGAAAGCAGGGATTTTGGACCCTGATAAAAAAATCTTTTTTTTTAAAAACAAACACAATGAATTTTAATGTTTCCAAAGCGTTTCAAAAGTCATTACCTCTCTGCCTTCATAGGTGTCAGGTACGGTGATCCTGTAAGGTGTGTCTTGTATGCCGTAATAGGGCTGATCTTTGTGGATGTCCTGCAATCAACAATACATTGAATGTCACTGTCTCGATGGGCACCGACGAGCCTCAATGTCTCAGCTGATCTCTGTGATACTCACTGCACAGAGCGACAGGGACAGGGTCTGAAGGATGTCCAGCATCGTCTTCAGGACTGTGCCACTCCACAACAGATGGGGGAATCTGCAATTCAAGACAACAACAGCAACAAATTACATTTGCATAGTGCCTTTTGCATCAGAAGGACGTCCCAAAACCTCAAATATGATAGCGCAGGGGATTTCACAACAACAACCAATTGCACACGTATATATACACAGAGCCTTTCCATTTTGTTTTTGATTAGCTGGGACATGTGCGGAAATCCGTCACCGTTGCTTAAGAGTCTCCAAACCAAGCTGAGAATTCCCTGCATCCCCCCTACACATAGAAATCCCAGAGATAGATTGTTGGAATGGAATGCACTCTCTCTCTCCCTCTCCCTGGAGGGATGTATCCAGCTTAACTAATCCTCTTCTCTTTGACCGAGCCTTCAGCTCCCCTCTCGACTCTCTTCCCTCTCCTCGCTCCCTCCCTTCTCTCCCCTCACCCTGACCATTTCCCCCCTCCTTGCTCCCTCCCTTCCCTCCCCTCACCCTGACCATTTCCCCGCTGCTCGGGTCATGACCCAACTGTGCAGCGCCTTGGGACGTCCTCCTGACGTGAAAGGCGCTTTATAAATGGAATCTTGTTGTTGTTGTTGTTGTACAGTCTTTTAAGTTGGGATCATTTTACTTTGAGAGATGCGGAAGATGCAAGCAACAATGACAAGCGTGCGTTTGGTGCAAGAGCAAAGTGTAGCATTCACGTTGTTGAAAGAAAAGTTTGGGGCACATTTTGGGACATTTCCCAAGTTTCAATTGTTTTTTTTTAAGCTGTTTCAAAGAGGAGCGATGGGCCGAATGGCTTCCTTCTGAGCTGTAAGATTCGATGAGTTACCTATCCACCAGGCCGGACAGAAACTTGTCAGCAACCCTCCGGATCCTCTTGTGGATGTGGTTGAAATTGACCAGCAGGAACTGTGCGTGTTTCTCCAGCTCTTCCTCATTCTCCTTGGTCTTGGGCTGGCAGGAGAAAACCACAACGATTTGTCCGTTGCTCTATAAAAACAGACGCCTCGAGAAACCCTTCAGCCAAGAACGCAAAGCCCGCTGTACAAACCTTGTCTGCCATCACCGCCAGGAAAACCTCGAATACTTTATCAGCCACTGCAACCACACACTGCATCATACCTGTGCCAAAAGGGATCCAAGTTTTTAAAAACTAACACTAACAACAAAAAATCACTTGTGAATAGTGCCTTTCAAGTCAGGAAGACGTCTCAGACTACTTGCCTGCTTTGTCTTTCTGAATAGCTTTATCCTCCAGGTAACGGAACATGACCTGGAAGCGATCCTGGTCTGTAGAACGAGACACCCTGCGAGGAAACGTGGGAGAGATTAAACTGTAACGTGCAGCACTCCCAGCCATACCAATGGACTCAGATTGCTGCGCGCATTCCTGTTGTGTGGTGGTCGGAGCACTCGGCTCGCAAGAGGACCCGGGTTCAACAGTCAATCCACTTTACAATATATACTGTGAAGGGCTTTCGGACGTCTCAACGACATGACAAGGCGCGATAGATATCAAATGTACAGATTATTATTATTAATAATGTAATCAAGCTCAAGCTGCTCGCACCTCATATACTCCAGGCGGTACATGGAGAGCAGGTATGTTGACATGGCAAAATCCAGTTTGTTAATGAGAGCCGAGACCTCGGGTGGAGGTTCAAGCAGGTTGATGATGGTGCTTCTCAATTCGTTCAGTTCAGCCTGCGAGCAAGTTTGAATCATAAAGAAGTCCATTGAAGAAAATTGAATAATATATTACTAATATATTATTATTATAATAATTTCCACTTTGGTCCTCGTGTGGTTATACAGCACCCTTCACGCTGAGCGACATCTCTAAATCTGGAACTCTGTCCCCCCCCTCCCTCAAAAGGCTGTGGATTATGGCTTCCATTCACACTTTCAAGACTGAGGTGGATAGATGTTTGTTAGTTCAGGGTAACAAGGGAAATGGGGCAAAGGCGGGTAACTGGAATTGAGGTACAGATCAGCCATGAGCTAATAGAATGGCAGAACAGGCTCGAGGGGCTGAATGGCCTCCTCCTGTTTCTATCTCTGAACCCCAAAGGAGTGACACACTTGGCCTTATAGAAAAAGATTTTGTTTGGGAGCTTTACTCCAGTGTTGAAATCGATGTGCTTACCGGGGAAACAGTATCATTCTTGAGGGCAGAGTTGTACTGCAGCTCGGAGCGCAAGGGCTCTCCTCCCGGGAAGGTCAGCAACGGCGACTTGGTGGCGATCTCACACACACCCTCGTACCACTCCTCGGGCCACAGCCCTGTCCAGGGTGGGAGAGAGAGAGTGAGAGAGAAAAAAATCTATTAATGCACGCTTCAGTTACACTTGAAAAACAAGAACTTGGCAGCATCCCAGAGCGCTTGACAGTGGCGGAGCACGACACCGAGCCAGGGGGAGGCACGGTCCAAGAGGAAGGTCTTCAGGTGCAACCTGAAGATAAGGAGGGTGGGGGCAAGGCAGAGGGATTGAGGGAGAGAGTTCCAGAGTTTGGGGGCGTAATGGCTGATAGTGAAACTGGAGGCACGAGGGACAAGCAGCAGAAAGCTGTGGTATTGCCAATGAGCCTGTGTGATTCCTCTATATCACCTCATTGTAAAAATGAAAAACTTCTGGATAGTAATATACATATATGTGTGTGTGTGTGTGTGTGTAAAGGACTGTATGTACTAGTGCTGGATTCTCTTCATACCTGAGCCCTCCACAGCAAAGCCCATGACCACAGAGTACAGCCAGAAATCCCGGAACAGCTTCTGAAGCCTGGGCTTAGCATCCTTGATTGGTGGCAAGCGCCTGGTCAACTGGAAAACACATGGATCATGGCTAGTTATGTCCTGAACCACCTGATGTCCCTGTATCTGGAATGCGCACACTCTCACTCTAGCTCTCTACCTGGAGGGACACACCCTATTTAGGAGCCGCTATTTGGAAATGAAGGCAGTTTCTCTCTCCCCAGTGTCCTGGCCAACATTCCCCCAAATGATGGCTTTTTGGCGCAATCCCCCAAACGTCACGGCTGTTCAGTGAAACGTCGCTGTGTGCAAATTGGCTGCGACATTCGCTCACAAAACACACAGACGCCGCACTTTACAGTAAATCCTGTGAAGGACTTTGGGACGTCCTCCTGACATGAAAGGCTTATTAAATATAAAGGGGGTTTGGTGGGAATGGGCAGTCACACCCCTTGTCAGTCATCCCTGCTGATCAACAACACATATCTTGTCTGATTGCATTTTGCTTAGAACTTGATTTATCAGGCCTGCCCGCCTACACACACTTTGGGAACATAGCTGGCCTAACAGGCTAGGTATTTACAGGCAAAGTCAGAAATAACCTTCAACACGATTAATATTCTCTCCTCAGTATGAAGTGTATGTAGCAGTGCAGGCCATGTAAGCGCTCACTGTGAGTGCTCTCCAGACCCCAGTCGATGGTTCTGCAGAACGCAAACAGACACTGGTCGGTGGTCAATTTTAAACTGCTTATACACACAAAAAACAAGGCCACACACACAAAAAAAATCTGATAACCCACAGCCTTGAAATGGAACACTGATAAGCACTTAACTGTGTAAGGTTTAGATATTGAAGAAAAACATTTTAATAAAACTTTTACGTGCAATTATATGCATATAAAAGTCTGTGTTCTGCAAGTTAAAATAATCCTTACGTTTGATACAAAGCCTTTCATGCCTTCTGTCACCCTCCTACCTCCACCCTCCTTGCCCTCCACCCCTTTGATTCCAACCCCCGGTTCAGGTCCAAATCCTTGACTGTCCAGAGCCTTGGGATGTCTTCTTGATGTAAAAGGCGCCGTGTAAATGTCATTTGTTATTGCTGTTGTTGCTGTTGGAAGACATCTCAAGCGCGCTTCACAGGATATACTGTATACAAATTAGACAAATGCCAGTTTCGGCTACTTTAAATTTTAACTGCCCTAAAACAAAAGACTATTATAGTGCAGGGAGTAATTAAACTCAAGGTGTGTGGTCTTTGAATAATCCTGGCTTTATACCATGTAACACACAGCTGTGAGCATCTGCTGAACAGAAGCTCTGAGGGAGAGGAATGTGATTTGACACAGTTTTACGCCTTACAGTAAAGAGGTGATTCAAGTCCATGTTCTAGATATTTTTTCAGAACATGGTTTCAAGAATCGTAAAACGCAAACAACAACAATTACATTTGTGCAGCGCCTTTCACGTTGGGAGGACGTCCCAAAGCGGTGTAAGGGGGTGGGAGGGGGGTGGGGTGGGGGTTGGTAGCAAAGCTTTGGGTTCTCTTTTCGAATAGCACTGCAGTATCTCAACCTCCACCTGAACAGGCAGATGGAGGGATCGGTTTAAGGTCTCATTCAAAGGACGGTGTCTCCGACAATGCAGCACTTTCCCCCCCGCACTGCACTGGAGCTTCAGTTTAAGACAATATGTAAAGAGCAGGCGAGGATCATACTTAACTAGTAGCCAGGTTCATTAGACACTCAGGAGTGAAGCCATTGGTAAAGAGATTGATCTGTTGAGCTTGAGCCAATGGTGACATACAAAGCAAAGTGTTTGGTTTAGCTTTGTTTGCCTCACACGGGTCAATGTTCAGTGACATGAGGGCAGATCTTTAAATGCGTAGTTAACATAGCCTCCTAAACTCAACAGTTTGAGATTAGCCAGAGCTCATAGCTCTTCCTCACAGAGCCAGCAGGTAAGATCACCTCAATCATTTATTTCAGGTAATTTAAGAATGAAAAGGTTAACAAATTGTTCCACTGAGAAGCGTAATCATAATAATCCTTGCATTTGATACAGCGCCTTATCACGTTGTTGAGACGTCTCATAGTGCTTCACAGAATATAATGTAAAGTTTAGCGACGGTATATTGTGGGCAAAACTCAGCACTGCAGGGTCCCTCAAACAGCCGTGGTTTGATGATCACATTTGTTATTATTACTTGTGAAGAGTATGAAAATGATTCAAATTTAAAGTGTGAAATTCCAGTTACATTCCGCCACCAAGTCAAATCAAGTATGTACTGCAGATATTTTTTGTTGCCTTGAGCACGTTCCTTGGGTCTCTTATTCCTTCACACGTTTGGTAAAGATCCCTAATTATCCCTCGTGCCCTCCGTTCCACCATCGGTGGCCGCACTTTCAGCCACTACGTCCCCAAACTCTGGAACCCTCTGCCTTGCCCCCTCCTTCCCCATCTTCAGGTCACGCCTGAAGACCTTTCTCTTTGACCGTGCCCACGGTCACCTCCCCACTACCCCTGGCTTGCCGTCATGCTCTGCCACAGTCAAGCACTCTGGGACGCTCCCCTGTGTGAGGGGTGCTGTGTAAATGCAAGTTGTTGTTGGTAAATTACAAACATGTATATAGCAATCCTCAGGCGGGGATGTGTCTCGGAGCGCTTGATTGTAATGTATAAAGTCGAGGGACTTTGACGGTGTGTTTTGTGAGTGAAACATAGGAGGCAGCTTTCACGATTAACCTCTTACTTTACAAACTCTCCCCCTTTGCAGGCAATGCAACTTGACCTTCAGCATCATATTTCAACGTATTAGCTCCAACTGAACACCTGGCAGCATGAGATCTTTGCTGCTGCTGCTGAGTTTGCACCTGGTCCCATTGCCCACGTTGTGTGGCATTAAGAGCCTAGCCAGCCATTTTGACTTGCGAGTGACGGATGAACCAGACACGATACTGGAGTCTGGCGACTACTTGTTCCTGGACAGCAGCGTAACCCGCAATCTAATCTCGGAGGAAGAGGAAGACTATCTGGACTGGGACCAGATCTTGGGTGAGGATCACGATGACGACGACTACATCGACGAAATCGATGAGATCGAAGACGAGCTGGAATTTGACCCGGTCGCTGAGCGGGCTGATCCCGCCACCAAAAGGGCCCGTCTGCTCGGGCTGTTCCACGGCAAGACCCGAATCCAGCGCCTGAACACAGTCAACACGGACTTCGCGTTTGACCTTTACAGGAGGCTCAGTAATAGCAGCAATCAGTACGACAACATCCTGCTGGCTCCTGTGGGCATCTCGACCACCTTGGCCATGATCTCGCTGGGGGCCGGGAGCCACACCCATCAGCAGTTGTTCCACACCCTGGGCTTCGGAGCATTTGTGAACGCCAGCACCAAGTACGACGTGATAACCGTGCACAACCTCTTCCGCCGTCTCACGCACCGGCTATTTCGGCACAAGTTCGGCTACACCCTGCACTCGGTCAACGGGCTGTTCGTACGGCAGGACACAAACCTCCTGGGCAACTTTACCGAGAACATGAAGACCTATTATTTTGCTGAGGCACAACTGTCCAACTTCTCGGACCCTGGTTTGGTCACCAAACTGAACCAGCGGATACTCAAACTCACCAAAGGGATGATCAGAGACTCCATCCAGGCAATCGACCCACGCACTCTCCTCATGATTCTGAACTGCCTTTACTTCAAAGGTAATTCATTCGACCACGAGCTCAGAGGGCTCACACTTTCCTTTATATATGCAACACCTCGATCAATGTATTTTCAGTGCAGTTCAGTGGAACAAATGTGCTTTGTCAATCGTGCATTAACAATTCACTTTAACTCTAATTCACTAAAGAACAACGACGACGTCGGGAGGATGTCCCAAAGCGCAGGAAAGTCAGAGTTGCACCTTAATAATAATCTTTGCATTTGATATAGCTCCTTATCACGTCTTCGAGACATCTCAAACCGCTTCACAGAATATACTGTAAAGTGAATTCACTGTATATTTGTGAGCAAAACGCGGCAGCCAATTGGGCACAGCAGCGTCCCCACAAACAGTCGTGGATTGACTGACCAAAATTATAATTTTTTTAAAAAAGTGATTATTATGCCCGGAAAGTGATCCGCCAATTGACTAACAACCAGGTTCCTACTTACTGCTGTTAAACAGAAACGTGTGTGCGTGGAGGAAAGAAACTTGTTTAACATTTCGCCCTGCCTCCGAATTGAACTCGAGTCCTCTCGCTTGCGAGGCGAGGGCTCTAACCGCTAAACCACAGGACTCCATTTTGACTGTGAATTGCGCAAACCTAAATTCAAACTGCACTCCCTTTTTCAACAAATTCGGGTGTGAAGACCCTGGTTAAAACACAGTCACTCCACTTTACACTACATCCTGGGAAGCGCTTTGGGACGTTTTCACCTACACTAGGCACTGGAAAGATGGTGGAAGGTGCTGCTAACTTGCGAGGCTCCTGGGGGCCACAATCGGTACAACATTTGTACAGTGTGCTTCACGCGGGGAGCAGCTTGCAGCGCTTAAACACCTCTCTCAGATAACTGGTGTCGTTCAACAGGGACCTGGGAAAACAAATTTCCCGTGGAAAAGACGTATCGTCGTGTGTTCCGGGTGAGTGAGAAGGTGACTGTGAAAGTGCCCATGATGCACACCAAGGGGAACTTCCTGACGGCCGTGGATCCTGAGCTGGAGTGTGATATCCTGCAGCTGCCCTATGTGGGTAACAGCAGCATGCTTGTCGTGTTGCCTCACAAGCTCTCTGGCATGAAGAGCCTGGAGAAACGGCTGGTGGCTGAGGTGGTGGTGAAGTGGCAGAGCAAAATGACCAACAGGTACCGTCCACGGCGGGCTCCAGGCCTGCTCCTCGTTCTTCCCTCCACCCCCCCCGACCCTCCTTGCTCTCCATCCCTTCTGATCCCAACCCCCTGCTCGAGTCCAAATCCCTGACTGCCTGTGTAAACGTCATTTGTTGTTGTTGTTGTTGTTCCTGAAGCCAATGGTTTTCCTTCTTTCAGATCCAGAGAGGTCGTGTTCCCCAAATTCAGCCTGGCAAAACAGTACGACCTGATGCCCTACCTGAAAGGGATGGGATTGACGTTACCTTTCCAAGCAGGAGCTGACTTCAGTAGGATTTCAACCCAGGAGGATCTCATCATTAACCTGGTGAGACTCATTTAATGCTACATCAGATGCCAAGATTATTATGACAACAACTTGCACTTATACAGTTCCCTTCACACAGGGTAGCGTCACAGAGCGCTTCACAGTGGGGGGGAGGGAGAGAGATGAGGTGGCCATAAGCACAGTTGAAGAGGAAGGTTTTCAGACGGGACTTGAAAAAAGGGGAGGGGGGGGCAATGGGGAGGCATTGAGGGGGAGCATTCCAGAGTTTGGGGGCGTAGTGGCTGAAAGCGCGACCTCTGGTGGTGGAGCGGAGGGTGTGAGGGACGAGCAGGAGCCGGGGCCAGTCCAGCGGAGGCGCCGGGTGGTGGATTGAGGAGTGAGGAGGTCGGAGAGGTCGGGAGGTGCTAGGGAGTGAAAATGGATTTGAACACGAGTGAGAGGATCTTGGAAGTTATTATTACTTCTTCAGCACAAATTGGCTGCCACATTCGCCTGCAAAACACACAGTCACTACACCACAGCAAAATCCTGTGACGTCCTTCACGCCATCCTCCCGATGCGCTAAAGTGCGCAGTAATCCCAAAAGTATTTATCTAGCATCAAGTTTTAACTCTTTCAGCTCAAACACCAAGGATCGATCACAGTGAACGAGGAAGGGACGACAGCAGCTTCGTTGACAAAGGCCAGCTTCATGCCCCTTTCCATACAGAACGACTTTGTGGTCAACAGACCTTTCCTATTCCTCATCTACGAACATCGCACAGAATGCTTGCTCTTTATGGGTCGTGTGATGAACCCTGAGAGCAGCTAACCACTGATTGTGTGTGTGCAGCAAATTGCATTGTATAAAAAACACTAACACTTGTACTCTACTTCACCGTACTCTCAAGTATAGTTATCAATAAGTTTTAAGCCAAATATTAAACCTGTGTTCCAGTTTGAAGACAATAAAAAAGGCAAAGGAGCAAATGAGCAAGTCACAGTCCCCACCCTCCCAGCGTGATATAATTTCAGAGTTAAGATCGGCTTGCATTCCAGGCAGGGCCAATGTAATACAAAAAGCCACGAATAAAGACTGCCAAATACTATACCATCACTTTGTAAAATGGTCATCATTTTTTAAGGCTGTGAGTTTGCTTCGCTCGCACTGGTTAGATTTCACTGACACGTACATGGGAGAGATCACTAGTCTAGCCTTCTAGTCGGTTAACAAAAAAAATGCAACACTTCTCTATTTCTCTCTCATCTTGCTCCCATTTTCTCTCACCTCTCAAATGGTTTGCCTACGAATACACAGTCACTCCATTTCACAGTAAATCCTGTGAAGCGCTTTGAGACGCCCTTCTGACTTAATGATGATAATAATACTTACATTTGATAGAGCACCTGATCACATCATTGAGACATCTCAAAAGATAAGGCGCTACACCAAATACAAGGTCTATTATTATTATTATTAATAATCAATTGCTTCGCCAATTAGCTATTGAATTCCTTCTTGAATCCACTGACATCAATTTGCTTTGACCACCTCCCTGGCTACATATTGATCACTCTTGTGTAAAGTCATTAAATCTGAACCGCATGTTCACCTTGCCCAGGAATACATTCCCTGAGATCAAATCCCTCTCTCCTTGTGGGACATGTTTTGACCCGATTAAACATGGTAGCGAGTTTGATTCATCTGCACCTTTTATCCACAATAGGTCAATGACAGGCAAAACATATAAAGCATGGCAACTCTTGTTAATCAGTTACGTTGTAGAATCAAATATTTACTTTCTTCCTAAAATATCTAACCATTAAGTCACAACATACTACAAACAGGCAGAATGACAGGTTGACGATAGATTAATGCAACAGCTACTGCTGACAGCCCAGCTCATCGGCAGGACCTGGAAGGGCAGACCAGTCACTGGGGGCAGGGAGTCATCTCACTCAGCTCCTGTTAACCCCGCAAACCAAAGCCCTAATGGGTAGGGTGGTCCTCGCTGGAGAAGCAGCAGGAAATCTTGTCGGACAGTGCTATCAATCACACCCTATATGATTTAGCTGGTTAGATTCCAGCAGTTACCCCCAACACACGCTCAGGGCTCTTGCCAATCTGCCCATAAATACTTTCCAGAATTAGATAAACAGGTGTGTATCTCCGGGGGAGAGAGAGAGAGAGAGCTCATTCCATTCCTATAATCTATCTCTGGGATTTCCATGTGTAGGTGGGATGCCAGGAATTCTCAGCTTGGTTAGGAGACTCATAAGCAACGGTGACGGGTTTCCGCACATGTCAGACATCCGGCTGACCAAAAACAAAAGCTCGGAAGAACTCAGATGAGTCATTAAAAAAATACTTACCACAGCAATGACTGGAATAAGAACTCCTAAATTGCCTGCACTGCTTGAAGCCTGAAAGAAAATAATTTTAATATCAATGGTGACATTTTATGTAAGAACGCTCTTTACTCTGAACACCCTGTCACGGTTCAGGTGGCCGGAATGGGTGAAGGGATCAGTCGCCACCAGTAGTTAACTCTTATCTGCAGACCCCCGCACTTTCTCTCCCCCCTTACTCTCACACTTATGCTCCCCCCAGTCACTCACACACACTCGCACTCGCTCTCACTGCCCCCACTCTCCAACAAATCACTCTTCCCTGAATTGCTTTAATAATCTCCCACTCACTTTCTCACACACCCCTCTCTCTCACACTTCCCTCTCCCCGTCTCTTCTTCCATTTTCAAAACCCTCCGTCTTCAGTCGTTTCAAAAGGTAGGATAGATAGGCTAGAGGGGAAAACTTAAGGATGTGAATGCAGGGAAAGTGAGGGTGAAAACTTAAAACAATTTATTAAAGATGCCTTTTTTTTCCCTCACTCTTGCTTTCTCTCTGGGTTTCATGTTAATGTAATGAAGTGGTTCCTGACACTGGGTGACTGTACACAGCCACACTAGTCTCTATTTCAGCATCACAGTGACATAGTGAACAACAAAAAAACACCTGGCCCTGAGAGACAGAACATTCCCTGGACTTTTCCGGCAATCGAAGCCCTGAAATTTAACAAAAATTGACACAACACCGTGGATGAACTTTGTTCCATGAAACTTCTTTACTCATTAACCTGGGGATCGAAGTTTAAACTTTGAATAAAAGGTTATTTCTTGCCCTGTTGAAAGAGAAGAGTGCGCTCATGTCAGATTTAGTTTTGACCCTTGGCCTAAACGGCAGGATGTGTGAGCTTTAGCTTTGCTCCTCCATCAAAGGGATTGGGCTGAGGGGAGGGAGGCTTCCTGCTTACCTTCAGGGCAGGACCTTTCTCGCTGGCTCTCTCGCTCGCTCGTTTTCCTTCCAAACCCAACTGGACAAAAAGCTCCAGCAGATTGACAAGCAGCTCATCCACCACCTGCTCCCCCTGCAGGTTAGCGGCTATGTTAGCCAGAGCATTGATGACAGCCAGGGAACAGTGCCTGGAACACAGACAAGCACAGCCATGTCAAACTCACCCACCCACTGCCCTAATAATAATAATAATAATCCTTGCATGTGATACAGCGCCTTATCGCGTCATTGAGACGTCTCAAATATATTTTTAAATCAGCTTTAAAATTTTAAAATATGTTTAAAAGCTTCAGAATGTCTTTGAGATGTTTCAAAGCCGTTTTCATTTTTTTTTAACAAAGATTTTAAATAAAGAAGTGCTCCGAGACGCTAATCCCCCCATGAAGGGCGCTGTGTCAGCACAGGTTAGAGACCTCACCTGTAGCCCTGATCTTTGTGGTCTTTAGTTGCCGAGTACACGATGGAACTCGCCTTCACACTGATTTGTTGGAAGAGATTCCACACTTCCTGGTAAATATATTGCTGAAAAATAATAAAAAGGGGTCAGAGCGAGACAGAAACACGAGTATGTGTCTCTCGGGAGGAACATTCACTAAATTCACCCCTCCTCCCTTTGCCGCAGCTCGTAAGTTTGCACATCAGCATGTAGAAAGCACTTTAAGACAGTGCAGAAGCATTAGGCTCCACAGGACTCTCTCTGGCTATTAGGGCATCAATGGCAGAGGTGTGGCCCTTTTGGCTGAATGACATGAAAGGCGCTGTACAAGTGTTGTTGTTGAATGGGGCAGTCGACCGGGTGAGGAAAAGATGTGGTTCTGGGTTTTTTGTCTCAGTATCAGGAGTGGCTGGTGATAATAATCATATCAAATACTTGATACAGCGCCTTATTACACCGTTAAGTCGTCTCAAAGCTTTACACAGAAATATACTGTAAGATAGATTGACTGTGTATTTTGTGGATGAAATTACACACAGCAGTGTCCCACAAACAGTCGTGGATTGAATGACTTCGCCCCACCTGGGAATCAAACTCGAATCCTCTCGCATTCTAGGTGAGCGCCTTAACCACTACGCTACAGGACTCCACAAAGGATCCTTACTTTATACCTGCCTCGCCGACGACTTAATTCCTATGTAAACTATGTTATGTAAACTACCGCGGAAATCATTGCTTCTCCTTACGTTTCCCGTGATGACCATGCAGCCCAGCTGATCGATGATCAGGACATCGAGCTGTGAGGGGGGCTGGCAGAACTTCTGCTGCAGGATTTGAAGAATGGGTTCCATCACCTTCGGGGTGTCCCTCAGTGCCACGGCGATGTGGCCCAGGGAACGGATGGTGTGGTCGGGGATCAGGTGGGCCTCTCTGAGCGAGAGAAAGACAAAACGAGTTTCAGTTCCAAACGGAAGAAGTGCATCCACGGAGACGTCACTATACCTACACACAGCGTCCAGGCTTTCACACAAGGCTTCCTGACTCAAACGCCACGCAAGGAGGTTCAGTCGATTAAATCTGGAGACGGTAGGCAATCACAAGCATTTCCAGATTGCAAGGAAGATACAAAGGAAAGAGGCACGTCTCACGGTTCTGACCGTAACCAGCTCGTTACACCAGCACTTTGTCTTACTCACTTATCGTTCTCTTGGGAGATGTAGAGTCGATTGGATAAGCTGGCTAAGAATGCTTCCACGATCACTGGGTCTGCGGCTGACCCTGCCTTTAGACACCTAGTTAACAAAAATACCAACGCCATTAGTGTCACAAAGGGCAACGAACGTACAGATAACCTCAACAGTCTAGAAAGTGTTGCAGACCCCTCTCACAGACAGCATTCAAGCCTCATCCGAGCAAGAAGGTTCAGTGCCATTGCATAATAATAATAATCCTTACATTTGATACAGCGCCTTATCACGTCTTTGAGACGTCTCAAATATACTGTGAAGTGAATTGACTGTATATTTTGTGGGTGCAACGCAGCAGCCAATTGCGCACAGCAGTGTCCCAGAAACAGTCGTGCAAATAAACAGTCCACAACAGCTTACCTGCAGATGTTATCTATAGCAATGTCTCGGAGTTGCTCGTACATAGACTGCTGCTTTTTCTTAGATAACAGCATATTCACTGTAGCTTCTGAATGCTCGTTAGTTATACTGATTTTAATGTCACTCCCACCTCCTTTAACAGAAGAAAAGTGAATAATTACATGCTGTGCCTTAAAAAACAATTCTCCTCATCTCCTCTCTGGTTCTTTTGCCAAATGGTGTTGGAGGTTTTTAAATAGGATTTTATTTACACGGCGCTAATAACAACACATGACATTTACACAGCGCCTTTCACGTTGGGAGGACGTGCCAAGGTGCTGGACAGTCAGGGATTTGGACCCGAGCTGGGGGTTGGGATCAGGAGGGGTGGAGGGCGGGGAGGGTAGGAGTAGGAGAGTGACCGAAGGCACGTTCGAAGAGGAAGGTCTTGAGAAGGGCATTGAAGGAGGCGAGGGACTGTGGGATGGAGTTCTAAAGGGTGGGGGAAGAGAGCCTGACCGTCGATGGTGGGACAGGCAAGGCGGGAGGGAGACATGGAGCAGGCTGGAGCCTGCTGAGTTATAAAGGGATCACTGTACATTTTATAAATTTGCAAGAGAGATTGCAGCTGAAGCAGGAGTTAGCATGTGTTTACCTGAAGTGAATTGACTGTGGTATTTGTACAGCTTGACCAGCACTGGGGAAGGCACCACCAGGAAATCTCTCAGTGACGCAGTCACCAAATGAACCGTAACCGGAAACCGTTCACACAATCGCCCCAGACCCTGAGCAAGCACAATAACAATATAATAATACTCGCATTTGATACAGCGCCTTATCACGTCTTTGAGACGTCTCAAAGCGCTTCGCAGGATACACTGTAAGGTGGATTGACTGTATAATTTATGGGCAAAACGCGGCAGCCAATTGAACAGGACGTACACAGTGAACTGAATTTGAAAACAGGCAACGAACATGACCTACCTGCAAACAGCAAATCAGCAAGGGCATGTGGGACAAAATGATTTTACTGGATGTCTTAGACTGCAGCTTTTCCGAAAGCTTTGAACACAGATTCTCCGCGCCTTCAAAGGAATAATATGACAGTCAGAACATCTGAATTCACCCGCTTTGCAGACTAACTGACCCTCACTGCTCGTTTGTAACATCTCAAATTATTTCAGTCACCGTCTACACAGAATGTGCTGTAGCTGCAATTATATAATAAAATTAATCCTTGCATTTGATATTGTGCCCCATCACCTCGTTGAGATTAATTAACTAAAAGAAGTTGGTTTACACAGCGCTCCCTCACACAGGGGAGCGTCCCAGAGCGCTTAAGACAGTGGTGGAGCACGACGCTGAGCCGATGGGAGGTGACCGTAGGCACGGTTGAAGAGGAAGGTCTTTAGGCGTGACCTGAAGATGGGGAAAGAGGGGGCAAGGCGGGGAATAGAGGAGACAGTTCCAGAGTTTCGGGGCCTAGTGGCTGAAAGTGTGGTCACTGATAGTGGAACAGAGGACGCCAGGGACCAGCAGGAGGCCGGAGCCATAGGGATTTACGGCAGAGAAGACCATTTGTGTCGGTGCCACACGACTTCTCAGACCAGCCAAAAGTTGTGTACCTTGCTCATCCTTCACTGCCCACACCATCAGGTCCACACAGGCAGCGTTGGCTTGGCAGCGGAGCTTTAGAGGGTTGAACTCGTTCTGGAAATGGTCCATGTCGTGTAAGATCTTCTGCAGTTCAGACTGGCTGCTGCTGAACTGCTCCAGTACAAAGTCGTGCACCTCCTTCACGAAGCCGGACTGCAGGTCTGCGAGCGCACGAGGGAGTTTAAATCGCAGGCAGTTACCTTTGTATAGCGCCTTTCACGTAAGAGAGGCATTCCAAGGCGCTGGAGAGTCAAGGATTTACACAGCAACATCCCCGCAAATGGCCGTGAAGCGAGCGGCTTTCGGGCCAGGAGTGTGTTCCACGAGATTTAACGTGTAGTGACTGTGAATCTGATACTCCCCGGTGATTTCACGAAGCCTCGTTGCGTAATGGTAGCCCCATTCATTGCTCAGATGAGCGCAGCGCACACGGGGAGTAAATAAGAATAATAATCCTTATATTTGATACGGCGCCTTATCACGTCATCGAGACATCTCAAAGCGCTTCACAGAATATACTGTAAAGTGGATTAACTGTGTATTTTGTGGGAGAATGGTACGATGATACAAAGAGCTTTCCTCGTCCCCTTATTGCCAGCTCAGATGAAATTGCTGCCGGATACAGCTCCGGGTGAAGCTTACCTTTCATGTAGTACAAAGTGTCCCTCAGCATTTTGAACACCACCACGTAGAGAGGATCACTGAAATTTTGGTAATACAGGTCCAACCCTGGGCTGGTCTGAAAATATAATAATAATAATTATCCTTACATTTACATCCTTACATAAGTCGTATCAGTTGGGACTAAACATTTAATATGACTGATGCAAAGTGAATTGTGTGAAACTTATTAATAATTAGGAAATTATTGCATGGGCAGATATACAATTTAGGTGATTATACGATTTATACGAGTTTTACTGTAGCGCCTTATCATGTCGCTGAGACATCTCAAAGCGCTTCATAGAATATATTATAAAGTGGAGTGGCTGTATTTTTTTTGTGGGTGAAACGTGGCACATCAAAAAAGACACAAAAACTCACTCTGCTGTTAAATCGTACAAAGTGCAGGAATGTCCTCGTGTCATGTGTTGCAGTGGCTTTGACCCTGACAATTGTAAACAATTAATCAACACCCCAATTCCTTACCTCTATAACCTCCAGCAAGGCCTCATCCAAGGCTTTCAGAACCGGCTCTGGCACAATCCGTTTGACCTGAGGGCGGATGAAAGATCTCTTCAGCCATGAAAAGATTCAAGCAAAATAGCAGAACTCCACAGGAAGGCTCACACAGTCACAGGAAAAATAATGTGACTGTAAAACGTTCAGTGTACAGACGCTACAGGTATTTGCATTTTAATAATAATAATAATCCTTGCATTTGACATAGCAACTTATCATGGCATCGAGGCGCCTCAAAGCGCTTCACAGAATATACTGTAAAGTGAATTGACAGTGTATTTTGTGGGCGAAACGCGAGATAAACAAGATTTTCTGCTGTTTGTCTCCCTGTTTCCCAGAGAATGAATCAGTTCCTACCATGTGCAGTAGCTGTCGGAGGCTGTCCATGGGGATATCAAACTCCTTCTTGCTGCAGCCGGTGAACAGAGGGGACACGGAGAAGCTGGAGCTAATGTTGCAGAAGTAATACTGGGGATCCAGAGCACTGCCATCAGGCAAGTACGCACCTACAGCAAGAATCACAACACAATCAATAATAATAACCCCTGCGTTTGATACAGTGCCTTAGCACGTCGTTGAGACGTCTCAAAGTGCTTCACAGGATATATTGTAAAGTGTAGTGACTGTGCAGTCTCGGGCTCACCTTCAAAATACTGCAACGTGGCTGCTCCGGGGGAGGAAGGAAGTACAGAGCGCTCGGGACTTGCCTGGAATGTTAAGCGAATAACAATATGTCAGGACTGCAAACTGTGGAGCTCAGGACATTCGTCCTTGTGTTTGACACAGCACCTCAACATGCTGAAATGTCCCAAAGCGCTTCCCAACAATAACAAAATGACATTTATAGCGCGCCTTTCACGTCGGGAGGACATCCCAAAGCGGGATGGAGTTCCAGAGTGTGGGGGCAGAGAGGCTGAAAGCCCGGCCACCGATGGTAGGTCGTGAGAGAGACATGGAGCAGGCCAGAGCCCGCTGAACGGAGGAACGCAGCATCCGATTCACACACAGCGATGTCCCACACAAAGTGAATGAGCTTTTAGTTTTAATGTAACCTGGACACTGGGAGAGACATCCTCCCGTTACTGTGCCAGCCTGGCTCAGCAGCCACACCCCGGCCTCTGTTCTGGGACAAAAACAACAAATGACACTGACGCAACGCCTTACGTGTCAGGAGGACGTCCTGCCGCACCTGAGCTGGGGATCAGGAGGGGATGGAGGGCAGGGAGGGTGGGGGTAGGAGGGTGACAGAAGGCGCTGTCGAAGAGGGTCGAAGAGGACGGACCTGGGAGACGTTGGAGATGCTGCTGGTTTTGCGCCGCAGGCTGTCGCTGGACTGGCAGACGGCCAGCAGGGAGCTGGGCAGGATGGAGCGGAAATCGTTGAAGGAACGCCGGCGGATTCCCTCCATCTCCTCTGGAGCTCGGGGCGACTGTGGCGACATCTTCGGGAAGAGCTTAGAGAGAAGGGATTCGTCCGCATTGCTGTAGCGGCCGAAAGCTCTGCTGGTGCCGATCAAGCTCGGCACTATGTATCTGCACAGGTATTCTGCAAACAATACATAACATGGGTATTGGTGCAGTGTTAAGCTTGTTAACGTCACTACGCCCCAAGCTTTGGAACTCTCTCCCCCCCCAATCCCACCACCTCGCCCCCTCCTCCTTCCCCTCTTTTAGATCACGACTGAGGACCTTCAACCGGCCTTCTCCCTCCCCCGTCTCGGCATTAGGCTCCGTCACTGTCAAATAATCCGCAATACTGCCCCGCGTGAAGAGCGCAAGTGGTTGTTGTGCTGTGGAATTCTACCAAGTGCATTCTCAACAGTTCTGGTTGTATTATACCGTTGCTTTGTGAAGTTAACGTGATAAAGTGCCATAAAATGTAAATTTGCTCTCTGTCGCTCAAACGTATTTAAGTGATGCAATTCTTGTAGCTCTGGTGTTAGTCAGAGCAGTAGAGAACTACCTTTATCCTGAGTCTGAGGTGCCAGACATATCCCCAACAGCACCTCCATCACTTCCAATATAGTCACCAGGATCTGTGAAGCCATTCAAAGATAGATATTTCAGCTTTAAAGACAATGTTCGATGTTCTCCATTAAAATGTAAACGCTGCAGCGCTGCACAGATTCACCGTGAAACCTGTTGTTCGCCCCCACAACAGCTACAGAGGCCAGAACAGAAAGGCAGAACATTATTCACACGTACCGTGTACCTCTATTACATGTACCCTTCCTCACGCACGCGTTTATCCACACGCATGGTCCACTGTTATTCACACCCAATGTGAACATGGTGATCTAACTGACTGGTTTGTCCTCTATCACACAAAGCAAGGTATCGTACAACCTGCTGGGCTAAAAGGCTGCAATGATCGCACAACTCGCACGGTGAAAGGCTTTTGTTCTTCGCAGGTCGCGACACGACAGAGTTACCTGAACCCGCAGCGTGGTGTCCTTCAACGCCACGTCAAACAGCAACGTCACCAGAGAGAAACTGAAGTTTTCAGCCACAGGAAGCTTTTCTGCCAGAGCAAAACAAAGCAACGACAGTCAATAGTCACAATGATAATAACTACCATAAACCTTGCAATTGATACAGCATCTTTCACGGCAGGAGGAATCTGATCATGCTTCGCAGGATTTCTGGTTAAATGGAGTCCTGTAGTGTAGTGGTTAGAGCACTCGCCTCGCACGTCCTGGTTCGATTCCCGTACGGGACGAGTTTCGTTACTCCATACACCTGTTTACCTAGCAGTAGAACCCGGCAAATCGACTAACAACCAGGTTATAAAAATAATTTGATCACTCAATCCATGACTATTTGTGGGACACTGCTGTGTGCAATTGGATGCCACGTTTCGCCCACAAAATACACAATCACTCCACTTTACACTTGATATTACCAAACTGGGCTGGTGATTATAAGAGGAACCGGATGGTGAGAGCACGTACCACGACATTTCTTGCCACAGCTGTCTTCGATCCATTGGACTTTTGGCAATCCTTTCAAGAGCCTCAGGAGATAAGGGACCAATGTGTCTTTGTGCTGGGGATGGAAAAGAGAGGCTCACAGTTAAAGCAGGAAATGAAGAAGGCTAGAGTAATTTCTTTCTAGTCGCAGGGAAATTGTGTTGTATTTTTCTTTGAAAATGTAACTACATGTCCCGGATCTATTTTAATATGCTAAGGTTAGTGAGTCCTATAGACAGTCAGAAATCCATTAAAAACATTAGTCCAATTTCATATTTTTCAATGTTATTTTTGCATATTATATAAACATATAAGTTAGTTTTTAGTTCCACTACCATACATAACACAGGTAGATATATAGCAGATATATTATATATAGATTTGCATACAATATCTCCTGTGAAACGCTTTGAGACATCCACCTGATGTAAAAGGCGCTTTCCCAAATGTAAGATTATTTTTTATGTATATACACGTTTCACCCACAAAATATAGTCAACTCACTTTGCAGTAAATTCTGTGAAACGCTTTTAGACGTCTGGAAGACGTAATAAGGCGCAATATCAAATGTAAGGATTATTATTATTATACACACATATATACACAGACAGGTGCAAAATTAATAGGAAATAATTTACTCATTATTATAAAAATGAACATGTTCCGTCCACAAAATAAACAGTCAATCCATTCACATCCATTTACAATATATTCTGTGAAGCTCTTTAAGATTTCTCAACAATGTGATAAAGCGCTATATCAAACAAGGATTTCATTTTTAGAACATTTAATAAGGAAAACTAATTTTGTGTTTTTCAACTGTGAAGAACTTATATTAAACAGTTGCAAAACTATTTGGTGGATAGAAACAGGTGAATGTCAGAAGAGAGGAGTCGATATAGGCTGTAGATCGTCATACCTGAAGGTCTGACTCCACCAAGAAAATGCCCAAAGCAATAACAGCGTTCCTGCGCCTTTCATCCAGCTGGAAAATGCCATGAAAATCCACAGGGCACATACATAACAACTTTTCTACCTGTAAGGAAGGAAATGACGAAAATTTGTCTGCATGAAGAGTACAATTCAAATACAATTTTACTTCCTTTGCAATTCCGAATGTGTAACCCAGCAACTATCCTGATGGTCTTCAGAGGAACCTTCACCAAATGTCTTTTGAAAGACACCTCCTGCAGGACGGCACCGTCACCTGCCGCTGCTGTCACATCCTTTTAAGAATAAGAGTCACTGACAAACATCTGCTGCCTTTCAGAAACTCACAACAATCTCATCTAATTCCACTTTGTGCTTGAAAGCCACTTGCGTTCCTCGGGCGCGGTGCGAGGAAGGCCAAGGGGGGAGACAGGGGGAGAGGGCCCGTGAGGAGGGAGGGGGAGGGAATGAGAGAGCATGAGGGGGTTAGAGAGGATCAACGGAGGGTAAGAGAGGGTGAGGAGAGGATGGGGGAGAGAGAGGATGGGGGGGAGAGAGGATGAGGGAGAGAGAGGATAGGGGAGAGAGAGGATAGGGGGGAGAGAGGATGGGGGGGAGAGAGGATAGGGGAGAGAGAGGATAGGGGGGAGAGAGGATGGGGGAGAGGATGGGGGAGAGAGAGGATGAGGGAGAGAGAGGATAGGGGAGAGAGAGGATAGGGGGGAGAGAGGATGGGGGGGAGAGAGGATGAGGGAGAGAGAGGATGGGGGAGAGGATGGGGGGAGAGAGGATGAGGGAGAGAGAGGATGGGGGAGAGGATGGGGGGAGAGAGGATGAGGGAGAGAGAGGATGAGGGAAAGAGAGGATGGGGGGCGAGAGGATGGGGGGGGGAGAGGATGGGGGGAGAGAGAAGATGGGGGGGAGAGAGGATGGGGGGAGAGAGAGGATGGGGGGGAGAGAGAAGATGGGGGGGAGAGAGGATGGGGGGGAGAGAGAGGATGGGGGGGAGAGAGGATGGGGGAGAGAGAGAATGGGGGAGAGAGAGGATGGGGGGGGAGAGAGGATGGGGGGGGAGAGAGGATGGGGGGGAGAGAGAGGATGGGGGGGAGAGAGGATGGGGGGAGAGAGAGGATGGGGGGAGAGAGGATGGGGGGGAGAGGATGGGGGGGAGAGAGGATGGGGGGAGAGAGGATGGGGGGAGAGAGGATGGGGGAGAGAGGATGGGGGGGAGAGAGGATGGGGGGAGAGAGGATGGGGGGAGAGAGGATGGGGGAGAGAGGATGGGGGGAGAGAGGATGGGGGGAGAGGATGGGGGAGAGAGGATGGGGGAGAGAGAGGATGGGGGGAGAGAGAGGATGGGGGGGAGAGGATGGGGGAGAGAGAGGATGGGGGAGAGAGAGGATGGGGGGGAGAGAGGATGGGGGGAGAGAGGATGGGGGAGAGAGAGGATGGGGGGAGAGAGGATGGGGGGGGAGAGGATGGGGGGGAGAGAGGATGGGGGGGAGAGAGGATGGGGGAGAGAGAGGATGGGGGGAGAGAGGATGGGGGGGAGAGAGGATGGGGGGGAGAGAGGATGGGGAGAGAGAGGATGGGGGAGAGAGGATGGGGGGAGAGGATGGGGGGGAGAGAGAGGATGGGGGGAGAGGATGGGGAGAGAGAGGATGGGGGAGAGAGAGGATGGGGGGGAGAGGATGGGGGGAGAGAGGATGGGGGAGAGAGGATGGGGGGGGAGAGGATGGGGGAGAGAGAGGATGGGGGGGAGAGAGAGGATGGGGGGGAGAGGATGGGGGGGGGGGAGGAGACGGGCTGAGGGGAGGAGGATGAGACTGAGGTGAGAGGCAGGTGACCCTCAGCTGCCCGCGGGCCGCATCCGGCCCGGCCTCGCGCCCCTCCCCCGGGAGGTTAACCCCTGGCTGCCCAGTGCGGGCCTGTGGGCGGCGGGGAGGGAGGGAGGAGGGAGGGACAGAGGCCTGACCTTGTGAATAGAGGCGGGTGTCTGGGCGGCCAGGGAGCGGGCCAGGCTCAGCACGGTGCTCAGGTAGAAGCCGCCGCCGCCGCCTCCCCGAGCCGCCACGTCCGCCATCTTGGACCAGCAGCCGTCCAGCCAATCAGCGGCCGGCGCCCCCCACGGGCCAATCAGCAGCCAGCACCAGGCAGCCAATCAGCAGTCCCGGGGGGGGCGGGCGAGCGGCACGTGACGGGGGCGGAGGCTGACGCCGGCGTGACGCGGTGACGCCGACGTCACGCGATGACGCCGTGCGTGAGAGTCAGCTGACTGAGGGGACGACCCCCTCCGGAGCCCAACATGGCCGCCTACCCCAACAACTACAACCCCTTCGCCGAGGTGGAGGAGGAGGCGGCGGCTGAGAGCGCGGCCTGGCGGCGGGGAGAGCCTGGGGACGGGGTGGAGGAGGAGCCGGAGCCTGGCGCCCCGGGCCGGCAGCGCTACCTGCAGCAGGAGGTGCTGAGGCGGGCGGAGCGCACGGTGCAGAGCAGCGACAGGAGCGTCGCCTTGATATACGAGTCCGAGAAAGTCGGCACCGAGACCGCGGAGGTGGGTCCCCGGCCCCGGGGGGGAGAGGGGGTGTGGGGGGGGGAGGGGTGTGGGGGGGAGAGGGTGTGTGTGTGGTGGGGGGAGGTGTGTGGGGGGGGGGGAGAGGGTGTGTGGGGGGTGGTGGGGGAGGGTGTGTGGGGGGGTGTGGGGGGGGGTGTGTGTGGGGGGGGGGGTGTGTGTGTGTGGGGGGGGTGTGAGGGGGGTGTGTGGGGAGGGTTTTGGGGGAGACTGATTTGGGGTGAGGTTGTGTGTGTGAGGTGGGGGGGAGCCTCTTGGGGTGCGAGAGGCGGGGGGGGGGGGGGGGGGAAGGGCAGCTTGTTTTTGAGGGTGGGGTTTATTCCCAGCGCCGACATCTAATCCAAACCTCCCGCTCGACAGGACTGACTGTAAAACGTAGTGACTGTGTGTTTTGAGGGTGAACACCACAGTCGATTTGCGAGCGGTGACATCCCATAAACAGCCATGAAATGAGCCACCGATTTTAATCGGGTAGTTTGTGAGCCCGGACACCGGGAGAGATAGACCCCCTCCTCTTTTCGGTTCACCACAAGGGATCTTTAATGTCTGCCTGTTCGGGATCTGGGTTTAACGTCTCGTGCAAACGAAGAGTTAATCGGGTGCTTTCTGCTCGTGTTGGGTTTTCACATGAGCGCACGAGAGTTTCACTGTTATCAACAACAACAACCGATGACATTTGCACAGCACCTTTCACGTTGGAAGGTTGGGATCAGGAGGGTGACCGAAGGCGGGGTCGAAAGGAGGGTCTTGAGCCGTGCCTTGAAACAGGCAAGGTGGGGAGGGAAGTGAAAGGACTGAAGGATGGAATGGAGGGATTGTTCTTGGTGGACTGGAGATTTTCTATTTACCGACTAGCCTGGGAGAACGTCATTTTCAGATCTGACTTGAAAAAGAGAGACAGCAACAACATGCATTGAAGACTTTAGTCTTTCCACGGGTTACGTGGCAGAGCCATGTTTTGCTGTCATGTATATTCCAATAAAAATTCTAGCTTTATTTTCTACACAGGAACTAATGCGACAAGGGGAAGCACTGAAGCGAACAGAGACGATGATTGATAGAATGGACAATCAGCTGAAAACCAGCCAAAAGCACATCAACAGTATCAAGAGCATCTTCGGGGGCATTAAAAACTACTTCCAGTTCAAGAAGGAGGAGCCCACGCCATCTCCTACCCCGGATTATAAACCCAATAGCAAGTGAGTACAGCCACTGAAAGGGAAGTGAATGCTTTCCTGTCACACACAGAGAGGGAGAGTGTGGAGTCCTGTAGAGTAGTGGTTAGTGAGGACCCTGATTTTTGTATGTACACTCAATGCATGACTGTTTATGTGACACTGCTGTGCGCAATTGGCTACTGCGTTTCACCCATAAAATATACAGTCAATTCAATTCACTACAGTATATTCTGTGAAGCGCTTCGAGAAGTGTCAATTACGTAATAAGGCGCTATATCAAATGCAAGGATTATTCTGTATAAACAAAATGCAAAATTCTGCAGATGCTGGAAATCTGAAACAAAAACAGAAGTCACTGGGAACACTGTGAAGACTGAAAACTGGGGCATGCCTCCCCCTTCTCTGTCAGTCCTTAAAAGCCTCTCCCTTCCAACATGCCCCATTTCTGACAAAGGGTCATGAACCTGAAACATTGACTTACTTTCCTTTCTCTATAGATGCTGCCTGACCTGCTGAGTGTTCCCAACCACTTCTGTTTTCGTTGCAAGGATTATTATTATTGTAGATAATCAGTCCTGGTCAACAATCATTCTGGTTAATTGGCCATTTGTCTCAAATTGCTTTTTGGGACCTATTAAAAAGCCTCTTCATTTAATAATACAATGATGATGATAATAATAAATTAACAGTGGCGAGCACTTTAAGATGTTCCCTCAACTTTGTAAAGATGCTTTGTAAATATAAATTTGTATTAACAATAATTATAAGTTAGTGTAACTATAATCATATTATTAAATTTGCATTGTTTGTAAGTGTTGTGTTTCTGTCCTTCTTGATAGGTTGTCACAAGCTTTGGACGTAAGCAAAGAGCAGGAAGCAAACTACCAGGCTAGGCACCCCAACCTGCAGAATCTAGACACTTCAGGTACTCGTTTCCTTAATAATGAGACGCTACCCTGTGTGGGGGTTGCTATATAAAGCAACGACAAGCAATAAAGAATGAATATGTGCAGCCCACATCCCAACATCTCAAAGACGTGATAAAGCACTGTATCAAATGCAAGGATTATTATTATTACATAAGACCATCATAAACACTATATGAGCTGGTTATTTGTGATGTAGAGAAGAACGTGGTCCTGTGTGTAACACTAGACAGCACAGGGTTAATAATAAAGCTTTAGATTGTTTTGTTGGCAGTATGTTTTTTCTTCTCTTTAGTATTTCACTCACGAAATACAGTCACTACTGTATATCCAGTGAAGCGCTTTGAGACGTAGCAACGACAGGATAAGGCACTGTATCAAATGCCAGGATTATTATAGTGTGTAGTTTGGATTTACAACGTTAGGTGGCGATGCACACTGCCAATGTGATGCCAATCTACACGATGATGATAGTTGCCTACTGTATACAAGGAGTGGATCAGCTGGGAGCCCGACAGATGAGATCAGTTACTAACTCGGTTATTATGACAGTATTTAGCAGTAGAATGTTTGACATTTACCTTGTAAAATGTGTGGAGTCTTGTAACGTATTGGTTAGAGCACCTGTCTCGCAAGCGAGAGAACCCAGGTTTGATCCCTTCAAAATAAAATAATAATTTGGTCACTCAATCTACAACGGTTTGTGGGACACCGACATGCACAATTGGCTAGTGCGTTTGGCCTGCAAAATCTATAGTCAATTCACTTCTACAGTATATGCTGTGAAGCGTTTTGAGACCTCAAAGATGTGATAAGGCTCTGTATTAAATGCAAGGATTATTATTAAAATTATCTGAATGTGAGCTAGATATGTGTTTTTCATCTCTCTCGATTTAGGCTTTGGAGCGAGTAGCAGTGCCTCCCCTGCAGATACCAACACGTACCCTAAGAACCAGCACCTCCGCACTTACCACAAGAAAATAGATGAAAATCTAGGTAAGCTGCGTTCATGTTTACTTGGTACATAACAGACTTTACTTTGCACGTGTAATCCCAGCATAGCGTCAGTGCGTGATAAGTGTTATTATTTATTAATGTTCCACTTGCCTTTTTCTCCCCCCCCCCCCCTCTGCTTGCAGATGAGATGTCCTCTGGTCTGGGCCGATTGAAAGGCCTGGCCTTGGGCCTGCAGTCGGAGATCGAGGAACAAGATGAGACAATTAACCATTTAACCTCCAACACAGACAACATGAGCTCAAAGATCACAGCCACCGATAGGATGATCCGGAAACTATAAAAAGTGCCACGCCTTAACAATAAAGGGACTTCTTCCTGTGATAATCTACCTTCGTCTCAGAAGTTAAAGTTTCTCAGCGGAAGTCAACACGGGCAGGATTCTCTCAAGCAAATGCACACTCGCTGAATCGTTCTCTTAACACAAAACCTTTTTCTGAATGTGTTCCCTTACATCTTTAGTGTGCCAGCTGCCTTGTATTTCATTCAGATTTGTATACAGTAAAACTCACACGTCTGATAGGTATAAATCGTATAATTGCCTAAGTTGTATATCTGCTCAAGGGTTTATATTCTATTCAACTTTGCATAAGTCATATTAAATGTATTATCCCAACTGATGTGACTTATGTGAGGTTTACTGTAACATCAAAATACTCCTTAATGAAAAAGAAAATTAATATAACACAGAGAGAAAAAGTTCCCTTTCTCAGTCTGATTTATGCCCTTTGAAAACATGGGAATATATCCCATTTCTTTCCCAAGCAACACTGCAAGTAGATTGAAAGGGACCCAAAATAGACCAATTTCTTATGAATGATGTTGTAATGTCAAACTCCAATAATAATATTCCTCATTGGAGAGCAGATGTGAATGTGCTGAAATGTATTGATGTCAGTATAGACGTCTTAGCTTTGAGGTATTGCCTGTTTTTGATTCAGTGCATCTATTTTAGTGGCTGTCATGCTGACCAGTCTGTCATGTGATCTAACTTGTGGGGCTTCAATGTGTAAGAACCGAACAAATGTGACTTGATAGCTAGCTGTGTTTTTTTAAATGGAAATTAATATATAAATCCAGCACCAATAAACACTGACTGCAGACGCCTTGGATAGTTATGCATATCAGACACATCCAGGTGTGGAGCAAATGGACCTTTTATATGTTGTTTAAACAATTGCAGGCTGCTTTGAATTATCCCCCCTTAATTAGTAATAATAATACTTGGGTATTATGTATATACTCCGCTGTGTGGAATTCTGGAGTCCTGTAGTGTATTCTGGAGTAAAAACATAAGAATTAGGAGTAGGCCACTCGGCCCCTCGAACCTGCCTCGTCATTCGATAAGATCATGGCTGATCTTCAGACCTAACTCTAATTACCTGCCCTATCCCCATATCCCCTAACCTCTTTTTTTAAAAATCTATCAGTCTCAGCCTTGAAGATGTTCAAGGACTGAACATCTACAGCCTTCTGGGGTAGTGAATTCCAGGGGAAACAGACCCTCAGTGTCTATCAGCCCTTTAAGAATCTTATATGTTTCAATAAGATCTCCCCTAATTCTTCTGTACTCTAGAGAATACAGCCCCAGTTTATTCAGCCTATCCTCATAGGTCAGTCCCCTTATCCCAGGAACTAACCGAGTGAATCTACGCTGCACGCCCTCCAGGGGAAGTATGTCCTTTTTTAAATAAGGACCAAAACTGCACACAACGCTCTCAGTGCGGTCTCACCAAGGCCCTGCACAGTTGCAGCAAGACTTCCCTACTCTTGCACTCTAAACCTTTTGCCATGAACGCTAACATGCCATTCACCTTCTTAGTTGCTGCTGCACCTGCAAACTAACTTTTTGAGACTGGTGTCCGAGGACACCCAAATCCCTCTGGACACTAACACTATCTAATCTCTCCCCCTCTAGAAAATAATCTGTTTTTCTATTTTTTCTACCCAGGTGAATAACTTCACACTTCCCATATTAAATTCCATCTGCCACCTACTCGCCCACTCCCCGAGCCTATCTATCCCGTTGCAATCTTTTTGCATCATCCTCAGAGCTTACTCTCCCACCGAGTTTAGTGCCATCCACAAATTTAGATACGTTACATTCAATGTCCTTGTCTGGATCATTGATGTAAATTGTTAATAGCTGAGGCCCAAGCATTGATTCTTGTGGCACTCCACTAGTCACATCCTGCCAATTCGAGATTGACCCGTTTATCCCTACTCTCTGTTTTCTACCCGTTAGCCACTCTTCAATCCATGCTAATATGTTCCCATTAATCCTGTGGGTCTTAACCTTGTGCAATAGCCTTTTGTGTGGCACTTTCATACTTGTTGGACAAGGTTAAAGCCTGGGGTTCCTCTGCCCCTCTCTTTTGGGTCCCCTTATACGCCTATCTGACCGTCACCCAGTCCTGTCCGTGGCTGGCAACGGAATGTTCCCTGGGACTCGTGGGAGTGTGTGGCTTCAGGATGAAACTGTCCCGGAAGCTCTCCCCATCTCTTAATGCTGCGCAGTGTCTCCACCTGAGACTCCAGCTCAGCTATTCTAAGCTGGAACTTCCTCAGTTGCAGACATTTGCTGCAGATGAAGGCGCCCGGGCTCAGGATGCCCTCCATCAACTCCCACATACCACATTCCTCACACATCACCTGCCAGGTCATTCCTCTCACTCTATTTATCCCTGTATTATTGTCGTTTAGAAGATATACTACAACCTTACACCTAATTCCCACTCTCACCCAATTCCTTCTCACTCTGGCCTCGCCTCACTCCGGACGTAGCTCACTCTGGGCTCTCTGCTCAAGTCAAGTAAGGAAACTTGCCTAAGGTTTTGCCCAGCCCGGGAATCAAACCCGGACCCTCTCACTTGCGAGGCAAGTGCTCTAACCATTGTGATACAGGACTCCACATATTTTGAAGTTACTCCCTCAAAATGAAGGATAAGCTCTGACGGACAATTTTAACGACAGGAATCGACCGTGACTGGAGGAAAAGGAACGTCTGCTTTTATTGTAGGCATCTTGCCTCCAGAGGTTTTTTCTTAAAAAAAAACACACATTTTTTAAAAATCTGTCCTTAAGATTCCGCTTTCCAGTAAATTCCGTCTTGTCATCGCAGCAAATTTTGTTTCCGAATCTTCAAAGGGAATTCGGGAAAACTCATTACACCTGCCTATTGCCCCATTAACCTGCTGGAGTTAGGGTCAGGGTTAGTGGTTGCGAGGTCACAGAGTCGGATACCCTGGAGGGTTTGTTCGGGGCTGTTGAAAAGCTACTGTGTGTGTCTGGGAATCTGTGCTGAAACAAAAACGGCTGCGTTTTTGAATCGCAGCAAGACAAGACCTTGACAAAACTCCTTTGAGAGCCCCACAAACACAGAGAGAGAGCAAAAGACTCTGTTCGTAGATGTTCTTGAGTCTGGCGAGGCAAGTATTGTTACTCCACACACCTCTGTTTACCTTGCAGTAAGTAGGAACCCGATTGTTAGTCAAAATGACTTAAAAGTTACATGTCCACCTCTCACATTCTGTTGCATTAACATGAAAGAGTTTCGACTAATTGCCTAAGAGTCGAAATGGCAAAGATCGGTTTCAATTCCGGGAGGAAGATCAGTGCCACTTGACAGCTTAACAACGTAGCTTTAAAAAGCACCCAAGTACAACACACTGCTGGTCAGACACAGTTTTTATAATTCAAACCCCCTGATGTAAAGTATTTGAAAAGTAAGCGCTCTTTTTGTGTACTTTTTAAAAGTTTTTAAAAGATTTTTTGCAGATGCCGGGAAGTGTAACCTTTTTCGCTGCCGGTATCAGGAATGTTGGCAGCCAAGTGGTTTAAACAGCGATATAGCAAATAGATTTGCAGCATTTGCATCCAAATTTGAGACTATCGCGAATATTTTGAAAATCTCACTCAAACCATTGGCCGATTGTGTCTTATTCTGCCTTCAAACTTCAACAGTCTCGGCGTCAGCACATACCTTGGTGCAACATCCATTTCTGTTGCTCCCAAACTCTTTCTCATCAGTGTTCAATCGTGTCTGTTCCAATCCAGTTTCCGTTTTACTTCTGACGCCACGTAACCATTCTCAATCCACAATTCTGTTTATATTAAATAAATCCTTTATTCTCCTCTAATCACAACACCCCACAGCCTGCTCCCAGGATCCTCTGATACTTCCTGCTTCTGTTTCATTGGCTCTTTCTTAATTGCCATTTAACTTTTTAAAGCATTTTCCAGCATTCCTACAACAACAACTTGCTTTTACATAGCGTCCCTCGGGCAGGGTAGCGTCCCAGAGCGCTCCTAACTGCTGCCAGAGGAGGATAGATTAGAGAAAGCGAGGAATAAAACATGGCCAGTTCGGACAGGGGGAAATATTCAACAGAAAGCCATGGCACTATTCGAAAAGAGAAGGGAGTTTCTCTCTCCTGGTGACCTGGCCGACAATCCCTCAGATACAAAATTGGTCGCTCACTCGTGGCTTGTTCGTAGGACATTGCTGACTGCAAACTGGCTCCCGTGCAATTCAGACATACACTGATTTGAGGACACATTCACACGCACACGTATAGAACAAACATAGACATGCATACAAACACTCCTGCTTGCATACGCTCACAGAGGCACACAAGCACACACAACAGATCCACACACGCCACACACACATAAAACAGTCGCACACTCAACAAATACACGTGCAAATGCAAACAAAAGACACACGACACACATGCAGACACGCAACATACCAGCAAACAGATTAGCAAACACAAACACAACACAGATGCATGCCAAACACACACGCGCCACTTATATTGTTTAACAGCTCGCTCACATTAAAGCCATTCGTTTTACAAGGCCGAGGGGAGGGTGTGTGTGGAATGCTGACCCTTTGATGTGGATGCAAGTCAGTGTCACGGCTGAGAAAAGCCCCCTCCCGTCCTCGCACACCCCCATCCGCCTCCCGCTCCCCACCCACCTCCCTCCCCCCACCCCAGCAAAAAGTTATCGCTCACTCCCCCAGTTTGCTACACACACCCAGAAACAGTTCACACACAAAATACACCAACATATGTAGGAACTCAGTTGTTAGTCGATTGGTGAATTGCTTTTCAGGGGTAATAATCCTTCCCCCCTAAAAAACATAACGTGCGCACTCTCTTGAATATTGGCACATACACACGCTTGTGCACATGTGCATACATACATGTAGACCTGTGTATGTGCACACATACCCTTTCTCATACACTTGCATGCGCAAACACACAGTCCCAAGCATGTGCACACATACACACACCCATTCTTTCTCGCAGACTCACGTATGCAAACGCACACACACACACACACACAAGGACTGGGGCTGGTGGGTTACACTGTAAGTCAGGCACAATGGACCGGTCACATAATGAACAAGAAGCTCTCTTTGTGCTCAGCGAGAACAGCTGGCTCCAGCTGTTGTGTTGGGCCACAACGTGTTTCATTGAGATGAGCAGGAAACAGCTCTGGGTTTGTCAGACACACTGCATCATTGCCAATAACATGACAACATGGTTCATTGGCTGTCATTCCCAGCTCCTCTGAGTCACACTTAACAGAATATAGTAATGATAATGATAATAATCCTGGCATTTGACACAGAGCCTTAGCACGTCACTGAAACGTCTCCAAACCCTTCACAGGATATACTGTAAAGTGAATTGACTGTGTATTTTATGGGTGAAACGCGGCAATCGAGGATTATTATCCCCAGAAAGTGATCCACCAATCGACTAACAACTGGGTTCCTACTTACTGCTGGTAAACAGAGGCGTGTGTGGAGTAAGGAAACTTGCCTAAGGTTTTGCCCTGACCCGCCCGGGAATCAAACCCAGGTCTCTTGCTTGCGAGGCGAGTGCTCGAACCACTGAGCTACAGGATTCACACTCTGCTATTGGGTGGGAGTTGGGTGGGTGGGGGATGGTGGGGGAGAGGGCGATAACGCTATTATCGGAAGTACACAGTCATGCTTTATTGAAGTCGGGGCAGAATTACTCTAAAACATACTGTCTTCCTGAAAGCAAACAGTGCTGGTCGCAATGACAATGGGTTTGGGTTATGGTATGTCGTCCCTTTCAGGTCACGTAATCACTGAAGCCTCCAGCTGTCAGGAGCTATCAGACATGGAGGCGAGGGATGGTTCTCTCTGCCTTTTCTGAACCGCACTCGATGCCAGAAAAGGTTAAGCCGGGTTCATCAACCGCGGCTGACGCAAATCTTTACTCCAGTGTCCGTGAAACCTCCAGAGAAAGGTAACGCTGACACAGTCAGCGCCAGCAAACAGAAAAGCCTTTCAGCTCCCCTCCCTCCCTCACTCGCACACACACACACACTCCCTAACACATATACACACACACCCTCTCAAACACACACACATGCACACTCCCTCTCCCTCACACACACACAAAACACCGTTAATCACTTTACACTATATCCTGTGAAGCGCTTTGAAACGTCTCGAAGACGTGATAGGGCGTTGTATCAAATGCAAGGATTATTACTATTATAACTGAACTCTCTCTACACATACACACCCTTCTCCCTCCAACCCCCCCCCCCCCCCCCACCACCACCACACACACACGCACATGGACAGAATATACCTCCCAGCCTTCCAGTTGGGTACACAGGTCACTAGTTGCCCGGGGCATTAGGCCAGTTGACACATCATTTTGAAGTGTACATCATGTTGGGAGATTAACACTTTATTCAACCGCTTGCAAGCGAGGCATTGTGTTCCAATCCACTTACCCACAGCGAGTGAAGTTGACAGATGAAGTTGACGAGTGGATGAGAGGGGGTGGAGGGTGATGGAGCAATGATATAGAACTATGTAGCAAATGTGGAATCTCAACACTATGAGGAGTGTAAGCTGGAATCAATCTACAATTAATAGTGATTGGCAAACAATCAATAGTAATATTATTAATAATAATCCTTGCATTTGATATGTCCACAAAATACACAATCCATGACTGTTTGTGGAACGCTGCTGTGATAATTGGCTGATGCGTTTCAACCCCAAAATATACAGTCAATCCACTTGACAATATATCCTGTGAAGGGCTTTGAGATGTCTCGAAGACGTGATAAGGCTCTATATCAAATGTGAGGATTATTATTATATATAGAAAGTAAACACAAATCCAACCAGTCGTTATAACGATAACAGATTTATTTAACAGTAAATTTTAAATAAAAGTTCACTCCTGGTGTCTACACATTCCCATTGTTGCTTTCCCTAGTGACATAGTGTGTAGATAGACAAAAAAAATATATATAACTGGACAAACAGAAAATGGTTAAAAGGAAAATATCTGGAAGGAGGAATTTTGTATATATATACTGTATATTTATATATATAGTGTGTGTTTATTGGAGGTAGGTTATAGCAAAGGATTCAGAGGTAAAAGGTTGAAAACTGTTCTTGTGCTTTCTATAATAAAAAGTCATGCTTTTTTTTAAATCGTGAGGATACTTTCTCTGCATGTGCTTAACGTGGAAGGATATTGAGGTAAAAAAGCATGCAATGCAGCAAGATTATATAGGTGTGGGCTAAATGGTCTGTTTCCACACTGTGGATTCTGTGAAATTCTATGTATCTTGGGACCGTAGCTGTCTTTGAAATCTGGTGGACATAGAGATATAGAGTTGGATATAGGGGGGTGTTCCCATAAGTGATATTTGAACTCCGCAGCTCCTTCTCTCTCTCTTTCCCTCCCTCCCTCGCTGGTGTTGGGAGGTTGGACGAGGATTGTGTTCGCTGTTCTGTGTTGTCGTGGTTCGCCACAGAGTTAGTGCCATTAGATAAAGATTAGCGAGTGAGGTGGACATCGGCAATTCTCTACCAAAGAGCTTCTGACCCACGAGCCCTGGCAGCTGGGGGTCGAGGCCGCCGTCCAAAACGTCCTGAAAAGTAATTAGTTAATTAATAAACGATGGCAATCCTTGCATTTGATACAGCAACTCCCCACCTCGCCGCCACGTCTCAAAGCGCTTCACAGGATATATCGTAAAGTGGAGTGACTGTATATTTTGTGGGCGAAACGTGGCAGCCAATTGCGCACAGCAGCGGCCCCACACTAATATCACTACACCCCAAAACTCTGGAACTCCCTCAATCCCACCGCCTCGCCCCCCATCCCCCCTTCCCCCTTTTTCGGGTCGGGCCTGAAAATCTTCCTCTTCGAACCGTGGCTACGGTCACCTCCTCCCTTCTCCCCCCCGGCTCTGCGTCGTGCTCTGCCGATGTTTAAGCGCTCTCCCTGCGTGAGGGGCGCGGTATAAACGCACGTTGTTGTTGTTGTCGTTGGTGTTGCTTACCTGGTCCCTTGGAGTCCATCACCTTCACACCTGTCTCTGCTCCCCATGGCTTCTCCCTGACACTCCACACACACGCTCTTGTCTCTCAGCACCCGGCTCGTCCACGCTCCCTGTCGGCAAGCCCCGCTGACCTGCTTCACACGGAAATAAGCGCAGTAACTGTGGGGGGTGGGGTGGGGGGGGGGGGAGAGAGAGAGAGTGTTAGTGTCAGCACACACCAGACCCCTTGTCACGGATTTCACACACCAGCGTATATTATCCTAACTGGGCGTATCGCCTCCCCCTCTCTCTCTCCCTCTCACTCTCCCACCCTCCCTCCCTACCAATTCTCTCTCTCCCCATTTCTCTCTCTCTCTCCCTCTCTTTCTTCCCCTTTGTCTCCCTCTTTTCCCTCTCTTCCTATCCCTCTTTTCTCCCCCTTTTCTTTCACCTGTCTTTTCTCTCTCTCTCCCCCATGCCCCTTCTCTCTCTATTACTCTTCTTTTCTCTTTTTCTATCTCTCCCACACACCACCATTCAGCCTCAGATTGCTATACACCAGACAAAGGGAAACCATGTGGAACTCTCAGGAGTTTGGTTCGGATGCTATTACTCACAGAGACGTGTTTCCGCGTGTGTCAGACACCCGGCCGACAAAAACACACTCAAATATCCAACATTCAATTATCCATTCAATTTCCTCTCAGCCTACGCAGCCTTCCCAGCCAGCCCGCTCTGTCTGTCAGATAAATATTATTCCAAGTCGAAAATAGACTCATTGTCCAAAAGCCAACAGAACATTAAATATCTCTTCAAACTCAGTGTCATTGCCAGATACGCTCACTGGGATAGTAGTGTAACCTTATTAGCTGCAATGCTACAATGCCCAGTCTGTCTGGGACATGCGTAGGCTGTCAAACTAACAGTCTTATCAGATGTAATGACTGCCAGACTCACTGGGCGCTCACTGTTAATCCCAGACACTGGATTTCCGAACAGAAACTCAGTGATAGAGTTTGGAGCTCTTCCCTTGTCGAGAGGACCTGGGTTTGATTCCCGAGCAGGTCAGGGCGAAACATTGGGCAAGTTTCCTTCTCCACACACACGCGCCTCTGTTTCCCAGCAGTAAGTAGGAACCTGGTTGTTAGTCGATTGACGGATGCTTTCCGGGGGTAATAATCCCTCCAGAAAAAAAGGTCACTCAATCCACCATTGTTTTGCATTTGATACACCACCTTATCACATTGCTGAGACGTCTCAAAGCGCTTCACCAAATATATTGTAAAGTGTAGTGACTGTATTTCCTCCCAACGTGAAAGGTGCTATACAAATGTAATCTTGTTGTTGTTGTTGTTTGTGGACGAAACACGGCAGCCAATTGCACACAGCGGTGTCCCACAAACAGTCGTGGATTGAGTGGCCACTTTTTTTTGTTTTTGGAGGGATTATTACCCCTGGAAAGGATCTTCCAATTGATTAACAACTAGGTTCCTACTTACTGCTGGTAAACAGAGGCGTGTGTGTGTGTGTGTGGAGCAAGGAAACTTGCCTAAGGTTTCATCCTGACCCGGCTGGGAATCAAACCCAGGTCCTCTCGCTTGTGAGGAAGGATAAGGAGGAGATTTATTGAGACGCAGTGAGTGGGCACAAGGGTCTCTGTGGGAGTGGGCAGACGGCACTGAGGGAATTGTGAATTTCACCCTCAGAACGCAATGTTATTCCAAGTGTCACGAGGGACTTGTGAAACTGACTCAACGTCCCCCATTTCCCAGTGGGTCTCACGGAACTTTGGAATGTGGCAAATCCTCTTGGACATGGGAAAACCATCCACAGGGGAATCCCAGGACAGGAACACAGACCGGAGCAGCTACTAATTAAGTTTACGTGCATCAGATTCACAAGCTGGAGTGTTCACACACTCTCTCCAGATGCTGCAAATTAAGTCACATTTTACAGGAGATGGTCCCTTACTCTCAGGAACTCTCTTGGCTTCACCCCTTTCCCTCCTCGCCTCCCTCAAGCTCTGTCTCTTCCGCTCTGACCATACATTTGGTTATCTCCCCCCTATCACCCTCCCCTGCCCTTCACTCCTCCTGATCCCAACCCCCAAATCCCTGACTGTCCAGCCCCTTGGGACGTCCTCCCGATGTGAAAAGCCCAGTGTAAATGTAATACAACCATCTCAGACCCAGTCTCTTTTTTGAGCTGAAAATGAAGATGAACTAGACACTGATTTCAGTCTTTAATTTTCAGCACCTGGTCTGGCTTCAGGGAGGTCTGTGGCTAAACTGCACATTAAGTGTTCTGCCCGAGAGCGAGTGCACAATGAAGACTCTTGTTGTCTAAGCGTTCAGTGAGAAGCCACAGTGGACTTTTATAGAGACAGGACAGGAAGAGGCCATTCAGCCCATCGTGACTCCCTCCCTTACTCTCCCTCTCTCTCTCTGTGTTTAGCCACACTCTCCTGCCTTCTCCAGATATTTACCGACTGAGAAACACAGAACACATTGACAGCCCATTGGACCCACTCACTGAGTCGGTGTCGGTGTTTGCGCCTCTTCAGGGGGTTGACAAAACAGTGGCTTTGAGCTCAGTAACTGGTGGTGGAGGGTATCTGGAGTTGGGGGAGGGGAGGGTTAGGAATGAGGAGGGAGAGGAGGGGCATGAGTTAATCCTGTAGTGTAGTGGTTAACGCACTCGCCTCGCAAGCGATTCCTGACCGGGACAAGGCGAAACCTAAGGACAGTTTCCTCACAGGACTCCACCAATCAATAGTAATCAATAACAATAATCCTTGCGTCCAAAAGCCCAGGATGCACCGTCAAGTGTAGTGACTGTGTGCTTTGGGGGCTTGTGTGTAAATTGTACCCAAGCAAACAGCGGAATAGCACCTGGATTTCTGCTCCTTCACCATCAAGTGGGGTCTTTTCCAGGGATCCTTGAAGGTCCGTGTGTAGGAGTCGGGCAAAATCTTGGCAACTTCTGCAAAGCGAGACGGGGGGTGAGGGGGGAAATAATGTGTAAATAGATTGGAGCACGTCAGGCAGAATGTGTGTGTGGGGGGGGGGGGAAGAAAGGCGGGGGCAGAGATGGAGAGAGGGGGGAGAGGGAGAGAAAGGGTGGGGGAGAGAGGGGGGGATAGATAGAGGGGGGAGAGGGAGAGTGTTGAATATAAATTAGCCTGGGGTACCTTTAACAGAGTGACACCTGCTGGGCTCATGTCCATAGCAGCCCCGTCGCTGTTTCAGATCTGGGCAGGGCTTTCCCCCATTGCGGGGGGGAGTGCTGACTTGCCGACTGCGGTTCCTGCTGCCCACCCCACACAGCGAACTACAGGGGCTCCAAGACCCCCACGGCCCCACCAGGCAGTCAATGGCTGCGAGAGAGAGAGAGAGAGAGAGCATTCAGACAGCGAGTTACAACAGTATATACATCCCCCACACACACACACCCGCACACACACACCTGCACACACACCTGCACACACACACACCTCCGCCCCCACACCTGTGCCCGCACACACACACCTGTGCCCGCACACACCTGCGCCCACACACACACCTGCGCCCGCACACACACACCTGCACACACCAGCGGAACAACAACTTGGATTTATATAGCGCTCTCCACACCAGACAGCATACACATCTGCACACACGCACACACACACCCGCGCACAATAGTTACAACAGTATACACATCCTCCACCCACACACACACACACACACCTGCACACACACACACCTGCATACCTGCACACACCGGCGCACACACCTGCAGTGCCTTGGTACATCCTCCTGACGTGAAAGGCGCTATACAAATGTAATCTTGTTGTTGTTGCACAAACGTCAGCACACACACCAGTGCACCTGTGCACACACAAGCACCTGCACACCCACGCACACACACACCTGCACACACACGCATCTGCACACACACATCTGTATGCACTCCTACTCAACCCCTTATTAGAATAATAACAATAATCCTGGCATTTAAAACAGCGCCTTATCACGTCTTCAAGACGTCTCAAAGCCCTTCATAGAATACACTGTAAAATGAATTAACTGTAGATTTTATGGAGGGATCATTACCCCGGGAAAGCGATCTGCCAATCGACTAACAACCGGGTTCGAGGCGAGTGCTTCAACCGATGTTCTAATCAAACGTAAGATTATTAATTATTAATTATTATTGCGTTGGAGAAAGTGGAACACTCTGGCACTGAGCAGATGTCCGGCTCCGATTAGTCTCTAATGGGCTCGTTAGACGGCTCGGATGCTAATGAAACAGCCAGGAAATTAGTGTGGGGTTTGACAGGTCCCTGTGATTGGCAACCGTCCACCTCACAGCCCCCACGAGGCAGGAACAGTGTGTGAGCTGCCAGCGAGGAGCAACACTGACATAACAGCAGAGAGGGGCCAGGCAGAGCGAGAGGGAGCGAGAGGGAGAGGGGGGGAGTGAGCCTGGCTACAAAGATAATCAATAATAATCCTTACATTTGGTAAAGCGCCTTATCATGCTGAGGGCGGGGAATGTCTCAAAGCGCTTCACAGGATTTGTGTATTTTGTGGCAGTCAGTTTGCGCACAGCTTCGTCCCCACAAACAGTCGTGGATTGAGCGACCGATCTTAATTGTCGAGTTGAGACGAAAAGTTTATTTTGTTGGGGTGGGGAGGGGGAGAGAGGGAGCGAGAGAAAGAGAGAGAGAGGGAGAGAGAGAGAGAGAGAGAACGCACTTCATATCAGACCCCTTTAGATCTTGGTCTGGTTTGGATACTAATTCCACATTTTGACTGACACCAAAAATAACAACTAAGTAAATGAATGAATCGAACGCAGCATCAGATGAACTTCACACATTTTTGCTCTTAATCTTTGTAAGGTTTCTGGAGTCTCGTCACCGAGGCAACGGTACCCCTCGAGCCACAATGAGTCGGGTCGGGCTGGCTGGTTAGCAAAGCTCTTCAGAAACAACTGTGCGTTAGAGACGTTAAACCTCACTCCCTGTCTGTGCCCCGGGCGACAGGTAAAAATCGGCTATTTGAGGGGATGTCGCTGAGTGCAAATTGACTGCTGCGTTCGCCCACAAAATAAACAGTCACTACAGTTGACAGCAATTGGATGTGAAGCACTTTGAGACGTTAAAAGATGGTCATGTGGCAAATCATTGCTACAGCAGAGATGTAGTAAACGTCAGTGGATTCTGCGGGAGTTTGTTCTCCCGTAATGTAAACTGTCTCGGAACAGCTGCTCCTCGTCAACCTCTGGTTAATGTGGATTTATCTCCCACTTTATATTGAGAGATTTTCTGCGTTGGTTAAATTAAATAAAAAGGGACTCTTGTAATATTCTCCATGCTGAATCCCTGCTCCTTGGGCCTATAATTAAACTAAAACAAATAATAATAATATTCCTTGCATTTGATACAGCATCATATCACGTCGTTGAGACGTCTCAAAGCTCTTCACAGAATATACTGTTAGGTGCAGTGATTGTGTATTTCGTGGGTGAAATGTGGCAGCCAATTGCGCACAGCAGCATCGCACAAATTGTGGTTCGAGTGACCAACTTTTTTGGGGGGGTTTATTACCCCTGGAAAGTGATCCACCAATCGACTAACAACTGGGTTCCTAGGTAAACAGAGGCGTGTGTCTGGAGTAAGGAAACTTGCCTAAGGTTTCGTCCTGATCCGCCCAGGAATCAAACCCGGGTCCTCTCGCTTGCGAGGCGAGAGCTCTAACCCCTGAGCTACAGGTCTCCACTCTCAGTGACGCATAACACAGAAACAGGTCATTAAACCCAACCAGTCCGTGACAATGTTTACACTCCACACGAGTCAAAAAGTTCTGTGGCACAAGGTTAGTCTTAATTACATCGCGGGTTGCCAACTGCAGGATCGCTTGTTTGCAAACAGGAACGTCACCTCCCCGAAAGGAAACAGTGAATAATAGCAGTTAACAGGTAATAATCCCTTCAAAACAAATTGGGAGAATGGAAAGAGTGAGAGGAGAGAGAGAGGAGAGAGAGAGAGGAGAGAGGTGGAATCAGAGGTCACATTGTAAATTGGGTCATTTTCACGGTCAATTAATATCCGCGATCTCTCTCCTCGCCGCCTGAAGGTCAAGGTCTCCCCACAAATTTAATTAGTGAGTTGACGAGGGCAGTGTGATATCTGACTGCTCATTGGAAACAGCTGAGATGCTGACAGCAGCCGAGCAGGTCAGGGAGATGGCAGCGACTCTGGGATGTTAATAAGAATAAAAATAATAATAAATCTGTGCATTTGATACAGCGCCTTATTATATCGTCAAGACGTCTCACAGCGCTTCACAGGATACACTGTAAAGTGTAGTGACTGTGTATTTTGTGGGTAAAATGCAGCAGCCAATTGCGGACAGCAGTGTCCCACAAACAGCCATGGATTGAGTGACCAAATTAATATGAGTTTTTGGAAGGAATTATTCCCCCTGGAAAGCGATCCGTCAATCGACTAACAGCCTGGTTCCTACTTATTGCTGGTAACAGAGGCGAGTGGAGTATGTTTCCCCCTGACCGGGAATCATCAAACACAGGTGCTCTGGCTTGTGAGGCGAGTGGTCGAACCACTGAGCTGCCGGCTCCACACTAACTCCTGTGTGTCTGCAACTCTCAGTTACTGTCGTTCTGCGATTGTCTCTGTGTAAACAGCTCAGTGCGTCACTAACCCCGGGATCCAGTTTATTCTTGAACAGGAGGGAAACTAATCCCCACCACCATCACTCAGGGGGTGGGGGCTTCAGACAACAGCATCTCCCCTTTGAAGAGGCCACAGACTCCGACTTCAAACCCCAGCCCTTGGAAATCTCTCCAGACCATCTTCAAAGCAGAGCAAAGACCCGAGTTTCACATACAGCTCAGTCCGAGATAACCTGACAGCAAGGAGCAGCCTGACAGCATCCAGACACCGAGAGAGCGAGAGCGAGAGAGAGACAGGCAAAGACAGACACAGAGAGAGAGACAGAGAAAATTGTAATAATGATAATTCTTGCATTTGATATGGAGCCTTACCACATCATTGAAATGTCTCAAAGCGCTTCACAGGATATACTGTAAAATGTAGTGACTGTGTATTTTGTCGGCATACACAGCAGCCAATTGCGCACAGCAGTGTCCCGCAAGCAGCCGTGGATTAAGTGACTATGCTTTTTAAAAAAAAGCAATTATTATAAATAGAGGCGTGCGGAGTAAGGAAACTTGCCTAAGATTTCACCCCACCCGGGAAGACGAGAGAGGGAGAGAGAGATAGGAGGAGGGGGAGAGAAAGAGACAGGAGGAGTGGGGAGAGAGAGACAGGAGGAGAGGGGAGAGAGGAAGAGAGAGGGGGAGAAAGAGGGGGAGGAAGGAAATTTAAGACAATTGAGAAACGTATCTGAGGTGACAGTTCACTTGCGAGGTTTAACTAAGCTGCGGAGGAGATCAAGCTGTGGGCTTAGCTTTGCCGTCCCCAGGGACACAGCCACTGCCCACAGCTGTTCACCATTTTGTCCTGACTGTGTCTTACACAATGGACGCGACACAAACCAACAGTTCATCATTTTTGCTCATATGAGCTTTAATCTTTAACTTCCGCAGTCAAGGCCCTAATACTGACAAGAACAACTGTGGTCAAAGTAACAGGAAAACAGAGCGTTCCTCCGCAGGGGGGAATAATTATATCATCCTCACAAATTACAGGCCAGGTACAGATCAGCCATGATCTAACAGAATGGCGGAACAGGCTCGAGGGGCTGAATGGCTTCCTCCTGGTCCTATGTTCCTAAAATAATAATAATAATAATAATCCTTGGATTTTCATGTAGCCATTTATCGCTTCATTGGGACGTCTCAGCGCGCTTCACGGAGTATATTGTAAAGTGAATGGATTGTATATTTTTTATAAATAGAGAACAGGGTGAATAAGGAAAGGAGGGAATAATCATTCCTGTTTTTTAGTCCACGCAGCATGTTGCAGGCTATGTCACAGCGATTGGCAAACATACAATACCAGGACATCTGGAGCAACACACACACACACACACACGCACACTCTCTCTCTCTATTCTTCCGGCCGAAGATCAGATCTTTTGACTTTAAAACAAACCTGGGATCTTTGTAGTTATCCCAGTTAACCTTTTGCTTCTACTCTCTCTCTCTCTCTCTCTCTCTCGCTCTCTGTCTCTCTCGGGTTCTGGCTCCTCGCTCTCCCACCCTCTCTCTCGCGCTCTCGGTTTATAATCTCCTCGCTCACATTGAGAAGNAAAAAATAGAGACAAAGTGTATCCATTAACTCATAAATCTAACCAGAGCTTTTAAGACTTGCCAGATGTTTACAAGACTCAAACGTCCGACATCTGTAAACCGTGTGACAGCTGCTGGGGACCTGATGTGAACTGACAGTTTATCATACACAGATATAATAATAATCCATACATTTGCTGTAGCGGCTTATCACATCGTTGAGACGTCTCAAAGCGCTTCACAGTATGTATTGTAAAGTGAGTTGACGGCGTATTTTGTGGGCGGAACGCGGCAGCCAATTCCACCCAACAGCGTCTCACAAACAGTCGTGGATTCAGTGACTAATTTTTTTTGTGAAGGGATCGTTACCCCTGGAAAGGGATCTGCCAACCGACTAACGGCCAGGGTTCCACTTACTGCTGGTAAACAGTACCGTTTTACCAGCGTGTGTGGGGAGTAAGGAAACTTGCCTTAGGTTTGCCCCGTCTGGGAATCGAACCCGGGTCCTGTGGCTTGCGAGGCGAGTGCTCTAACCACTGAGCTACAGGACTCCACAATACAGATATAATATAATTTTGAAGGCTGTCTCGGTCAGTGGTTTATACACTCGGTGCTGTAACCTGCTCCCAACATCTTCCCGTCTCCCTTCCAGTGTATCTGGGAGAGGCTGGGATTGACTGCTGTTTGAATGTTTTATATGCAAAGGCTCACAGTCTAGGCTGAGACTCCAGCTCAGCGCTGGGGGGAGAGTGAGCCCCACATTGTCAGAGACGCCGTCCTTTGGATGAGATGTTAAACCTCACTCCCCGTCTGTGCCGTGTTCAGGTGGACGTTAAAAGATCTCACGGCGCTATTAGAAAAACAGAAGGGAGTCTGGCCGACAATCCCCCCCAACCCCCCTCCCCCCCACCAGATAAAATCACTCGTTCACTTCGCTGCTGTTTGCGGGGACGCTGCTGTGCGCAAATTGGCTGCGTTTCACTCACAAAATACACAATCAATTCACTTCACGTTAAAATCCTGTGATTGCTGTGCACAATTGGCCACAAATCACAGTTACGGTATATCCTGTGAAGCGAATTGAGGCGTCTCAACAGCATGATAAGGGGCTGTATCAAATGCAAGGATTATTATTACTGAAAGAGTGTATGGGGGAGAGGGAGAGGGGGAAAGATTTTGATATCAGACACTCAAGAGTTTAATACATGAAGCCATTTCTGTGTATTTCGCGGCTTGAGGTCAACACAGAGACTTAAATGGAAAAAAATGTGACCCATTTCATTACTTGGTTTGAAGCCAAATTGAGATTAAGCCACGACTGTGAGCAACTCAAGTCGCTTTTGGGGGTGTGTTTGTATGTGTGTGAGGGGGCTCGGGGAGGGAGGGAGAAAGGAGAGGGGGGGAGTGAGGGGGGGGAAGAAAGGGGGTGTGCAGTCAAACAGTTATGATGTGATAAAGAGAGATTACATCAGGTTTGGAAACAAAACTCATCTGAAGGAGCCAAACCAAGCAATAATCTCTCTCTAAATGACGTAAGACAGGCTTATCAGGTCACTGTTCCTTGGCTGAAACACTTTCCACTACCCTGGCCAACAATTTCTCCCTCTCCCCCCTCCCCCTCCCCCACGCCACCCAGGTTAAAATTGGTCATTCACTTCACAGCTGTTTGCAGACGTGGTTGTTAAAGATCTCGCGGGGCTGTTCGAAAAGAGAAGGCAGTTTCTCTCTCCCCCTGAAACCCCCACCCCATCTCCTGGTTCACTTCACGGCTGTTTGTAGGGACGTCGCTGTGCGCAAAGCGGCTGCTTCCTCGTTCTCCCACAAAACACGCAGTCACTACACTTTACGAAGCGCTTTGAGACGTGCTCACGACGCGGAAGGGGCTGTGTGAACTGCGAGGCTTAGTCACAAACTCTTCACTATTCAAATAGATTGTACATGTAGCAAAGCCCAAAGCTTTGTTAGAAGCCGCTCGAAGATATCGATCTGTCCGCATCTATCTATTCCCGGGCGGGGCGATACCCGAGGCAAGTTTCCTTGCTGGGTGAGTGATCTAACCAACACGGTACAGGACTCCACTTAAGTTAAGCCACTCCCGTTAAGCTTTTTGTTAAAAAACACATACACTGATAACTAAACTTCAGAGAGAGAGACGCGTATATATACACACACCGAGTTACAAGCTGTAGTTAAGGCCATGGATTAAAGGGCAGCACAGTTTAAAGTGAAATGTTAGGTATTTTTTCAAAAGCTTGTAATTGACAAACACTCACAGCCATTAACCGTCTCTGTCTCCAGACGGATACGGAAAGTCATTTCTATATTATTTTTTGTGGTCGGCCGAGTGGGTGTCTGACACACACGGAAACCCGTCACCGTTGCTCAAGAGCCTCCAAATCCAACTGAGAATTCCCCGCATCCCACCTACGCATGGAAATCCCAGAGAGAGATTGTTGGAATGGAATGCGCTCGCTGTCTCTCTCTCTCTGGAGGGACGCACCCTCCTTACCTAATTCCGGAGAGTATTAGGCACAGGTTGGCAAGAGCCCAGGCTTGGGGGGCGTCCATAGCGTGCGTTGGGGGTAACCAGCTAAAACCACACATAGCTGGCCATTGAGAGCGCTGTCTGGCCAAGCTTTCCCGCTGCTTGACCAGCGAGGACCGCCCTCCCCATCAGGGCTTTGGCTGCAGGGTTAACAGGAGCTGAGGGGGAGGATTCCCTGCCCCCAATTTCTACACAAAATATTCTTATATTGAAAGCAATTTTTTTTAATAACCTTGAATTTAAAGAATTGAAAACGTGAAATATTCTTAAATATAGTTTATACACATAATATACACATTTATACATATTTATTACATATAGGTATATACATATCTATCTCCCAGAACAACACACAATCTGTAGGACTCCCCGACTTTTTTTTAATTAAAAAAAACACACGAAAATAATTTATCTATTTAGCTAAAATAAAACTCGTGACTCGCTGGTAAAGGAGAGAGAAAGATCGAGAGAGAGAGAGAGAGAGAGAGAGAGAAGGGATAATTTAAGGTGAGATTTCTTGCACACGGTAATTTGCTTAAGGAGATGTGACAAACGTGCAGCAAAGATATTCTAAAAAGAGAGGGGAATGGGCTGTGGGGAGGGGGAGAGGGGAATAACAAGCTGTAAAACATCACAGAGAATGTGTACCATGTTAAACAGCAGATAAGGAGGGGGTCAGAGAGAGAGAGAGAGAGAGAGAGAGAGATACCAAACAGTATCAGCACTTAAATAAATAAAGTTTAAAACTTCAGTTAAAAAAAAGTTGTGACTATACGTCGAGAGTGCGCAAAGCCTTAATTTGTTGTCCTCTGAGTTATAAATGACATTCCCTCTCTCTCTCTCTCTCTCTCTGTGTCTGTGGGTCTGTCTGTGGGTCTGTCTGTGGGTCTGTGTCTCTCTGACGCACACACTTAGCTTCAGAGATGAATTGATCACAAATACAATTCAAGACTGGAGAGGAAAGTACAGTAGTTTAGTGCTCTCTTAAGTTACAAATGATACACACACTGTGTTTCTCTCACCCTCCGCTACACACACACACACACACACACACACACATATATATATGTGTATAAACCCCCACACACTTAACTTCAGGATTAGGATCGATCACAAGTACAGATTTAAAACTCCAGGAAAAAAAGTTTTACTCACTCACTCACTCACTCACTCACTCACTCACTCACTCACTCACACACTCACTCACTCACTCACTCACTCACACACTCACTCACTCACTCACTCACACACTCACTCACTCACTCACTCACTCACACACTCACTCACTCACTCACACACTCACTCACTCACTCACTCACTCACACACTCACTCACTCACTCACACACTCACTCACTCACTCACACACTCACTCACTCACTCACTCACACACTCACTCACTCACTCACACACTCACTCACTCACTCACACACTCACTCTCAGACACTCACTCAGACCCTCACTCTCACACACACACAGACACTCAATCAGACCCTCACTCTCACACACACACTCAGACACTCACTCAGACCCTCACTCACACTCAGACCCTCAGTCAGACCCTCACTCATACTCAGACCCTCACTCACACTCAGACCCTCACTCAGACCCTCACCCAGACCCTCACTCAGACCCTCCCTCAGACCCTCCCTCAGACCCTCAGACCCTCAGACCCCAGACCCCCAGACCCTCAGACCCCCAGACCCTCAGACCCCAGACCCTCAGACCATCAGACCCCAGTCCCTCAGACCCTCCCTCAGACCCTCAGACCCTCCCTCAGACCCTCAGTCCCTCAGACCTCAGACCCTCACTCAGACCCTCCCCCAGACCCTCAGACCCCAGACCCTCAGACCATCAGACCCCAGTCCCTCAGACCCTCCCTCAGACCCTCAGACCCTCCCCCAGACCCCAGTCCCTCAGACCCCCAGACCCCCAGACCCTCACTCCCACTCACCTGAGATGTGACAGACTCGCGGGTAATCGTTACAACAATCTCCCGATCGCCGACAGTAAGTGTCACAGAAGCACTCGGGGTTCCCGGTGTCGGTGCGATAGTAACAGCCGTTATTTCTGCCGCTGCAGCACTTGGGACGGTCCCGGTCTCCGCAGCCCCCGCGCCCCGACCCCCCCGCGCCCCCCCCCGGGCACAGGCACAGGCACAGCGCGACCCACAGCGCTAAATAGCTCCTGTCCTTAGCGAATCCGCCCATCACTGACTGCGGTACAGCAACTCCGCCACTCTCCGCGGCTTCACTCTTCCCCTCTCACACTACACCACTCACTCTCACACTCACTCACTCTCACTCTCACACTCACTCACACTCACACACACTCACTCACTCTCACACTCACTCTCACACTCACTCACACTCACACACACTCACTCACACTCACACACACTCACTCACACACACTCACTCACACACTCACTCTCACTCTCACTCTCTCACACTCACTCACACACACTCACTCACACTCACTCTCACACTCACACTCACTCTCACTCTCTCACACTCACTCTCTCACACTCACACACTCACTCACACTCACTCTCTCACACTCACTCTCACTCACTCTCTCACTCACTCACACACACTCACACACTCACTCACTCTCACACTCACTCACTCACACTGACTCACACTCACACACACTCACTCACACACTCACTCACTCTCACACTCCACTCACTCTCTCACACTCACTCACACTCACTCTCACACTCACGCACACTTACACTCACTCACACCCTCACTCACTCACCTTCACTCACTCACTCACTCACCTTCACTCACTCACACCCTCACTCACACACACCCTCTCACACACTCACTCCACACTCACTCTCCACACTCACTCACCAAAACAACTGTTTGTATTCTCGCACATACAACAACTCTCTCTCTCTCTCTCACACACAAAACTTACAGAACTGTGAACCAATTAAACAAAACTACCAAAAAGTTTTGTGACATTGACATGAAATGTACATGAATTGTTTTTACGGTAAAGAGAGAGAGAGACACAGACACACACAGACACACAGAGTAGATTGATTCCTATAACTCCCCCCAAATACTCCCCCTCTCCCCCTCTCACAAATTGCTGTACATTCGATTCGCTAAATTTTGGCTCTGTCCTTTTTCATCCTTCCACCCACCCACCCACCCATCCTTCCACCCACCCACCCACCCATCCTTCCACCCACCCACCCACCCATCCTTCCACCCACCCACCCACCCAACCACCCCACCCACCCACCCATCCTTCCACCCACCCACCCACCCATCCTTCCACCCACCCACCCACCCATCCTTCCACCCACCCACCCATCCTTCCACCCACCCACCCATCCTTCCACCCACCCACCCACCCTTCCACCCACCCATCCACCCATCCTTCCACCCATCCTTCTACCCATCCTTCCACCCACCCACCCATCCTTCTGCCCATCCTTCCACCCACCCATCCACCCATCCTTCCACCCACCCACCCACCCTTCTACCCATCCTTCCACCCATCCTTCTACCTATCCACCCATCCTTCCACCCACCCACCCATCCTGAGTGAAACCCAAGGCGTTTTGTTAAAAAATAGGAGAGCTATAGAGAGAGAGATAGGAGAGAGACAGCAGAGAGATGCTCTCCAGGTTCCTCCCTCTGGAATCTCAAACACAGTTTGACTAAGATTTGCTGTTCATATCTTAATATACAGAAACCCACAGAGAAATAAACAAGAAACACCCCCCACCCTCCCCTCCCCTCCACTCTCACTCCCATCTTCATGTTCCTGGCCCTGTTATTAAGTGTTTATTCTCTCAGAAATTGCTGTTCCATTCTTTAATGGGAATCAATATAGTTAACACATTTATTTCACCCACAAAATACAGTCACTTCACTTTACGGTATATGCTGTGAAGCGCTTTTGAGACGTCTTGAAGACATGATTAGGCGCTAAATCAAATGCAAGGATTATTATTATGAACTTTTCTCCCTGTAATCTTCTCTCTCTCTGATCTCTGGGGTAGAATCTGTTAAGTAAAATCCAGTATTTATGTGTATTCGTCACTCTCTCGTTGTTTTGGATTGTTTGTGGGTACGGTTTTGCACATTCTCAGGCCTTTGCGATTCGATGCTTTGCAAACCCCCCCCACAATAACGTATCTCCAGGGCAATCACACAGCAAAGCCACCACGACCCTTAATTCAACTCTGATCAAAGTTGGGTTTAGTATATTTCTATATTTGTATATATGGATAAATAGGCTAAAAGGTTAACGGTTTCCATCCGACAATGAGGCGAGGCCGGACTGGCAGCTATTTCAAATTTTTGTTGAGTGTTTTCCTAATCTGTTAGACTAGGAAACTAACGGGGGTGGGGGTGGGGGTGGGGGGGAAGAGACTTTGAACTCACAAACCTGCCTCACAAGCGAGAGGACTGGGGTTTGATTAATGGGTCAGTGCCAAACCTTAAAGCAAGTTTCCTTACCCCACTCGCCTCGGTTTACCCAACAATAAGTAGGAACCCGTTTGTTAGTTGATTGGTGGATCGCTTTCCGGGGATAATAATCCCTCCCCCCAATTTATTATTATTGAATTCCATGGCTGACCCACCAGTGCAGTGCTGGGGGGAGAGAGAGAGAGAGCGCTGTATGGTTGGAGGTGCTGTCCTTCAGAATGAGATGTAAAACCAAGCTCCCGTCTGTGCCCCGTTGGTCAAGAGATGGAGTTTCTCTCTCTCCCAGTGTCCCGGCCGACAATACTTACCTCCCCCACCCCCCCTATCCCCCCAAAAAAAACCACCGCGGGATTTGTAGTCAGGACAGACAGAGTCTCGCTCGATGTTTTAACATTTAGTTTATTGCAATTACACAATTTCTGAATCAGCCCCGACAGTGACTGAGAGGGGAAACATCTTATTTACAACCATTATTAGGGGATGGGGGGGGGGGGAAACATCACAATATATACCACGAACACAGACACAGTTTGGTTTGGTGGGTGGGAGGGGGGAGAACGAACTGGGTGGAGGGATGTCGGGAGGGGAGAGGGAGGTGGGGTGGGGGGGGGCAATAAAGCACAGTAAAGGTCAAGTCTCTAAAATTAGCACTCGTGTCTTTGGCACTTATAGAGGGCGGGCAGGGGGTCTTTGGGACTGCGGTGGGTGGAGTGAGGGGCAAAGGCGGCCATGTTTTTCATAGGCGGCCATGTTGTTGGCAGTTGGCGTGTTGGTTGGCGGGCAGCCATTCCTTGGCTTGCCCTGCGACCCGTTGCTCACCATCTACAGTAGCCTCCAGGGACATTCTGGAAGCTTCCGGTGCGAGACACTTTGGCAGTGCTTTAGGCACTAAAGGTAACGGCGATCACAATGATGAACTCCCCCACCACTCCCCTACACCCCCCCACCCCTCCCTCCCCCGACACCCACAATCAAACCATAATTAAAAAAGGCTTTAGTCTTTTTGGCACAAATAAAAACCCGAATCGGACACGAACCCACAGCTCTGGGCCGGTGGTGGTGTTATTACAAGGCCACAGGTCGCACAGGTTACATTAATAATTTAATTCTCTCACAGTTAATCTACAACTATCCTCACAAACTGGTACACACAGAAGCTCAGGGGGCGGTGGGTGGGCGGTGGGTGGGGGTGGGGGGGGAATGGGTGCCCGGCTCCGTTATTTGGCTTTTTGGGGCGTCCTCCTGATATGAAATCCGCGAGACAAATGCAATCTATTGTTGTTGTTGTTTTGAGGGTCTTTATCCCCGTTCTCTCTCTCTCTGTGTGTGTTGACCCCTCTCCTCTCCTCCTGACCCTGGCTGGCTGGACCTCCGCCGCCATGGTGAACCACTTGGCCCCCGTCTCCCTCCCTCCCTCACTCCGTTTTCCAAACCTTGTTCAGGATCTTCACCACCTCCTCGTAGATAATAAATACAATAGCAACGTCCAGGCAAACCCTCCCCAACCGCGGCACCGTGCCCTTGTAGAAGCTGCTCCCGGTGGAGGGGGGGGGGGGAGGGGTGGGCGGAGAGGGGGAATGAGAGACAAAGTGAGAGAGAGAGAGTGGGGGGGGAAGAAGAGATGGGAAAGAGAGACAAGAAGAAGGAGGTTAATTTAATTACTCGGACTCCACAATAAGCCAACAGTGATTTGATCTGATCCTCTCCCCCCTCACTCTCCCTAACTGCCTCCCCCACCCACCCACCGGCCCCCCCACATCACAGCATCGTCCTGGTCATTAATTAGCCTCTGACTGGGGTCTCTTGTGAAATCGCACCCCACTCCCCCCCCGCGCGCACGGAGGGAACAGATCGGAGGCGTTACTTACGCAAACAGCCCTTCGTGTTTCATAATCTTGAAGGCACAGTCCCAGGTGCTCTTGTATTTATGAGCCTCCAAACCCTGAAATATTTAAGACAATTTTCATCTCCGATGTTATAGTAATAATCTTGTATTTGATACGGTGCCTTATCACGTCGTTGAGACATCTCAAAGTGCTTCACGGTGTAAAGTGGAGTGACTGTGTGTTTTTGCGGGCAAAATGCAATGCAGCCGTGTCCCACAAACAGTGGGGGATTGAGTGACCACAGTTTTTTATTGGGGGGATTATTAACCCCAGAAAGCAATCCGCCAATCGACCAACAATCCTTTTACTGCTGTAAACAGAGGTGTATGTGTGGAGTAGAGAAACGGTTCACAGAGTTCCTTGCCAGTCTCCTACCTGCATCCGGGTTTTCACAACGTCCAGGGGAGTGTTCCCAAACACACTGGCCGCCCCCGCAATGGCCCCAAATGTCCCCGTCACGAGGGGATTGATCACCTTGTTCGGGTTGTCACCTGACAGACGGGGAGATCAGAATCAGTCATTAAAGGGATCATTGCTCTCCTCGTTCATTCTTCCCTCATCAATCCCTCTTCGCAGTGAGTGTCATGATCAGCTCCCGTTACCCCTGCAGCCAGAGCCCTAACGGGGAGGGTGGTCCTCGCTGGACAAGCAGCGGGAAAGCTTGGCCAGACAGCACTCCCAATGGCCGAGCTGTGTGTGGGTTTAGTGGTTAGACTCCAGCAGTTACCCCAACGCACACTCTGGGCTCCCACCCCCCCACCAAGCCTTGGCTCTTGCCAACCTGCGCCTAATACTCTCCGGAATTAGATAAGCAGAGGGCGTCCCTCCAGGGAGAGACCGAGGGAGAGAGAGAGAGAGAGAGAGAGAGAGAGAGCATTGCGTTCCAACAATCCCTCTCTGGGGTTTCCAGGTGTAAAGTGGAGACCTGGGAATCTCAGTTGGGTTTGGAGTCGGACTCTTCAGCAATGGCGATGAGTGGCCAAAAAACAATAGAGCGCGTCTGCCCTCCGGTGGCTGACACTCGCCACTGCACGTGGTGAATGGTCAGTGACCTGCGATGTTGAACCGGTGCGGAGTTTAACTGCAGCAGCAAAACAGCAAATGCCAATCCCTGTTCCTACCTTTGTACCAGTTCCTCATGGACGTCATGACAAAGAAGCGAATGGCTTGGTTCGATCCCTGCTTTAGGATAGTCGCTGTTAATCCCTGATACGTTCCTTTCAGCCCTGGAGCCGCAGGAAGACAGAGAGAATAATAATATTGTTGCTTACACCCGGTCCAGCGTGTTTCACGTGGGGAGGACGTCCCAAAGCGCTTCATGGGATTTACTGTCAACCAGAGTGACTGCGTGTTTTGTGGGCAAATGCGGCAGCCAGTTTGCACACAGCAACGTCCCCGCAAACAGCCGTGGAGTGAGCGAGCAATTGTATCTGGGTGGGGAGGTGGGGGGGGAGATTGTCGGCCAAGACACCGGGAGAGAGAGAGAAGCTCCTTTCTCTTTTCCTACAACACCTCGGGAGATCTTTAACTGCCACCGGAACAGGGCACAGATGGGGAGTGAGTGAGGTTTAAAGTCTCATCCGAAGGATGGCGTCTCCGACAATGCGGTGCTCTCTCCCCCCAGCGCTGGGCTGGAGAGTCAGATTAGACTGTGAGCTCAGAGTCCATGAGATGGGGGAAGGGGGAACTCCCACCCAAAACCTTCTGTCCCAGAGGTGAGAGTGCAAGCGACAGACTGAGATCTGAAGATAAGATAAAATACAGAAACGAAGACCAGCAAAGAATTGAGACTTCATTCTTATCTACTCCCAACTCATGGAATTTGTGAAAACAACATTCCCTGATACAGGGAATTAGGAGAGAAACTCATTGAGATGCAAACAGCAACAGTGATACAATGTGGGACAGCCTCCTCCTGAGGCATAGCTCTCTATCTCCTTAAGGTTAATGTTTGCTCCGGTGACTTGGCTGTGTAAGTCAGTGCCAATGATTGTAGCATGTTCCCCTCCAGTGTCTGTTCTCAAAGTCTTGTCTACTGATTTGGTCAACGAGTGGCCAAACTGGCTTCACACACACCCACTACATTCCCACCCTCACCCCGACCCCAACAGCCCTGGAATGATAATCATAACAGTAATCCTTGCATTTGATACAGCACCTTATCACGTCGATGAGACGTCTCAAAGCGCTTCACAGGATATACTGTAAAGTGAATTGACTGTATTTTGTGGGTGAAACGCGGCAGCCAATTGCGCAGAGCGCAGCGTCCCCACGAACAGTCGTGGATTGAGTGACCAAATTATTATTATCTATTTATTTAAAAAAGGGATTATTAACCCCGGAAAGTGATCCACCAATTGACTAACAACCGGTTCTTACTTCCTGCTGATAAACAGGGACATGTGGAGTAAGGAAACTTGGCTAAGGTTTTGCCCTCCTGGGAATCAAACCCGGATCCTCTTGCTTGCGAGGTGAGTGCTCTAACCACTAAGCTACAGGACTCAGTAACAGTTCCTGTGGTTTAATCCCAGAGCCACTCACCTTCTTGTTTGACGATCTCCCGGACTCCGTGGAAAAAGCCTCTATATTTGGGATTTGTGGAGCTCTGATCGTGGATAAACTTGACCTGGAAACAAAACAGCAACAACTGGCATTTACACAGCGCCCCTCACACAGGGTAACGTCCCAGAGCGCCCGACAGTGGCGGAGCACGAAACCGAGCCGGGGGGAGGTGACCGTAAGCACGGTCGAAGAGCAAGCGAGCAAATTTATCTGGGGGGGAATTGTCAGCCAGGACACAAGGAGAGAGAGGAAGAGATAGAGAGAGAGAGAGAGAGAAACCCTCTTCTCTTTTCCCACAGCTTCGTGGGATCTTTAACATCCATCTGAACAGGGCACAGACGGGGAGTGAGTGAGGTTTAACATCTCATCTGAAGGAAGGCGTCTCTGACAATGCAACATCCCCCCCCCCCAGCGCTGCATTGGAGCATCAGCCTTGACACTTGATGTGAGGCTTGAACCCACAACCTTCTAACTCAGAGATAAGCGAGAGAGACTGAGCTGGAAGCTGACACTATTGGGATGAGAGCAGACGGTAGGGGTGGGGGAGCAAGTGGGGGGAGGCTGGTTGGGCCGAATGGCCTCGTTCTTACCTTGACTGTTTCCATGGGACACACGATGAGCACAGCCTCGCACACACCGGCCCCCAGTCCACAGATCAGACCCTGCTTACTGTCCAGCCGCCCCTGGGCATCACGCATCTGGTTACTGAGGAACTCAAAGGTCCCGAACCTGCGGCAGAGAACAGCGGGGGGGTGGGTGGTGGGGGGGGGGGGGAGATGGTTTTACGTTACACCCAATAGGTCAACAGGTTAGGTAAGTGTGAGCTCATGTCAACAACAACAGCTTGCACTGATACTGCGCCCCCTCATGCAGGATAATGCCCCATGTCTCCGACAATACAACACCCCCACCCCCGGCTCTGCCCTGGAGTGTCAGCGTAGACTCTCTATGGGTTCCAAGTCTCCAAGCCGGGGCTTGAACCCACAACCTTGTGAGTGAGAGGCGAGAGTGGGAGTGCCGGGTGGTTTGAGGGTGACCAGGGCGCAGTACCCATGAATGGGCAGCAGGCGGCAGTCTGGCTATATTTTGTGGGTGAAAGGCAGCAGCCAATTGCGCTCATCTGTGTCCCACAAACAGTGGTGCATCGAGTGGCCAAATTATTATTATTATCATTTTTTTGGGAGGGATTATTACCCCCCAGAAAGCCATCGACGAACAACCGGGTTCCTGCTGACTGCTGGTAAACAGAGACGTGTGCGCGGACGTTAGGAAACTTGCCCAATGTTTCGCTCTGACCTGCCCGGGAATCGAACCCGGGTCCTCTCGCTCGCGAGGTGAGCGCTCTAACCCCTGCGCTACAGGGGTTTAAAGCTCGAAGCGAGGGAGGCCAGACTTACCGGACGGCAGCTTTGGGGATGGAGCCATAGACCAGCGAACTGAGACCTCGATACAGCCCTCTGATCCCATGGCCTTTCACTGTCTGCTTGACACAGTCACCTGGGGGAGAGAGAGATGGACTACTCTACACAGAAGCTATTCTAATCAGAGCCGCTACACACACACACACACACACACAAACACTAACACACGTCAGCTAAGCCAACACCCAGGTGAGTGGGGAGAGCACGAGGGTGGGGGATACAAGCTCTCTATTGAGTGAGTGCGAGGGGGAGGTTGGGGGCTGGTGTCTCACTATGGGTCACACCCTCGCGGTGACGGACAGAGCAGATTGCGTCTGTGTCTCCGCACTCACCTGCTGGCTGGTGGCTAACCTCAGGCTGTTACCGTGTCCTCCTTACAGCATCGCCATCGCTCTTCATCCGTCAGCCTAGACAGTCAGTCAGTGTTGCCCTGTTACTGTACATTACAGCCCAGCCCGGTCTGGCCTGGTCTGGCACACCCCACGGACAGACACATACACTCACTCACTCGCTCACTCATGAGCCCAAACTCACTTGCCAACTTGTGAGCGGTAACTCAGCATACACTCACTCACTCGCCCACATGCTCGCACACTTATTTGCACACCTGCTCGCACACTGAGTGCTGGTGGGGGTGAGGGTAGGTGGACTCATTCCTGGGGGGAAATCTCTGGAGGGATCTTCGGGCGGGGGCAGTCCCCGGCGAGGGGGGGGGCTTTAAATGTGTGTGTATATGGGTGGTGGTGGGGGGGGTGCAATCACTGGCGAGAGGGGGCTGTTACTGTGCGTGTGGGGGTGGGTGGGGGGAGTCTCTGGCCAGCGGGGGGGCTGTTACTCACCGATGCCCTTGTACCGGGGAGGATAGACTTTCTCGTCCAGCTGTAGTTGGGTTTTGACGTACTCGGTGGGGAAGGTTATACAGATCTCAATGCCCCCAGCCAGGCCCCCTGTACAGAGAGTGAGAGAGAGGGGGGTCAGAGTGTATGTGTGAAAAAGAAACACAGTGAGAGGAGTTGGAGAGAGAGAGTGTGAAAGTGCCAGTGAGAATGAGAGCGAGTTTGAGAGACAGAAAGAGAGTGACCGAGAGAGGGGGAGATATCCCTTCCTGAGTTACTCTATTAGAACGTGTAAGACTTTCTGAGTAACAAACAGCGAGAAGACAGTTAATAATAAATACTAATAATCCGTGCATTTGATGTAGCACCTTATCAAGGCTTTGAAACTTCTCAAAGCCCTTCAATTCATGTACTGTAAAGTGTAGTGACTGTGTATTTTGAGGGCGAAACGCGGCAGCCGATTGCGCAGAGCACAGAGAGAGAGAGAGAGAAAGAAAGAGAGAGAGAAAGACAAGTCTCCATTGGTTAACAGAAGGTAAAAAGCAACACCACCCCCTGGCACAGGCCATTAATACAGATAAACACACACAGTCGCTCGCTGCTTGACTGCACACGCACACTGTAACGTGCACTCAAACCACACACACATTTCTTACAAGCGTGACTTTGCTTTAAAACACCACTGATCCACCAGGGGTTTCTCTCCCTCCCCTCCCACCGCCACCCCCTCCACACCCCAACCCCCTCCCACCAGCAATCACTGAGGATTCCATGCATCCCACCTACTCAGACGCGCTCACTCAGACAGAGTATTGTTCAACATTACATTCGATCGGGGCCGAGCCGGTCTCGGGGGCTGGCGCTCGCTGTCTGTTGTTCAAACAGGATCTGAATTCAGATCACAAGTGATTGTACCCGGAGTCCGGCATTGCTGGCAACACCCACACTGCCCTCTCCCTCACACTCACTGCCCAGCCCAGTGACACTCACTCACACACACACTCGCACACAAAGAGATTGAGAGAAAGAGCGACTGAGAGATAGACAGACACACGCACATAGCAGTTACACTGGTTCGGCACCTAATTAGATTGTCTGACGCTCTATTGATCTCATCTCCAGATAAAATCAGTCACTTGCTTCAAGCCTGTTTGTGGGACGCTGCTGTGCGCAAATTATCTGCCATGTTTTGCCCACAAAACACACAGTATGTCCTGTGAAGGGCCACACGTCTCGACAGCGCGATACGGTGCTAAATCAAACACAAGGATGCGTCAAATGTAAGGATTGTTATGCCAGCGTTGTGTTAGAAGTGGGTTGAGAAACGTGGCAAGTTAGCTCCCAGGATAGCACGGAGCAGGAGAGTGTGTTGAGGTGGTCACTGAGGGCAGGAGCAAGGCCCTGGTGTTTGTGCTGTTGCTCAGTTTCTCACTCCCTGCAGTTAACCGTGTTTCTCTTAAAGTTTCATTACAGATTAACTCACTCACTCACTCACTGACGTGGACTTTGTCCAGTTAAAGCAGCAAATAGCAAACAGGTAAAGCTCGTTCGTCTGTCATTGTTTGGCAGTGTTTCAGGGCACTGCCGATACCAGCACAGCCCATCGGCAAGACACGGAAGGGCAGACCAGTCACTGAGGCAGGGAATCCTCCCTCTCAGCTCCTGTTAACCCTGCAGCCAAAGCCCTAACGGGGAGGGGGGTCCTCGCTGGACAAGCAGCGGGAAAGTTGGCCAGACAGTGCTCTCAATGGCCAAGCTGTGTGGGTTTAGCTGGTTAGACTCCAGCAGTTACCCCAACACCCACTCTGGGCTCCCCCCAAGCCTTGGCTCTCGCCAACCTGCGCCTAATACTCTCCAGGATTTCCACGTGTAGGTGGGATGCCAGGAATTCTCAACTTGGTTTGGAGACTCTTGAGCAGCGGTGATGGGTTTTCGCGTGTGTCAGACAGCCGGCTGACCGCCAACCCCAACCAGAAAATGGTAAATAAAAACCAGCTGCGGAAAAGAGCAATAAAACCCCGTGTGTGTCACAGCCTTTGACAATAATAATCCACTCGCTGTGTTTGATACAGCGCCTATCACATCTCAGAAGAATTTACTGTGAAGTACAGCGACTGTGTATTTTGTAGGCGAACTTGGCAGCCAATTTGTGCACAGCTGTGCAGTGAGTGATTGATTGATTTTATTTGGCCGATTGTCAGCCAGGCCAAGAGAGAGAGAAAGAGAAAATCCCTTCTCTTTTCCAACAGCAGGATATTTAACATCCACCTGAACAGGGCACGGACGGGGAGTGAATGAGGTTTAAGGTCTCATCCGAAGGACTGCATCTCCGATAATGTGGCGCTCTCTCTCTCTCTCTCCCCCCCCCCAGCCCTGCACTGGAGCATCAGCCTAGACTATGAGCTTGAAGTCCTGACGTGGGGTTGGTGGGGGCTCCAACCCACAACCTGACTCTGAGGCCAGAGAGCGAGTGACCGAGCCAGTCTGAGACCTGCAAACACGGTCACTACACAGGACAGCAATTCCCCGTAAAGCGCTACGAGGCTTTGAGGCACTAAATTGTTTATTGTGTGAAAGATTGCGAAACGCTAAGGCTCAGCTGTTGCTCAGAATTCGTATTGTTCAACCCAGCACTGGGGTGGAATTCAATTATTTAAAACATCCATTAATTAAAGGCTAAACCGGTTTCTCTGTGTGCAGAGTGTGATGAACCCACGCTCTCTGAACCTGTTCTGTGTTCTCTCATTGCAGTACATTCTTGCCCCATCTCCAGCTCCGTCTAGCCTCAAGGCTCATTGAGAAATCGGTGTTTTTTTCTTTCTTACCCAAACCTCAAAGCTCTGACGCACACACACACCACCTGGGTTCAATTCCCGGCGGGGCGAAACCTTAAGCAAGTTTCCTTACTCCACACGCCTAATAATAATCCCTCCAAAAAACAAAACAATAATAAATTGGTCATTTTCAATCCACGGCTGTTTGTGGGGACGCTGTTTCACCCACAAATCTACGGTCAATTCACTTTACAGCGGATTCTGTGAAGCGCTTTGAGACGTCCTCCTGACGTGAAAGGCTCTGTGTAAAACATAAGGGCTATTATTATTTTTATTGTCGGAGGCACCGTCATTCAGATAAGACCTTAAACCCAGCTCCCGTCTGCACTAATGAGCCATGGCTACTTCCCCTTCTGAATCGCGCACATCTCCATCAGCTCAACCCCTCAGCTACAGTGAGAAGCTCAGAGGCCCTGGGGTTGGGAAATCTAACCCATACGCTGGGAGTTTCGCTCCCGTTGACCATTAGCTCCTGAGCTGTGATCTCACCCTTTCAGACTGCACACCCGACCATCCTCCCACTACACCATTCAGCTGCTACTGACACACACACCCCAATGAAACGTGGTCGCTCAATCCACAACTGTTTGTGGAACTCCTCTCTATGTCATTGGCTGCCACATTTCGCCCACAGAATACACACTGACTTCACGGTATATTGTGTGAAGCACTTTGAGACATCTCAAACACTTGATAAGGCACTATACCAAATGCAAGGATTATTATTATTATTATTACCCCTCTCCTCCCCCACTGCATCACATCTTGTTATTGAAGTTCTCATGGACAGGGCCCTGGAGCCTATGACTGCATTAGCTCCAGAAAGTGCATCCAGTGAAGCATAAAGATACAAAGCCTCCCACTCTTGTAATAAAACTGCCTGGCTGCTCTCCTCTGAAAAACAACCTCCAGTAACCTGTCTGCTGCTGCAGGATAAGCAACAGAACAACAACATTTCTTTCAAGGCGTCAACTTCATCTCATTCTTAAACCCAATCTTAAATGTTTCAGAAGCCCCAGTTCTTACAGATCATGAAATTCCCAAGTTAATTTCAAGCCGGGAAACAGCTGAGAACTTGGGCGGGCTCCAAGAGAGGCAGATACTGAAATATTTACCGTATTTCCGAGCCGCAGAGTAAACTTCACACAGGCAGTGTCCCTGGTCAGAGCTCTGATCAAAGCAGGTTGGGAGGTAGGGAGAGCGACAGCCCCCAAACCTGCTAATGTCATGTAAACCAGACAGATGTTGGTTCAAAAAAATAGATCACACATTCCTGTAGTGCAGTGGTTACAGCCCTCGCCTCGGAGGCGAGAGGATCCGGGTTCCATTCCCGGGCCGGGCGAACTTTAGGCAAGTTTCCTTACTCCACACACACACACACACACACGCGCCTCTGTTCACCAGCAGTGAGTAGGAACCCGGTTGTTAGTCGATTGGCGGATCACTTTCTGTGGGTAATAATCCCTCCAAAGAAATAAACACTAACAATTTGGTCACTCAATCCACAACTGCTTGTGGGACGCTGCTGTGCGCAATTGGCTGCCGCATTTCGCCCACAAAATATAGTCGCTCCATTCCACAGTATATTCTGCGAAGCGCTTTGATAAGGCGTTATATGAGATGCACAGATGATTAATATTAAGTCACGGAGCCAGGCTCTGGACTTGGGTGAGTGGTGAATACAGTGCGGGGGTGGACGGGGGGACGAGAAGGTGGTGTGGGTGGGGGATAGGAGAGACGGAGGAAAGTGTCCAGAATAGAATAAATCTAACTGTGGCCCTGGGTGATTCTCCACACAAAGCTACAAATCACCTCTTTCTCCCTTTCATTTCCATCTCTATCTGCAAACAGTCTATGATGCAAGGCAGGGTTGCTGAGTCACCATTACTCTGCCAGGCTGCGGGTTTATTTTTTTGGTTTCAGACTGAAAATCTATTAGTAGGGAGTGAGAGAGACGGCATCTGCATTTGATATAAGCGTTGGTTAAACTGTTCACTCCTCCACACACCCACCCCAGCTCAGCCCAGCAATGCACTGTAATAATAATAAAATAATAATAAAAAATCCTTGCATTTGATATAACATCACATCATGCTGTTGAGAAGTCACAGAATATAGTGTAAAGTGCAGTGACTGTGTATTTTGTGGGCGAAAGGCGGCAGACAATTGCGCACAGCACAAACACTATTCGATTGAGTGACCAAATATTAAAAAAAAAATTTGGAGGGATTATTACCCCCGGAAAAGCGATCCGCCAATCGACTAACAACCAGGTTCAACAGCAATTTATATAGCACCCTCCACACAGGGTAGTGTCTCAGAGCTTAACAGTGGCTGAGCAGGAAGCCGGTGCCAGTCGAGCAGAGACTCCAGGTGGATTGGGACGTGAGGGGGTCGAAGAGGTAGGGAGGTTCCAGGGAGTGAATGGATTTGAATACGAGCGAGAGGATATTGAAGTCAATCCGTTCGGTGATGGGAAGCCAGTGGCGCCTGGGCCAGAACTGATGAGATGTGGTACCTACTTACTCCTAAGAAAACAGAGGCGTGTGGAGCAAGGAAAGTTGCCTCAGGTTTCAGGTACAAGTTTGAACCCACAACCTCTTGTCTTGGGAGGTGAGAGCACGAACCCCCCTCCCCCCCAACAAACAAACCCAACAGCTAATTCTGTGAGGCGTACAGCAGCGTCTCACCAAATAGCCATGGAGTGAGTGAGGGAGAAAGGGGCGGGAAGAGACTAAATTAATTTAATTAAGGAAGTCTCTTCGCTCAAAGCTCTCTCTCTGTCTCTTCCTCTCTCGTGATCTTGTGGAAAACCCATTAATTGGGTCTCGTGGAACCACACTGCCTCAGGACTTGATCACTCGTTTCAGAGCCACAGCCCAGTCCAGCGCGTGATCAATGATTAGAATCATAGAATCGTACAGCACAGAACGAGGACATTTGGCCCCAAATTTTTGCCCAGTATCCAAGTCCCTTTTGAAAGCTACTATTGAATCTGCTTGCACCACCTTTTCAGGCAGTGCATTCCAACTAACAACTCTCTGTGTAGTCTCCCCTCTGGTTCTTTTGCCGTTTATCTTAAAGCTGTGTCCTCTGGTTACCGACACACCCAACCGCCAGAGATAACAGTTTCTCCCTTGTTACTCTATCAAAACCCCTCATAATTGTGAACACCTCTATCAAATCCTCTTCGACCATGCTTCCGATCTCCCTGCTTCCCCCCCCCTTGCCCTCAACCGACCCTCAGCTCGGGTCCGAAACTCTGTCTGTCCAGCGCCTTGAGACGTCCTGCTGACGTGAAAGGCGCTAAATTAATGTAATTTTATTGTTGTTGTTAAATCTCCCCTCGATCTGCTCTGAGAAGAATTATCCCAGCCTTAAATGTGTCATTTTAACTGGAAATGACATTAAGATCATTAGATTACCTTGTGGCTGGCCAGTGGGTGGAGTTCAACACAGCGTAGTCTAGGCCAGGCAAGAGACACAACATTCATTTGCACTGAACGGCTGGGCTGTGACACTGATCACTCAAGTCACTTATGCAGGCGTCTAAAATACCCCGTAATCACACATGAGCAGCAACTTTCCAAAACAATATGAATATACAAAACGTACAGTCAATTCACTTTACAGAATATGCTGTGAGATGTCTCGAAGACATGATAAGGTGCTATAATCAAGTGCAAGGATTATTGTTTTATATTATTGTAATAATAATTAAATACATCAGCAGCAGCCTTGCATTAGACACATGGCCTGTCCACGTCATCGAGACATCTCACAGCGCTTCACAGGATTACTGTAAACTTTAGTGACTATTCATTACTCCACACTCCTCTGTTTACTCTGTTCAGTAAGTAGGATCCCGGTTGTTGGTCGATTGGCAGATGCTTTTCTGGGGGTAATAATCCCTTGAAAAATAATAATTTGGCTCTCAATCCCCGACTGTTTGTGGGACGTTGCTGTGCACAATTGGCTGCCAATGATTAGAATCACAGAATCGCACAGCACAGGAGGAGGACATTTGGCCCCAAATCTTTGCCCATTCCCCCTTTTCAAGTAAGTATTTCACCCACAAAATAGTCAGTCAATTCATTTTACAGTGTATCCTGTGAAGCGCTTTGAGACGTCTCAACGACGTGATAAGGCGCTGCATCAAATGCCAGGATTATTATTATAGGCTGGTTACCCTTTAACCTCGGGGCTCAGAGATACAAACAGCAAACTGTCGCCTCATTCCAAACTATCAGCTGACTCTACTCAGGAGATTGTTCCGATTACAACAGCCCAACCTACACAAAGCAGAGCGAGCGAGCGGTGGGGGGGGGGTGTGTATGGGCGTGTGTATGTTACACACCGAAACCCTGAGGCAGTGACACTCACTCTCTCTCCTCGACTGCTGTGCAGGCAAAACGTGTTAGCGAGCGAGGGTTACAAGGCCACTGGCTGGTAAACATGGTCTGTGAGACAGTCGGCCTAGGGACCCCCTCCCACCACCCCCTGCAATGCTGCTCTCTCTCAAGGTCAGACAGTAGTTTATCTCGCATCAGAACTCAGCAACACTCTCTGTGCTAAACCCACCCACACGGCCCTTATTTTGTTTCTATAACTTCTTGCATTTACACAGCGCCCTTCACGCTGGGCAGCGCCCCAAAGCGCTCGACAGTGGTGGAGACCGGTGCTGAGCTGGGTGGGGGGGGGTTTGGGAGGAGGAGTACAAATCCCTGACCGGCCAGCTCCTTGGGACGTCCTCCCGATGTGAAAGATGCTGTGAAAATGTGACGAGAGCCTGGCGAGGACTGGGGCTACAGAGGGGCATAATCTCCAGCCGCTCATCAACCGAAGGGTTTGACCGGTGCTGTAACTCGCTCCCCACCTTGCCCAAAAAACAGTCATTACACCTCGCATTGCTGGGAACTGGGATGTCAGCTATCTTCCAGGCGACACCTTAAACTGAGGCCTCGTTTGTGTCAGTTCAGGCGGTCGCTAAAAACCAAGGCAAAGCTGTTGGGAAAAGAGAAGGGAGTTTCTTTCTCTCCCATCACCACACCCCCCCACCACCACCCGGGTCATTGACCCCAGGGTTTTTTTCGGGGACATTGCTGTGCGTAAATAGGCTGTTGCGATCACCCACAAAACACACAGTCACTGAACTTTACAGAAAACTGAAGCTTTTTTGCCACACAAAGGGTTAGATCAAAAACAAAGATTGTTCACTGCTACTTACATATGATATTTAAAAGGGACACATTTGCAAACGTATACGGGGAAGATAAAAGGCAGGTAAGTGGGACTGAATGGACTGCTCCTTCACAGAGGCAGTACAGACACGATGGGCCGAAGGGCCTCCTTCTGTGGTGTAACGTTTGATGGGTCTAAGGGTCCTTTGCCAATAACCTGCATGTATATTGACCCTTTCCTGGGTGGGTCAGGGTGAAACCTTAGGCAAGTTCTCTCACTCCACACACACGCCTCTGTTTACCCGGCATTAAATAGGAACCCGGTTGTTAGTCGATTGACGGATCGATTTCCAGAGATAATAATAATCCCCTAAAAAAAAATGCGGTCACTCAATCCCCGACTGTTTGTGGGACTCTGCTGTGCGCAACTGGCTGCCGCGTTTTGCCCACAAAATACAGTCACTACACTTTACACTGTATTCTGTGATGCTTCATTGTTTTGAGACGTCTCAATGATATGACGCTACAGGAAACGCAAGGGCTTTTTATTGTTATTTTATAATTATCGTTATTACAGCGCGCCGCTGGGCTGGAGGGCGGAGGTGGGAGGAGCGAACAGTCTCATTGTGATCTAAGCGCTTAATATCCTTTGAAGAGCTGTGAGACGTCTCGACGACATGATAAGGCGCTACAGCTATGTCAAATCAAAGGGTTGTTATTGTAATTAAGATTCAGAGCAGGATTCACGCTGGTCTCGGTGACAATTCATCGCTGCACCGCAGGATAAGGGAGATGGTCACGGGATTAAAAAAAAACATATAGGAATCCCACCGCCCACCCACCCACCCCCTCACACACGCACACGCACACCTCACCACCAAACCCAACAGTGCCGTCAAGTAATCGTAACCCTTATAGTAAAATACGAAGCGAGATTAGGAATGTTTTGAAAGATTAAAAAAAAAGAAGATAAAACGGTTATTTTTATCCGTGGACCGTGAGGAGGGGGACAGCCCGTCGGCCGCCGGCACAGGCGGAAAAGGGATTTATTTTTTATTTTTACACAGTTAATTTTTTTCATTTTTTAAAAAAAAAATGACCATTTTCTGATAGGGTCTGTGTGGGAGTGGGTGATGGGGGAGGGAGGGAGGGGGGGAGGTGGGGGGGGGGAGTGGGGGATGAAAAGATCCCTTTAAATCAAAAGGTCTCTCGTTAAAACTTTGAAACTCTCGTGAAGCAAAATCACTAAACAAAAACAGATTGGACTTGAAACTCTGTGTCCACTTTGAAGGTTGAGGATACATTGTATCCCCTCAATCTCTCAATCACTGTACACACAGTGCACACACACACACAGAGACAGAGAGACACACACACAGACACACACACACACACACACACACAGACAGAGAGACACACACAGAGACAGAGAGACACACACACACACACACACACACAGAGACACACACACACACAGAGACAGAGAGACACACACACACACAAGACAGAGAGACACACACACAGACACACACACACACACACACACACACAGACAGAGAGACACACACACAGACACACACACACAGACAGAGAGACACACACACAGACAGACACATACAGAGAGACACACACAGACACACACACACACACACACAGAGACACACAGACAAACACATACACACAGACAGAGAGAGACACACACACAAAGACAGATACAGAGACACACACCGAGAGACACACACATACACAGACAGACACACACATACACAGACAGACAGACAGACAGACAGACAGACAGACAGACAGACACACACATACACAGACAGACAGACAGACAGACGGAGGCAGCAGTCGGTGCTGAGGAGCCGCTCACCTGCCAGGATGGCTTTCCCGGGGTGTGTCAGCTTAGTGCCCGGGGCCGGTGATGCTGCAGACAGACACCTCGGGCTGTGGAGAGGCGCGGACATAGCAATGCGGGTAACAGGGGCCTGACTGGGGGGGTCTGTGTGTGTGTGTGTGTGTGTATGTATGTATGTGTGTGTATATGTGTGTATATATGTGTGTGTATATGTATGTGTGTGTGTATATGTGTGTGTGTCGATATATGTGTGTGTATATGTGTGTGTGTGTGTGTGTGTATGTATGTGTGTGTGTGTGTAACAGACCACACAGACTCCTCTGTGGAGGAGCGGCTGAATGTGAGGCACAGACACACAGACACACAGACGGAGGTATCTCCGGGAGCTGTTGGTCTTCCAATTGTGGGAGGGAACAAATTGGGCTGAACTGTAGGGAGGGGTTATTTTTGGGGGGAGACGGTTTGTGGGGGTGTGGGGGCGAGGATCAAAAACTGAGCCTCTCTGATCCTTCCCACTGTCCCTCCCTCCTCACTCCCTCTGTCCCTCACTCCCTCTGTCCCTCACTCCCTCCCTGTCCCTCACTCCCTCTGTCCCTCACTCCCTCTGTCCCTCACTCCCTCTGTCCCTCACTCCCTCCCTCCTCACTCCCCCTCACTCCCTCTGTCCCTCCCTCCCTCTGTCCCTCACTCCCTCCCTCCTCACTCCCTCTGTCCCTCACTCCCTCCCTCCTCACTCCCTCTGTCCCTCACTCCCTCCCTCCTCACTCCCTCCCTCCTCACTCCCTCACTCCCTCCCCCCCCCTCAGGCCGCTCTCCAGCTCTGCTTCTGTGTAATGCTCAGAGAGAAACGCAACTGTCTGTGTGTCTCTCCCTCTCTGTGTGTCTCTGTGTCCCTCTCTGTGTGTCTCTGGTCCTCACTCCTCCCCCCAAATGACAGCTGAGGGCGGGACTGCAGTCGCCTCATTCCGCGTCACATCCTCACCATTGCTCTACAACACACAGCGGGGGCCGTGCAGACAAATGTGGAGAGAGCCCACAGCACCGCCCCCTCCCCAACATCCCCCCTCCCAACATCCCCCCTCCCCAACACCCCCCCTCCCCAACATCCCCCCCCCCTCCCCAACATCCCCCCCCAACATCCCCCCTCCCCAACACCCCCCCCCCAACATCCCCCCCTCCCCAACATCCCCCCTCCCCAACATCCCCCCAACATTCCCCCTCCCCAACACCCCCCTCCCCAACATCCCCCCAACATTCCCCCCTCCCCAACACCCTCCCCACCCAACCCCACCCCCTCCCCACCCAACCCCACCCCCTCCCCACCAACCCCACCCCCTCCCCACCCAACCCCACCCCCTCCCCACCAACCCACCCCCTCCCCAGCCAACCCCAACACCGTTGCCAAAAGAAGTCAGCAAATGCAAACTCCCTTCTCTTTTCAAATTAGTACCATATGGGATCTTTAACGTCCACGTGAACAGGTACAGACAGGGAGTGAGGTTTACATCTCACCAGAAGGACAGCACCTCCGACAATGCAACCCCCCACCCCCCCAACCCCCAGGCGTTACACTGGAAAGTCAGCTTAAACTAGGCGATTCTGACTCCTGACACCGGGCTTGAACCCACAACCTTCTGACTCAGAGGCAAGAGCACTACCGACTGAGCCAGGCTGACACAGATCAACTCTGCAATGGGGAGACTAACACAGTATCTCGGAGGGGGTGGGGGGAGAAAAGTCATTTCAAGAAAAGAGTTCACGTAGGCACTCAGCAATAATCACTTCAGTCCTTCAATACAATGGGACATCAGTTGCTTTCTTTGAGGGAATCACATCAGTTTGGGACAAGATTGGCAGCTGTATTTGTCCACAAACACAGAGTCACTGTAGTTGACGATATCTCCCTGTGAAGCGCTTTGAGGCAGAAACAACATCAAACATAAGGATTAAGATTGTAAGATCTCCAAAAGGCCACATGCAGTGTTGACCTCTTTGCTAACAGCACTGCCATCTCCTGGACCATTATATGAACAGCAAAGGCATTGCAAACATGAGACAACTATATCTATATCCCAATATCCCTCTGGAATTAAGGGGAAGAAACGCGTCAGGAGGAACCCGACACGGGGCAGAAATGAACTTACCTCCAGGAGCAGCAGAATCCTGGTGATTATCATTCAGTTGGAGTCAACCCGACTCCCCGGCGGAGGACACTTGAAGCTGGAATGCAGAAGCCGGGTTGGACTGCCCCCTCGTGTTGTGAACACTGAATCTGCTGAATGTTTTTGTGATCAACTGGATGTCCTCGACATAAGCGGAAACCCATCCCCGTTGCTTAGGAGTCTCTAAACCAAGCTGAGAATTCCCTGCATCCCACCTACACATGGAAATCCTAGAGATTGTTGGAATGGAATGCGCTCCCTCTCTCTCCGGAGGGACGCACCCTGCTTACCTAATTCCGGAAAGTCTTAGGTGCAGGTTGGCAAGAGCCAAGGCTTGGGGACCCCATAATGTGTGTTGGGGTAACTGCTCATGTCTAACCACCTAAAAACTGGGGGTAGGAATGTGGCCAAAGGCGCCATCGAAGAGGGTCTTGAGACGGACCTTGAAGGATGCAAGGGAGGGGGCAGGCAAAGGCACTGTGGAATACAGTTGCAAAGGTTGGAGGCAAAGAGGCTGAGAGGCCCGAAGCCAACTGTGTGGCAGCCGGGAGGGGGATGTGGACCAGGCCGGAGCCTGTCGAGCGGAGGGCGCAGAGAGGTCTGCAGAGCCTTCAGCCACTCTGCCTCCAACCTGTGGAATTCCATCCCCCAGTCACTCTGCCTTGCCCCCTCCTTAGCCTCCTTCAAGTCACTCAAGACCCTCCTCTTCGACCATGCCACCTGCCAACCCCCTTTCCCCCCCCAAACCCAGCTCGGGTCTGAAATGCTGTACTCTGTCCAGCACCTTGGGATGTCCACCCAACGTGAAAGGCGCTATACAAATATAATCTTGTTGTTGTTGTATGGAGGTCACAGAGGCATCCTGGGATAAGTTGACGTTTGGTTTCAAGCAGATAATGATCACTTGAGCTGAGCTTCTCTCTTTGGTCTAAAGGCTAACAATATGACCATCAACTGCTATCTTGGCTGAAGTCACTTACACAGCAATTGTCCATAGGTCAAACATCAGAGCTTTATCCCGTTCTCTATCGTGGCTGGTTGCAGTCGGCTCGAGAGGCTTGAAAGCAATCAGCACACCTCCAGAGATTAGATAGTGGAGGCTGCTCTCGGAGGGGAGGGAGGTGTGACTGGTAGTAATGTTAGCGCCAAGGGTAGGGTTCACACAGTATCCTGGCTGCCTGATATTGCTGCATCTAGAACTAGACTCAGCATTTATAATATAAAATGTTGAAACATCCCCAAAGTGCTGCCCTTACACTCGTCAATTGCAAAATTTGCACACAGTAAGGTCCCACAAACAGGCACAAAGTGAACAACCACTTTATATTCATCTTTACCCAGGCCACTCGGAAAAACTCGTGACAGGCAGTCATCCGACAGATGGGACCTCGGTTTAACAGCCAGGACTCCACTCCAGAATCCATTGAATCTCGTGTCCCAGGAATAGTCAGTACCTCCATTTATACAAAGAACGCACTAGGCAATGAATTACTGAACAAGGACGGTAATGAGAACTGTAAACTTTATTTATCCTTCCGATGGCATGACATGTGTGGGTAGCAAGGGGAAGTCAAATGCACATCCATTAGTGAACTTGTACAGTCATAGCATTAACAATACCTTCCATATAAGATTTATCCATTATAAACAGCACAATTTCCTCTCAACTCTTTGCCACCTGCATGACCATCCTTGTTTGTTATCAGACTAACCCCACGCTCACTCAATCGTTACGTGGTCCCCAGCAGCCCCACTAAACCCTGCTTGACGACAGTCGAACAGCCAGATGTGCCTTGTTCAAGATCGAAGAAAAAAAATACACAAAGACTTCAACCACACATCGATGACTGACATTCGGTTTACAGTCTTATCAGACCCAATATGCATGATTTTAAACTTATCATAAATTTTACATTAGGTACATAAAATGGTGGCTATTAAATCGAATAGTGGCACACATACACATACACCCACTTTGACATTTCAGGGTGCAATTCACATGAAAGTTCCCTCTGATAGAAACCCAACCCTTTTGTTGTGTGAGGAGCCCAGACCCAAGTTCAGTGCTGTGCCAATAAAGCAATGTTTGTGTGTGCTCCTTCCAACCTCCATCGTTCGCGTTCCATAAGAATAATTTGGCAACACATGCAGATACCAGCAGTAACGCAGCACCTCCTTCAGTAAGGTCAAACTCCACAGGCAATATTTAAACGCTACCTTTTTTTATTCGTATCATTATCGTGTGTTAAACTAAGGTTAAACTGTACATTACACAGTCCGTACATTGCACTAAAGAGCTGCCGACTTTATAAAGGCGGCTCGATCTAGCGGAAAAAATTTACCAAATTCGATAAACCAGTTAATAATACTAGTCTTCATCTAACTCAAGTCAGTGCCTTTTTAAACTTTCCTAAATACAATTAAAAAAAGCTACACACTCTGAAAGTTGAAATGTAACAATGTAATAATAAATAACAGCAACAAGAAGTCCTTTATAAATCTTCATGCGGCAGAGGGAGGGAGGGAGGGAGGGAGTGTTCAGCTATACGGAGAGGGCATACAATTCCATGAAGACTTGGGAGGAGGGAATTGGGGAGCGGTGGGGGAAGAGGGTAATAAAGCAAGGGTATTGCTGAAGACTGATGACATCTACATGTTATAGCCATAGGCAGGCTGGGGGTAACCAGGGGTGTAACCATACGCATAACCGGGTTGAGGGGGAACTGGAGTGGTGCCTGCCGTCAACATCAACTGCTGACCTGGAATCAGAAAGTCACGCACAACACACAAGAAAGAGAGAAAATAACAGTTTAACGTTTCAGATTAATGCCCCCAAACACTCATGAACCAAAGAAAGAAAGAACGACACTGATTAGGTTTGTTAGATCAACTGCTGAGAAACATGCATGTTCAAGTCTATAGAACATGCACGACGAGTTATTTCAGCTCAATACGCCACTAAGTCCCAACAGAGAAAGACAGAAGCTGACGTACACTAACGTGGATTGTGTGAGTGAAGACATTAGTTTACACACAACTAGAACCTACCGAAGCTACAGAGTCTTAAAACGCTTCAGACGTGCAGCATATTTCCAACTTACTGGTTGAATAAATCTGCTGCTCAAGATGTCCAGCTTTCCATCTCCTAATTTTCCCCTTCAAAAGACAGATGACTCATGTGGGATATTGCTCCGCAGAGACTAACTGCCACTGGTACCCCACACACCACTACCTGACGTGCACTCGGATGGAAAGCATTGGCAGTCTATTGAACCACAGAGCATTACAGAGACTCATCTATCCAGTACCCAGTGATCCTGGGTGGGGGAAGAAACTCCTGGCTTATTCTCTCCCCCTAACCCCTCTCTCCCCATCTCAAGGGCCACAGTCACCAGGATCTGACCTGAACTCAGCCATCTTGAGCCCAGGGACCTCAGGAATGGAATGGGAACCCAACATGGAATTGGGCACTTTCAATGAGAACGGATTGATCCTATATCAGGGAGAGTCTGGCTTGTGGCCAGTTTGTGTTCTGAGGACTTCATTCAGGGTATTATCCAACACTTTAGATCAACACAGGACTTTTTTTTAAAAAATTGTATTGCTAGAAGAGCCTTTAAAAAGGCCATTTCCATGGCGTCTCTGGAGCAAGGCTGACAATGTAAAGTAGTGGCTATGGTGAAGGGAAATGGAACACCTGGCCTCCGCGAGTCCACTTTGGTCCCTGGGCAAACAATGAATGTTGTAGTCAGTGATTCACACGCCCATGCTTGTAAACTATAGGGCTGGCAACACAATCCATTTTACAGTATATCCTGTGAAGCGCTTTGAGACATCTCCTCGACGTGATAAGGCACTATATCAAATGCGAGGATTATCATTATTTATTATAACTGGGAAATGGACCCAAGTGCACTTCCATTTTCCCAAACCCAGCACCACCCTGGCACCTCGACTTCCTACACCAACACGAGTCCAGTTGTGGCTGAACTAAGGGAACCTACCAAATACAAGTGGGGCTGGTTCCGTCACTTGTTCTTCCTCCTTCCGTAAAGAATCTGAAGCGTCGAGTTTGTCCACCTAAGGTTTAAAGTAAATGCATGAAAATATCGTGATGGACAAAATTTTAAAAAAATTGAAGATTGCCATTTTTTTAAAAAAGCTGGGGCCACACCTCAACGTGCCAACCATTATCTCATTGCTGATTAAAACTACTCCATTTGAAAGAATATTTTCAATCTGTACATTCAGGACATTTATCTATGTTTGATCATTGTACAGTACTAAATAACCCCAATATACTGAAGTGGAACGAAAGACACTTGGAAGGACTACTAATAGTGTTAGATACCCAATATGCAATGTACTGGTCTTGAGCTCTGAACAACAATAAAAATACAAGCAATTGGCAAAAGCTAGGAAAATCGTCAAAACTGCAACCAGCATAAGTGTTGTGATGTACGCACACTCACACACAGTAAGCAGGATTCTGCAAAGAAAGCCAGCCAGATTGTTTGATGTTTCAAGAACAGCTAACCTATTTGCTAATGGTACTCAAGTTTGTTGCCTATTGGGGTAATGAACTGAACGGAGGCTGTGAAGCAGCATATACCAGTAAGAAAAGCTCTGCCCCCGAGGGCAGTTTCCACCCTGAGCCTCTCACATACAAGAGCCAAAATGCACTGTTCTATTGTACCAGAGGAAGCTTTTAGATGCAAGTCATGTATGTGATCACATCTATAGGGAGTGTTATCTTACAGCTGGCAAGTCAGTTTAGTAACAAGACATTTTGTTAATATTCCTTTCTGAAACACACGATGAGAAGTTATCAGGTTTAAATGCGTTTAATCTCGTTAAGTAGAACTGGGCTAGTTAGTTAGCAATCAAGACAAGCAAGCGGTTAAAACTAGACTAAAAAGGCCCATCAAATCTAGAGATTAACCAATAACTACACTAGTTACAGGCATCATCACCGGGTTAATCTCCCTCTGCACTGAGTGCGAGGATTCAGAGCTCCAGAGGGAGTTTAGACTATGTTAGAAAGAGCAGATTTGTCACCTTTTCCATTAATTGATCAACCTGTAAGAAAATTCAGAGTGAAACTTCAGACCTGCGGCAAGGTGCACAGTGTGTCACAGGAATTTGTAAAAACACAGAAGTCACGATTCCATGCAGAGTTTGAGTTAACTTTTAAAATTTTTTGTTTTGGGAAAATAAATTAATGTAAAACTTCAAACGTGTGACTGCTACACAAGTGTCACTTATTCTATAGGGTCATCCATGCCTGTGTCACTCAATCCCCGACTGTTTGTGGGACACTGCTGTGCGCAATTGGTTGCCTGGTTTTGCCCACAAAATACAGTCACTACACTTGCCAGTATATTCTCTGAAGCGCTTTGGGACGTGGGACATCCTCCCGACGTGAAAGGGGCTATTCAAATGTAATTTTGTTGTTGTCTCAATGACACGATAAGGCGCTATATCAAATGCAAGAATTATTTTATCTATTATTACTGGGACTTGTTAAAAGGCAGCCAATAGAAGTCGCTGTAGCATTGAAGTATTCTCCGTGGGCATTAAACTCCACACTGACTTCTGATCATTGTTTACTGAAGAGTTCAAACCCAAATAGCGTTGTGTCTTGCTGGTTTGATCAGTTCACATGGCCACAAGCTCTCCCCTACAGCCACCATGGGCACACACTGAGAACAGCAATCGTGAACCCCAAATGCCAATCCATCAGTCCATCAACCTCCCACTGAAGCCTTGCGGGCGGGACAAGCCAGGCTTACACATGGTTTGACATGGATTTTTTTCCTTAAAAAAAAGCTGTCTTTGATTGAAGTACTTCAGCTCACTAGCATTGGCTAAAGACTAATAACTTTGGAATACCCCTCCCCATCTGTGGTGTTCAGCGTTAATAATAATTACAATTAATCAGTGTGAGTGAAGATCCAACCTCCAGCCTTTGTTATTTCCTCTGCACTAATTCACTCTGCATTTGAGCTGTGGTACTGATGAAACTAGGGCTAAGACAGCTGGCTGACTCTGACTAGAGGCAAGTGGGCTGCAATCTATCTTTGCCCTAGAGATGCATCCATTAGCAAATGGTAAATATATCATAACTACACCAGTTTCTAAAGAGCAAGTGTAAAGAGAATGTAGATTTAAAGGTTTTCCTCTACCCCACCTTCCACCAACAACTGATGGCAACATGATCATTCAAAAATCTCGTTAACTTAAAGCCCTTTATGGTTGAACATCAAGAACGATTTAAACAATGCAGACTTAAGCAGACGAGAATTGGAATATTTCCAACCCACTTACTTTGGTAAGGTATTCCCTCATGACTTGAATAAAGTAAGGCATTGCAAAGTCCATGATGTTGTGCCTCCAAGAGAGCTCCAGAACCACATCTGGCCGTAACATGTCGTAGCAGGTGAACAGGCAGGAGGCAAAGCACTCGCGTTTCTCCTCTTCCAGGAACCACTGCAGCAGTTTCTCCGAGAGCTCGGTGTCCTTGGATTCGGCTGCGTATTGCATGGCGTCCTGCAGTGCAGTAAGCCATTTGATTACTCAGTTATATTTCATACAATCTTATAGCATAGAAAGAGGCCATTCGGCCCATCGTGCCGGCTCTTTGAAAGAGCTAACAACTAGCCCTGCAGTTTTTTCCTTTCTAAATACCTATCCACTACCCTTTTGAAAACTATTATCGAATCCGTTTCCACCACCCTTTCAGGCTCTGCATTCCAGATCATAACAATTCTATATTTACTATACTCCAAGGGACAAAACATAAGCGTTACTGCAATCTGGAACTAGATGGCGGGGGGGGGGGGGGAGTGTGGGAAGAGAGGTGTGAACACAGGTTTGGAGGTATGAGGAAGTTTTAAAGCCAATACCAATAAGAATCTCTAGAGAGGGTAACTAACGGCTAGACCAGGTTAGCAAGAGGACGGTAGAAAGGCAGGAATTTTATTGGGATGATAGGGTGGGTATTCAGGAGGGGCGAGAATCAAATGGTGTGACTCATTAGTGAAAATAAACTTGCCTTGTACAGACGGTCTTTCTTGCACAGCTCCACGCTTTGTTTCCAGCGATTGTTGCCTTTGTAGAGGTAAGCGGCAATGCGCCTGAATTCAATCAATTCGTGCTTCTCCAGGCGCTGGGCTAAGCTAATGTTGTCAAAGTTATCGTAGGCATCGATGGACGTTCGCAAGCCCTGCGTTTTAGAGAAAAAAAGATTTAAATATCAAATTTATCCACCAGAAAATGCATCAGTGAATCACAACATGAGTCACTGAAGAGTGTGATTAGCAACATCCTTTGCTGTAATGTTTATCAAACATCACAACAGATATTTACCACCTCCGCAATGGTGCAGATTGAATACCAGCTCAGTTCTGACTGAGTGAGGTAGAGGGCAGCCATTCATTCAAAACGTTACAAAATCTTTCACCACTGGTTACACAATGTAATCTGGGAATCAGGATTCACATCTACCTTAGCTCAGAACAATAAACTTACATTTTAGATCTTAGCTTGATACAAACTGCTGCCTACAGTAAAACAAGCTATGCCAAATTTATATCCTCCACAGTATGTGAGGTTGAGTGCAGAAAAGTGTCCAGCTAAGAAATGATAGACAGGCCCTGCTGAGAGGCAGCATTAGAAAGCCAATTAATACTGACAAGTCAAAACACCTTTAAAACACTGGCTATGGGGTCTAGCAGTGATGACACACTGAGGTTGCCTTGTTAAATACGCTTATTCACGGAAGGATCATCTGGCGAGCTGTCCCTATGTCAACATCCTCAATAGACAACTGTGAAATGTGGGTACGTACATAAAGTTAGCTTACTCCCATTCTAACCCCAACCCCCAACTCGGTGCCAAGCTCTGCCACGGTTAAGCGCTCCGAGACGCTTCCCCACATGAAGGGCGCTATATAAATGCAATGGGGGAGGGGAGATAAGCATCTGGACTCATAGTTAGTATTAGATGGGCAGGTACAAATCTCTCATTTACACAATGATTACTACACCATTACCTGGTAATCTTCCTCTTCGGTCAGTAGGTTGTTGAGAGCTTCGTTCACAGATTTGTTGTTGTGACTCTGGACTGAACGCAAGTATGGTTTAATGTGCTGCAACTGATTTGCCTGTAAATCAAAAATGGGATTACCAAGCAAGTATATCACACTGACGCCATCAACTGATGCACTGAACATATCATTTCACAATGTCATCATCGTGTCTTAGGTACAATATATTCTCACCTTACTGAAAAACGTGACTGCCCTGGTATGGTCCAGACGTGGTGACAAGACCATCAAGAGATCGTTGATCAACAACGGCTTGAAGTCTAAATAGAACTGCAGAGCTTTGTAATACAACTCTACATTTGCCACCTGGCAGGAAGAGAAGAGACAGCTATTAGCAATAACACTTACATCGAGTATAGCACCTTTCATGTTAGGAGATCCCAAAACACCTCACAGGATGTACTGAAAAGTGGAGTGACTGTTTTGTGGGCAAAGATGGCAGTCAGGAATGCCCTATGAACAGCTATGGATTGAGAAACTGATTTTATTGGGGGGTTGTTAGCCCGGACACCAGGAGAGGAACTCCCTTCTCTTTTCCAATAATGCTTTGGGATCTTTAATGTACGCTTGAACAGGCAGACCCGACCTCAGTTTAACATCTCATCTGAAGGAAGGCACCTCCAAAAATGAGGTATATGTCCAGCATTGCATTGAAACGTCTGTTTAGATTATGACTCCCGTCTGGATGTGGGGATTGAACCTAAAATCGAGTATTAACAACTGAGTCAGGCTGACACAAGGTAAACGCGTTAGCCACATTTAGATAGAACATTTAGTCACTACACAATCATTGTAACTGCTCGTCAAGTTCGATTGTTAAAATGAAAACAGATTCCAGCACAGAAATGATTTGGAAGAGTAACAGTTGATGTCATGAGCGCTAGCAAATTCATGTGCTGACTAACAATTAGCAATTACCTTTGCAATAATGTCCTTGAATTGTCCTTCCTTCCAAGCGTCTGTTGGGTGACTCATCATAGTGATGATTGCATTGTCGTACTCCTCATATTTCTCATACAGAAAGACTAGCTCAGCCCACAGATGGGCTTGCTCTGCAGCCCGCAGGACCTGGAGCAAAAAGGCAGAGTCAACATTGTGCCCAGCAGTTAACAACATCAATTTCAATTAAACACAGATTCCTGTATCAAGAACGATAACACACCCAGTTACACAAGTGTCACATCTGCAAATAACACTTGAATTTGCATTATCACATCACTGAGACGTTCAAAGCGCTTCACAGAATATATATTGTAAAGTGTAGTAACTGTATTTTGTGGGCGGAACGCGGCAGCCAATTGTGCTCAGCAGTTTAATTATTTTTATAATTTCATTAGAAGTCTCGGAATTGCATCAAACTTCGAGTCTACTATTCCTTCACTGACGAATATATTAACTGTACACTCACAGGGTCATTCCTCACCCCAAACCAGAAATTAAAAAAATACAGAGTTTGTCTCATTTGGCACTTTTCAAACGCACACAAGTTTCCCTGAATTCAGCTTTGGTCAAACGGTAAGATCTCAACATTTATACAAACAAACTGCTAAATCCCTTACATAAGGACAGTGACACTACCGTATAAACCCATGATGAGGTTAGTCTCAAAGCACAATTTATAACCCTCCATCTCTGCAACAATATAAGTGGCTAAATCTGCTGACACCTCAAGTACTGCAAAGCCAATCAATCTCCTAGTATTTCAAGACAGTCTTAAACAAGTCAAAGGTTTTTTTGTCTAGGATATACAGACAGAGACAGACAAATGGAGATAGCACCTCAGACATTTAAGACATCCAGGAAGACAGCGAAATGCATTCAAATACCTTGGGAATGTTGACTCTGGACCAGAAGAGTTCCAAGTGCTCTCTCATCTTCTGAGGCTTAAACTTAGAGTACAGGATGGCCAGCTCCGTGAACATTCCCATGTGAGCCCGCTCCAAGCCCAATGCTGCCTCCAGCAGAGAGATCAGCTCCTCAAAGTAGCCACGATCCTAGTAAGGAAATTCAGCTAAGTATTGAAAACCGTATTGTGGATACACACCATTACGCAAGCCTTTCCTGCCTTTATTTCTTCATATTCAGAGACTGAACACAATGAATCCTGCTACATAAAGGGACAATTACAGTCGGTCCAGCCAGTATTGCCTCTAAGTACAGAAGAAAGATCAGGAATGAGAGAAGGTCATTCAGTCTGATTTCCATGATACCTACCACCAATCATACACCTAACGCTCATCAACTGCGCTTTAATAGTAGAATTCTTTTAGGCGCATTAAGCTAATTTCTTCACAAGGTCTGTCTGGATAAAGGCCCTTCAGCCCATCTGATCTCATCCCTCCAGACACCCACTCTATTGACCCCCAACCCCACCATCAAGACACTTTTTAAACCGAGTCCCAATGTTTTGGTTTCTACTAGCTTTCCTGGCAACCTGAAGAAAAAACTCCCACTGCAAAGGCATGCAGCACTAATATCAGTATAGAGGCCCTCAATTTCTATCGTAAGGCAAGTGAGATAACTTGGAGTATACAGCACTGAAGAAGGGCATTACCTGGTAGTAACTGATCAGCTCCTCCAGCTCATCTGCATGGATGACGATGTGCAGGCCACATAACTGGGCCAGGCGGAATTCCTGGCCGTCTACACACGCAAAACAGACCTGGAGAGAGGGAGCGCGGCATGAGAGTTAGTTAAACTGGCAATTAAACAAGCTGACAAGTTTCTGACATGGCTAGCCATATTTATATGTCCAGGTTGAAAGACATTTAGTTTAAACCAAGTGAGCAACTAGGTCACCGATCATTACCAGTATAACATGTTATTCACAAACTGATGCCCACCAGAACTATTTATGGATATTTTAAGTGTTTGCGGATTAAAGGCTGAACAGTGTAGGTTATCACAGGTTGCTCCTGGTTCCACCCAGTCCTGCCTGCCCCCTCTTACCTCTTTCCAAGTCCTGGTGCTATTGGCTTTGCGAGCACTGTCCACAGCGGCCTGATACTCTCCCAGGTGGACCAGAGTGGAGGCCAGACGGGCAAAGTTGGAGACGTTGTTGTAAAGCAGCTTGGCTGCGTCGTACATGCCATCCTCATAGCAGCGATCACCAACCTTAACAAGGCAAGTGATTGAAACCAATTAAAAATCCACAGACCAGCAATCACTGCAACATAATGACATTACACCCAAGAACCTAATAACTATAGAAGAACCGAAGATCTACATTCAATTACATGGGGTCAGGTTGGTCTGTTATGGTGACCTTTTAAGCATCAGTGCCAGATAAACCCACAACTAAATGTAATAGATCCCACAAAGCAGCAGCATTAACAGATGTTCGATACACCATCAACACTTTAAAACATTTTTTAGACGATCAAAGTGAATCACATTCTCAGCCACCCAGTTACACAGCACAACTAGAACACAAACGTCAAAGAGCTGAGCAAGAGAGTTTACTTTAACCTCTTACTCTCTGGCTTAACACCAAAAGAGAACAGAATTTAACAGCATCGCTGCTCCATTTAAAATGTCCGTGCCACCAGGTACAGAAACTACAACAGAATTAAGTCTTAAATTTAAAAGACCAAGTTATCCAAGCAAGTGTAAGTTACACCTATTGGGGACTCGGGAATATTTGTCAGGCTATCACCAACGTGCAAACCAACCCAGTTACAATGCACTTTGGTACAGCGGACACTGACTGGTCGGCTTCCTGCGCTGTTGACACCACGAAGGAAGTGACATTAGCAGCAACCTCACAGACATGCTTTAGTTCGCCCCGTTATAATGCAGGTCAGAGTTCACACACTTCTTGAACCTTTGTGGAACAGGGGCCACAGCCTGGTATTTTATTAATTAACAACAACAAAATTACATTGATAGAGCGCCTTTCACGTCGGGAGGACGTCCCAAGGCACTGACCGCAGATTTAAACAGGGCTCACTGTGGGATAAGGCTACTCCTTTGTAACCGCAGGACAACAGCCTGGCATGATATTAAAAAGGGAAGCTGAAAGTAATGAAGTGTGAGTTATTACTTGCTGAATGTGGGCATTGTTGGGCCCATTAACAAACTCCTCCAGTTCAGAGAGACGGTTAGTTTTCGCCAAAGCAAATATCAGCTCAGTCTCCACGTAGGATTCCTTGGCTTTCTTTCTAGCCATTTGCAGAAACTTCACCAGATCCTCCCAGTTATCTGGAAGAGTCAAAATACGCATGTCCAGTTCACTCAAAAAACATTACACATGAATTAACTCCCAGCAAGTCATTCAGGGTCAAAGAACGATTGTAAATTTAATGGCGAAGGCTTGGAAGCCTGATCTATTTCAAGCATTTTGAAATAAAGTGTATGTATGCAAAAAGTGTATGGAGAAGACAAACAATTAAGCAGGGGATGAGAGAGAGGGAGAAAGAAAGAAAAGGAAGGAAGCCTAGATTCTCATGTCGATAGACTAAATCAGGAGATTAGGGTACATTAAGAATCAAAATTCAATACTTGATCCCATTTTTAAGCACTTTCACATCTCAAGAAATAAGTGATAATATTCCTTGCATTTGGTGTAGCGCCTTTCAAATCAGGAGGACGTCCCAAAGCACTCCACAGCATGTACTGCCTATTTCTTCGGCAAACGTGACAGCCAATTTACCCACACCAACATCCCATAAACAGCCGAGAAAGGATTGCCTTTTTTTAGATATAAATATGGGTGATTGTTGACCAGGATAACCAGGAGAAAGTGCTAAGTAAAATTCCTAGTTCTCATATTCTCAGCCCAAACTGCAGGGGGTAGTACTCACTGTTCTTGTTGGCTGCTTTGACAACCTCCATGTAGGCGGACGGGTCATCAGCTTGATGTAGGAGTCAATGGCCTCTTTCACCATGTCCTTCTGCAGCTGTGCCCTGGCTAGTTGACTCCACACAGCTGGCTCATTGCAACGCTCTGCAAACTCATAGGCACGATCGAGGTTCCCAATGTGCTCAATCAAAACCTAAAGACGCCAAGCGAAGAGAGTCAGCGAGTAATTGAACATACACTGCATTTTTGAATCACTATTCATTCTGAAAGTTGGAATCCAGTTGAACCTGGATTTCAGGAAAAGCCAATTGTATGCAAGCAGTATTAGAACATGCAAGTGTGGAGATCAGTAAACAAGGTCAATACAATCAATCTTGCAGGTCACCTAGAATGTATGGGCACTTAAACAATTTGATTTCTCTCCCTAATTGGTTGCCAATTCTAAGATTTCTCTCCCCCCGTCCACCCCCCCAACCAGGACAAAAGCAAATTAAAATGAATTCATTTCTCAAGCAGAGGGAGCCCCTGGATTATAGGAGTCTCATTCTGAATTCCTGGATGGCAGCCAAACTCCTTACACATTGCATTTTTTCTCCTCATCAAAGTCAGGCTCTTGCAGAGATGAACAGAGTGCTGACTAAGGCAGATTTTGCATGAAGCGCTCATCCCTTCCTGGCACAAATTCTCAAGCAAGTTACAGTAGCCGTTTAAAGTGGAGGTAGATAAACTTGCAGTTGGGGGGGGGGGGTTCTCAACCACCTTCAATTTGTGCAATTAACAATAACATCCATTGAAAGAAAGTTTAGGTTAAATGGGAAAATATCTAAATACGAGTCAGCTTTATTAAACAAATCCAGGCGGATTTGCTGGCCAGTGCACTTTTGGCCATTTTTATGCTTCCACAGCCCAATTCTATCCTTTCCCCGGCTATATAATAGGCTTGCTGATCAATAAAGAATGCCAGGAATACCTATGCGGTCTCGCTCACCTGCACTGCGGAGGTATTCACGTCAAACTTTCGGAAGATTGCGAAGGCCTCTTCGAAGAGTTCGTTACTAATGGCGATGTTGGCAATATCAGGGGCATCGTAGTTGTCCAGGCGATTGATATACTCCATAACACGGGTACGATCTGCTTTAATAGCTGTGAGAATCAGGAGGTTCTGCAGGTTCCTGTACAGCAGAGAGAAGATCTTAACACCTCTAAACAAAACAAGATTAGTCCTGACTGTTAACTATCTTGAAATGTTGTGTGCACGGGGGTAATTTCAGTATCATGTACAATTTTTAGTTATAGCTTCCTGCTTTCTCCATTTATCACCTATCTTTAACACAACATTTTGCCCACAAAACAGTCAATTCACTTTAAAATATATCCTGTGAAGTGCATTTGAGACGTCTCACGGATGTGATAAGACTATATTAAATGCAAGGATTGTTATTATTATAAGCGGACTGCTTTAACTTTAATAGCAAATTCTACATAGCTTAATATTATATCTACTTTCTGCAAATGGGGGGAAAAGAAATTATCAAGCCTGGGCAACCCAAATCTACGCACCAGGTTTCCTACCTGTGCTCACTAAACACATTGTTGTCCAACACTATCTTCTCCAGCAGTTCAATCAGCTCATTTGGCAGGTCTGCAGTCATAAACGCCTTCACGGTAACAGACACTTCCTCTGGATCCTGTGTCTCTGACAGTGCCGTCTGTACAACCTAACAACAACAACAAGATTCCATTTATTGAGCGCCTTTCACAGGAGGTGTTAGTGCAAATACACATGCAGCACGAACAGCATTTCAAGAGATAATTAAAAGACCCCACAGTCTACAATTGCCAAGCTCCTATTCCTACCTGTGCTATAAAGTGAAGGCATTGGTGAAAAAGAAACCAGACAATGGATAGTTCTTCCAAACCCAATGCTGAGAAACTTTTCCAGCTAAGCTGGGAAATTGTCCTTGGGGGCAAACTGATGACTCATTTTAATCAGTATTTAAGGAACAAGTTAATGCCACTGCAATTCTAAATACTTAACACGTAGTACACACTATTTTGCGTTTCGCCCACAAAATGTAGTCAATTCACTTAAGTGTAGATTCTGAAGTGCTCTGAGACAAACTGACGACATGATAAGGCGATATATCAAATGCAAGGTAAGCCAATAGTATATTTAACACGTGGAAGCCAATGCAAAAGCAAGCCAAATATTGAAAGGCCCACATTAACCAGTGGCAGACTGCTAGCTTGGTTGCATGTGTAGGGCTTGCAATATACCGCTAGTTTAACCTAATGGAACAAGCTGAATGGAAGCCAATCTCAGTCCAGGAATGAATGAATGAATATCCCCGACCTGAATTTGACTTGCGCAAAGAAAGTGTTGTACGACTATAATGTAACCTTGAAACATACAAAGGAGAATACCTGGTCAATCAGTTGGCGCCTGTAGGGATTGTTCTCTTCCAGGACGCTAGCCCAAAGGTCTGGATCCTTCCTCCGCACAAGATATCGAGCCTCACTTTTGAAGAGAGAATTTTCATTGCAAACCTAGAGATAGGAAATGCCATTCCTTTAACAAGGTGGTGGTATACAATGTAAAATAAAGAGCAGACATTCTACATTAGATATTGCACACACACTTTTTCCATTCGATCCACTGGTACTATACAAGTTATCCTGCCCAATTGTTCAAAGCTTTGTTAAGAAGCATTTATATTTGAACAAAAGAGTTTTACTGAACAAGATGTTCTGTTCAGGTTTTACCTTTCAGAACTCCATGGTAAAACAGACAACCTTATAATTCAATGTTAACAATGCCAATTCATAAAACTGCCTAAAAGCAATCTCATACTGGGGAATAAGATTGTCAGAGGTTCCCCTCATACCTTAATCACGGCATGAACTAACTTGTTAGCACTTAGCCTTCATTCAATACAGTCTGAATATAATCTTCAATCTAACCTAAGGCAAACCAATAAATAAAAGGCACAAACCATGATAAGCTCCAGGTCGCACTGACCCCTTTCGTAAGCAACACAGGCCAAGTGCGGGTCTCTCTTCTCACAGTATTTACCGACCACACGGCTGTCATAGAAAGGGTTGTCACGTAGGAAGCGTTCAGGGTTGTTGTTGCTGTCGATGTAGATCTTAGCCAAAGCATTGTGGGTAGCAGGCTCCTCACAACCTTCGTGAATTCTGGCTTCCAACCACGGGAGCAGCAGCTTTAACCTGTAACAGCAACTTACATTTATACAGCACTTTTCATGCGAGGAGGCATCTCGGAGCACTATAGCACAAGCACCCAATATATACACACACTAGGACCTTAGCACTGTAATATAAATTTACATTTCCCAGGACCTTTCACAATATCTGATCATTAATAGCCTTGAGGAGTGTAACCTGCACCAGATGTCTGTGTTTATCCTCCTACTAAAAGCAGCAATGTAAAGCTGCTGACCTGTTTCTCTTCTCCACTTCAGCCACTAGTTCATCAGTGGAAAACTGCCCGCGGACAACAGTGATGAGGTTTTTAATGACATCTTCTGAGCAGTCCACATCGAGCAGGCCACCGATCACCACTGGCAGTCGGCTTGGGTTCACCTGGACACAAGGAGATTTACAGTGAGCACCGTCAGATGATCAAACCATGATAAACAAAACAGCACTGAAGCTAATCAGCCCCCTCTTCCTTTTCAAGAGCTTCACCCGTCACTCAGTAGGTGTTTTGACCCGAGAATTTTGTAGGGAGAATACTATTCAGTTTATTGCTATTTATTTAGCTCACCATCCATGGCAGGACAATTTTGCCCCAGTAAAAAGTACAATGTCTCACAGTCTTTAACTGTGCCACAGGAGTGCTACAGCTGGAGAATTCAGATCTGGATGGGTTAACACATTCCATGCAGCTTCAGAGAATGTTACCATGTTACCTCCAATCAGCTTGCTCAGGGAAAGTGAATGACCAATTTTATCCTGGGGGCTTGTTGACCAGGCCATTGGGAGAGAGAGAAAAATTCCCTTCTCTTTGCCTTTATCCTCGAAGTACATTTAGACAGTTGCATTCACCTTCTGAACATAGATCTCAATGTACTTCTGCAGGTTGTTGCGATAGAGATACAGAACCAGGTCGTGGACAAAGTCGAATCGGTCGCACACAATGATCAGCGGGAGCTGATCTGTCAACTTGGCTTCCTGTCAAGGGAAAAAAAACAGTATATCAGCCACTGCATTTTGCACCCTGTCTCATTACCAATCCAGTTTCACGCCTCACGGGAAGTTTTCATTAACAAAGCAGTGTACGATGAAATCAGATTCAGACGAAGAGACACATTAACAGATACAGTGAAGCAAACAACCACCAGCCCCTCAACGCGTTGAGGAAACAGCCATTTTAAATACCTTTAAGAAGTTCTTCACACGGTCCGAATCGTAGCAGTTGCTCTCACGACATATACGCTCAACCTCCTTGATCTGCCCTGTCTTGCAGGCAGCCTGAATGTACTTAAAGTGAACATCCGGTTCCTGGCTGAAGTTCACAATGGATCCGAGAAAATAGAAGAGCCCTAATTGGGGGGATGGAGAGAGAGAGAGAGAGAGAAGCTAACAACATATCAGCATTCAAACATCACAGCTTAACTGTTCATTATTCTAAATGTGCATCTGGACTCTTATTTTAGAGCAGTATTAGTCTTTCCACCAGTAAACAAACGATAATCTTCTCTCATGGTATCAGATTGTACAACAACAAAACTGGGCGTTTGGCCCAACTATTCCATACCAGTGTTTAGCCTTCACCCCTCCTATGCCTCTCTCATCCCCTTCTGCCTCATTCATGCATCAAGTTTCCTCTTAAATCACTGATATTGTCTGCTTCAATTGATCCTGGCTGTGAATTTCTGTACCCACCTTAAAATAAGCTTTAGTTGAGGGAACTTGCAATGATGGAACAATCATGCGGCCATAAGGTCACGTTCTGGGCAATATAGACAAGGGTGAACAATCCAGCTCAATGGCAATTTCTCACTCAGCTTTCCTGCGCCAAAGTCTTACCTTCATAGCTCTTGAAGGACTCAAAAAGCTCTACCAAGGATTGGGTGCCAAGCTGTTCATGGTACTTGGATGCTACCTGCACACAGAGCTGCAAATTCTGGCGAATATTAGAGGACAACATAGCACGCAGGCACTCTAGAGAATCCTCCACTGATAAGGCACCAAAAAAGTTCACAAGCCACTGGGGGAAAAAAAGACAAAGACAAAATAAGTCAACTTCAATGGACATCTCTTAAGAGAACGACTGAAGTCACATGATCTCTCCAAGCTAATATAAAACACATCCTTCATTGTCACAAACAAAGCTAGCACTTCCAATTTCAAACAGATTTCTTTATGAAAGAATGCAATCCCGATGTCTACAATAATGGCAATAATCTTGGACTACTGCCTTTTGTTGCCAGTTCAGTTAACAGACGAAACTTAGAGAGAAACAGACGAACCTGACGAACTAGAGAAAGAGAAGGCAAAAATCAAAAACCCAGGACTTCACTCACGTCGTACCTCAGGGTTCAGAAGGTGAGTGTGGACAACTGCTCGCTTAATGTCGTACAGATCAGTGTAGTGCTCTAGAGCCCTCTGCAGTAGGCCTGCCTTCTCACACAGCTGTGCAATGTGGGCACGGTCATAGTGGGTGAACATCTGGTTCCCAAGGATTGCATCAGCGACCTGAAAAATAAATTGTATTGGAACACATTCGAGTAGTGGAAGTGTTTCAAAATAGCCAACAGGAGCTACACACATACCATTCCTTTACAGGTCAGGTAGAACAGCTGTACAAATATAGGTAATCCAAACGAATAGTCAAGCTAGACACTCTGTTTTTCAATGAGTTAAGACTTGGAAGACATTTAAAAGTGTCTTTTGTTGTTTGGCCTTCAAATTGTGTAGCTGTGACCTGCTTGATGCACCAAGGCCATTATGTCACTAAGACAATATTAATGGTCCCCCCCAATATTTGATTATCCCACTGGATTTCAATTGATATTTTAGGACCAATACAAATACACACACCACTTACTAAAAACATCCCTCCAAGCCACGACTATTCCTGTATAATTCAGTGGCACAGCAAGTTGTTAGTGTACACCAGTAACACTCCTACCTGGGGTGCATGAATCAGATTCATTTCAAGGAGACGAGTCTGCAGGTGGCCCTCCGATGGCCTGTTATTTTTCAATGCGTCCAACAGGAAAGACGTGCATTGTTGGATTAGGTTGTTCTCCATAAAAACATCCACAATCTGTATAAAAAAAACCTAAGACATTTAATCTCTGGAATTTGTACCATTTCTCCATTTCCACACTGTTAACTATCAACTTTCAGCTCACACTAGGCGTTAACATTGGTTGAAGCCAGTTTCTAATTCATGGCAAAAGTCAATTCCTCTAAGAAACATGCACAAAACCTAATTGCTGTACAATTACTAAACATTGTGTTTTTTTAAAAAAAGTTATTTTGAAGCAAACATTACCATTCCTACCACTAAGCATTTGAGCTTTGCGTAGTTCCGAGAAAGCAAGATAGGGCAGTTTGGTTTAATTGAATTCCTACATTGCCTCCCCTCTCTAGCGCCTCTGTAACTCGAGTACAACCAAGTCAAGCATTTTATATAACTGAACAGCTCAGCGGGATTTGCAGTCATAATTGTACAAACAATAACACAAATTCAGGCTAGAACCATCCTGAATAGTTTTAATATCAAGATAACAATGCATAAAGTCAGCTCAGAAATTAGTTTAACATTTTAAAGCCACTTCAACTCTCTCACTCTGACCTCTTCATCCATGGTCTCCTATGCTGTTTCAATGAGCCACAGTGCAAGCTTGAGGAACAACACCTCATTTATCTGCTGGGGACCTTACAGCCCTCTGGCCTCGATATCGATTTCAACAATTTCAGACCATAAGAGCTCACCTTCCCTCTCCCCCTCTTCTGTGACCATCACATCACCTGGGTCCCAGACATACCTTTTCTCTCTCTGGTCTGCCTATTTTGTTTTTCCCCCACTTTGTTTTGCATTGTTAACACCTCTACCCCCCTGTTTTGTTGCACAACCCCCCCAACTTTGTGTTCCACCATTAACACTGCTTTAACCTATCAACCCCTGTCCTCTAACTCATTTTCTCCTTTGTCTTTCTTGCCCTGCCTCCCCCTGTTAGCCCTTAAAAGCCTCTCCCTCCCAACATGCCCCAGTTCTGACAAAGGGTCGTGGACCCGAAACGTTGACTCGCTTTCCTTTCTCCATAGATGCTGCCTGACCCGCTGAGTGTACCAACCACTTCTATTTTTCTTTAACATTTGAAAGGATTTTTTGAAAAAATTCTGAGCAAAGAGGCTAAGGAATCTGAAGAGAAATTAGCTCAATACAGAGTGAAAAAAAAACGCAAGTTCAGTCAGACAGTCAATCGAATTTCTATTTCAGACTAGCTGGGAGCGAAAGATTAATTTTCCAGATTGTCTATTCCACCCACACTTCACAGGCAATACTGAGCCGAGTCCAAGAAAATCCCTGGCTCAAAGGCACACCTGGAAGGAAATCAATGAGTCAGGAATGACTCAGCAACACCACATCCTCAAATCCCAATCTCAGCATAACAAACGCACAGAAGTCAACACTGTACATTTGAGCAGGTTTTGAATTGAGAATACCCAACACAAGGTGAACCTAGGTAGGTTTACTGACCTGATTGATGTTAGCGAGAGGCTCATCGTCCTGAACAAGCATCTGAGCAAATTGGAGCCCTTGGTCTGGGCTGACCCGCATGACATTTCTCAGGAGAAAGACCCAGTCTGGAGTGTAACCAACCTACACCAGGAAAAGCACCAATACACAAAGTTCAGGTCTTCGCTATAAAGTCAGTGTGAAGTTGATGGTTTCAGCACATTAATTTGATATAGCAGCTTTGAAATCAGGTTGCATTCTAATCACTTGATCCCCAAAAACATGATTCCAGGACCTCTAAATTGGCAACTGCTTCCTTCCTCTATTCTGGTGGAAGTGACCTGACCACTCCCTCAAAGCTTTATGTACACAACTCCCTTTTTTTGGGTACATAACCTGTTAGGTCAAACCGTGGAACCTATTCAAAAAGTCAATCTATTGCCTTGTTATCTATCTTGCTTTATTTGTACAGAAGATGGATTCAACCTTTAACTAGTATAAAAGTGCAGAAGTGTAAATAAAAAAAAACTACTTCATTTGCGGGCACCACAGTTCTGGGACTAAGGGAAAGTTAGACAGTGAAAGGCAACATTCAGGCTACTTAATGTAAAATTACATTTTTAGCAGCTTCTGAAATGCCCATTGGAAGCAAATTGTACATCTAATGAACAAGACACTCGCACCCAGAGAGTTAAAGTTTGAATACTGCATAGTCCGTATATTCTGTGAAGCACCTTGAAACGTCTCAATGACATGATAAGGCGCTACATCAAATGCAAGGAATATTATTATTATTACAGTTGAAGACACATACCTTCTTTGCATAAAGAACAATTTTCTGGAATTGTCCAGTCTCTGCAAAGCATTGTATGACCTTGTTTGGCACATTGGCTCGAAGATAGACACTTAAAGCCAGGGTAGGGTCTGCGGTCTTCACCAGGTCTCCAAGCTCTTCTGAACACTCCAACTAGAGAAAAGGGAGCAAGACTGTATGAGACACCACCAAGCTGGGCAGAAAACAGCACAGACCCATTATGAAATGCCACAAAAAAATGGTGCTTTGTCAATTTTACACCAAATTTTATAAAGTAGTTAAATCTATCCAAATCTCGGTCAGGGGAAGTTACCTTATCTTCTTTCAGCCACTTTTCCAGCAGTTGCTTGCGGCCCTGTTGCAGGACTGGCCGGCAGAGCTCCAGCGATTCGAACTTGTTCAGCTGTCCCTGATCAAGGAGAATTCCGAAATACTGCAGCAGAGGGGAAGCTTGCCCTGGCTGGGCTGGCACAGTCTGGAATTTCCTGATTGTGTCAGGAGTACGCAGAATACCCTATAGTTAAAACAGCAGCATGTTTAATAGCTGCATGGTAATCCCAGTTCAGAAACCAATTCCCTGTGATATTGGAGACATTAGCCCACTGGAGACTTTACATTAGTTTCTTTTAAAACTAAGCTATTCACATCCTATGCTTTGCCACCAAGCTCACACTTGCACAGTGCACCATCACAGCATTCAAGTACATGAAATGTACTGTTCACTGCAGACATGTAGCCTATACCTTTCAAAAGGATCCATTTTGGCAGTCAAATTACAATATCTATCCCATTCTAGCAAGCAATGGGCAAACTGGTTTCTCCTCATTTTACACAGCAAAGTTGACCTTCGGAGCAAACACATTCCACTTGAAACAACGAGTCCTGTTATCAACTGTAGAATAGGGCAACCTTGAAGCCAGACCTTCAAGCTCAAGATAAATTGTATTGCAGTAACCTTGGAACTGCAGTTAAAGCTCAGTACTGAGAGCAAACACTACATGTTAAGCACTAGAAGCTTAAGACACCTGATTTAGCAGACCATGTAAAGGCAAGTACCTTTGGTGCAGATGCTGCCACTTTAGCAGCTTCTGAATAGCTTCCCTGTGCAAACAAGGTGTTAAATTTTCGAGCAAAGAGCTCCTCAGCACCAGCCAGATTGCTTCTCACAGCCATACGCAAGGCCAAGTCAGGATTCTGGAGCACATTAGTGGCATAATTGACAATGTTTTCTTCCTCCACACAGACAGACAGCACCTGCAAAGAACACAACTTCAATACAACAGCCTTACATTGAATACACTGAAAACAATACACTGAACTGTAAGAAGTCTGCAAACTATACCTGCAGGAGAGATTGGCACCACATACATGTTTCAGATGTGTAGTCTATACCTTTAAAGAGCTCCAGTGGCAGGTGAAACTACCAGATCTACCTCATTCCATACATAGTGTAGCGTTCATAGTCTATTAAAGCCCTTCAAATAATACCCAACTTTGGACTCAGTTTACTTCATTATCCAGCCCAGAGACACACTGTAACAAACACTGCATTTAGAACAGAACACGCTGCATGGAAAGGGTTTTTAGACAGAACTGATCGCAACATTACTACAAGAATTTATTTTTTTTAAAAACTTCCACATTTATCTCACATTAAAGCACGGCTTTAATCTCTACAGTCTTCACCGACAACATACCTGCCCTTTCTTGTTGACTCCAATAATCCCAGAAGTAGGTTCGTGAGGAGCGGTCACAAAAATGGTCTCTGCACTGATACGATTCATGTAGATGCAAGCACCAGACTCCAGGTCATACAGGTGGATGTAGCCATACTTGGTGATCAAGTATATAACGCCATGCTTAGCTCCAATCTAAATACACAATGCACTGCAAATAAGATAAGGTCTCTTACTTACTCTTTAAAACAGTTTTAAAAAACTCAATCCACGGCTCTTTGTGGGACCCTGCTGTGTGCAATTGGCTGCTGCGTTTCCCCCCACAAAACACAGTCAATCCACTTTACAATATATACTGTGAAGCGCTTTGAGACGTCTCAACTGCGTGATAAGGCGCTATATCAAATGAAAGAATTATTATTATTACTACTAATTCAAGTGCACAACGTAAGAAAATGTCTGGATTTCTTCCAGATTTCCCCCCGCCCACCTCTCCACCAACCACAAACAGCAGATTAAATGCTTACCTGCATTGCTACTGGGAAATCAGTCTGAGCTTCGGGAGGGAAAAACACATCCACTGCTTTCTTTGAGAAAGGCTGATTCCCAGCCGGTGGCTGCCCCACTTCTATTATATGCAGCTGAAAGGCACATTACACATCAGTTTAATGCTAGTGCAAGTACCAATATAAGGTAGACAAGGCTTTCAAATGCAATCCTAACTGCACAATTTGGATGCATTAAATGCAAAAAATAATTAAATCCAAAAAATAATTTTCTGCAAATAATGCAGAATAAACAGGCGGCAGGGCATCAAATTGAGCAGTTCTGCAGACCCCTTATCCCATTTCGCTCCAGGCCGTCGATTTACCTTCCCTCCAGCTTGGCTGCGGACAGCAAAGCAGAATAGGGTCGATGGTGCTGGATTCTCTTCGGTCTTGAAGTCAGCGAAAGCTGCAGCATGCCCCTCAATAGGCTGGGAGACCTTCCTCTCCACTGAATACAGCTGCATTGCTCCCACCACCCGATTTTGCTGAGGAGTCAAGAGCAAAATAAGGAATATTTTAAGCAAAGTTGAAAGCCAGCATTTGTAGCCACAACAACAAATTACATTTGTATATCGCCTTTCACGTCGGGAAGACGTCCCAAGGTGCTTGGCAGTCAGGGATTTCCAGACATCCATTCGTTTGGCTCTTTTCAAAGCTGAAATTCTGCTCCCTGTCATTTTAAGACACTTAAGAAATTTGCAGTAGGAAGGAAGGCCATTCGGCCCATCGCACGTGCTGGTTCTTTTTAGTCCCATTCACCCCTTCCCCATACCCCTGCAGTTTACCCCTTTTTAGATATTTATCCATTTACTTAAAGCTCAAAATATTTCCTTGCACTAAAAGTTATAATAATCCTTGCATATGATATAGTGCCTTATCACGTCATTAAGACGTCCCAAAGTTATGCATTAAATTGGTAAACGCAGAGATATTTTATTTTTAGTAGCCAGCTCTCAGAAATGGATGAAAATCTTTTGGCTAAAGTGATTCTGTAACGAGAATCCACTGACGTTCACTATAAGCTGATCCCAGAGTTACACAATTAAAATGAAATACCCAGATGAGCTCTCTACAATAATCTATCTACCTGAGCAGAAATTCCGATTAGAAGCAACCACTTCTGCTGATGGTCTGTCCTGTAGTTAATGACCTGGCAACCCGCCAAACTTGCGTGTCTGTCAAACATCTTCTGCGGCTGAGAGTCGCCTTCCATGCTCCAATGGAAGACCGCAGTCTCAGTTACCAGGGCGACAGTGTTCACAGAGATCCACTTCCAGAACATCACTTCTTCTGTCATTGTGTGCGCTTTCACTTTACTCTTCATCTCAATGTTAAAGATCTGAAGGGTTTTCCCAGCTGGTATATGAACAGAGAACACACACACACAAAACAGGCTTACCAATACATTGACATTCTAGCATCTCTCCTCTCCCCCCATCCCCCCAATACAAACACAGGCATTAGTGTCTAATTACACACACTACCTGCATTAACAAATGTAGATCGAGTCCCTGAAGACCCAGGTTAAAGTGCGGTGGAATAAAAAAATTGGGAGGAATAATTGAGAATTGGATTGTGCAGGGCCTGCAGATACTGATAATGGTCAGCTAGTTCTGCTCTGAATAGGCTGGTCTCTTCCTCCCCATTCAGCATTAACATGTACCTGTCAAACCGGGAGGTTAGGTCTTCTTCCATTTTCCGTATAACAGGGTATCAATTTTAAGTTTACTCACTCTAGATGGCCTCAAAAGTGCCAGTGAATCTGGCGTGAAACACTGAGCCTGAGTTGGTGTTGGTTTAATTAGCATGTTTCAACTCAGTTGGCTAGCACTTAATTTAATAAAATTTGTGTACACCCAGCTTAGTTTTATTGAATAGACAGGTGAAATTATTCTTTAACTATATTGGCTAATATTAGTATTAATAACTGTAGTTTCGATAATAACCCCGGCAGCATATTTAGGCCCCGTTAAATTTTTAACCTAAACTCAATGCGAAAGCCATTGAAATGCGATTCACATCCTAGGTCAGTGAAAGAATCTGAATCCAATTGTCAAAGTGTTGCGGCCACATTCACTAGTTTGAGCTAGTGCACACAAGGAGCTACTTCCACCACACTGACACATATTTATCTACAAAGCACCACAGTAATTAATTCATAGTTATGCCCTCCAGAGCCTGTTTAGATATAACCTTGTTCCATTTCAATCAAACACGTACAGCGAGACAATGATGCACCATTACAAGCCGATCGATCGCTGCATGCTAATCCTAACTATGCAAGCTTCAAGCTTTACATTACAATATATAATTATGTTAAAGCATCAACATTGAAAGTGAAACAGGATCCTTTATTCACTTAGGCAGGTAATGCTTTTAAGATACAAAAAACCTATCTAGACCAGGAATACAATGAAAGCTAACTGCAGCAGTTACACGGCAAAGATGCACATTCCTTACATCATATTCACACTGCACAAGAACGAAGAAGAGCTGAGATCCAGAGAACACTGAAAAGCACAAAACATGCACTAGTAAAAGGGTCTCTCAAATACACAAACCAAATGGCTTTATTTAATGAAATCACTGCCCTGATCACATAACAATGATCAGTTGAGGGTGGAGAAGGAGAAAAGACAAGAGTCCTGGCTGGGGGGAGAAATAAGAGAGGAAAGAGAGAGNAAAAACAACCAACAGACCAGGAAGCCAGTTTTCCTGCAGCTGCTCAACAGGCCAAAGCAGTGGATACTGCAGCAAGCCATCAGTTAGGCTCAGCACCCACTGTCGTTTTACTGAAGCTAATGGGCAGCACTAACTGAGGCCACTTCATCCAAGCCATCTCACTCAACCCTGCCAAGTACTCACAATCATTAGCATTCCTCTAGGTTTGATGTTGTACTGTAAAGATCTGTACGCTTTTAAGGACGTGCGCTAAGATAGGTTTCAGGAACTGAGGTTTGTCCTGGCTGACAATACTTAACAGGTAAAGGTTTTCTCCATTCAAAATCTGCATAATTTCTAACCAGATGTAATTTAAACAGTGCCCATAGCAGTCAATGTGGTTAGTTTTAGAGAAGACCCAGTTACTACAGACAGAACTGCCAAGAGAAAGAGAGAGAGAGAGACAAAAAGAGAAAAGGGAGGAGCTGCCAAGAAACACAGAAAAACTCACCATCTGAATTGAGACAAGAATGAGGGAAGAGAAGTACGCAGTCAGTAACAGAAAAGAAAAGCAGTATAGTATAGATGTGAGAAGTTAGAATAACTTGTGCCCAAACCTGAAAGCATATAGGTTATGTCGTTAGCGCTTACTAGCAAAGCTGTGTTGGCGATATGCAAGACAAGGATTGTGCCATTTCAGCAACATTTGTGTTCATTTTGCAGGAGATTAATAATACCTTTCAGAGCAATCACTTTGCTGGCTGGGTTCATAATGACGCTGTCTGCAGATATTGGACGTCTGATGGGATTTGTTGGGTCACTTAGATCAATGACAACAACCTGGGCCTGTTCACCCACCTTCTCACGGATGCAGATGAATTTATCAGATTCCATGGTAAGGGTACTGAACCCTATGTTGGCTGGATTCACTCCTTGGTTTTGGAGCTGAAAGACAGAGTACAGATTGCGATTCAGACCAGCGGTTCAGCTATTAAAAGCTTCGAGCAAACTTTTTGTGCTCCGACATGCGACAATATTCAACCTGGTAAATTAAACAGTCCCCCAGTAATTAACAACCTAACCTAGAACTGCTAGTATATAGATGCCAATATGGCAATGTAGGAAAATGACAGAAGAATATGTTTTTTGGGGGAGTGGAAAAAGGAGAGGAAAAGTAAGTCACTTCAATGTTAGCTCTTCGCAATAACTGAATCTTAGGCCTTTGTGCTCAAGATGGAGGATATACAGTATATAAACCCTGGGATAATGGAACAGGTTCTCATTTTGAGTACCAACACCAGTATTGCGCACGCCCACATCAACTGGATGATGAAGCAATTGATGTCATCCAAGTTACTGCTTGGCCAGTTATTTCAATCCATAGACTGAAAAGCCTGCCTCCACAACATAGATCACTCATGAAGCAACCACCCCCCGGCCTCCCTCAGGGAGGGAGGAGTGCGGAAAGGAAGACAAGGGAAAGAATGCTACACATCTGCTTGACTGGATTCAGCACACTCACACACATACAATATATTATATATAATATATATAAATATATAATATAAACAGGAAATTGATCACAACTCAGCTGATTTACACAAGCAGAGTGAATCACGTCACTTGGCTCCTATGGTGACTGTTTTATTAGTCAAAATAGTGCAGCCAGTACATTGCTTTGGTATTTGGCCTACAGCATGTTGTTATGAAGACTGCAACTGCCACATTTTTCTGCAAGTCCCACGTCCAGTCCAAGTGAAACATATCAGGACCAAGCTAGTGCTTGGCATGAAATCAGTTCAAAGTTAAGCAGTTGGATCCACGCCTAGTGACACACCATTTATGCTCTACATAGCATACCAAGGACTCTCTTGCTTCAATGTTTCATGGGTTTTATCAGAAAGATTTTCTCCCTGGCTCTTCTCCCAAGAGCACCAAGTACTCCCAGGATGCAATGTCACAAGTATTAACAGTCCTTCCACTCTGTCTTATACACCATAGGTTAACCCAGCGATTGGTTTCCATGTCAACATTCATCCAAGCAGATTTACTCTTCATCCAGTTTACAATTCTGTAGGGGACATCTAGTTTGCTAGGGCCACACTGCCTATTCACTTGGGAGATATGAGGAGCTGGTTGGAAAATTAAGAACGCACCAACCCCAAGGTTCACCTCAGGACTGATGGCTAAACAGGCCCAGGTTAAGCAATTGGGGTGGACTTCAATTCAGACAAATACTAAAAAGCAATTCCATCTGTAACCCATTTGTAATTAGCCAACATACATACAAAGCCAGCTACTTCCCAACATCTGACTGTTCAGCGCTTTGGGACGTCCTCCCGACATGAAAAACGCTCTATAAATGTCATTTTGTTGTTGTTGATGTAACCATTGTACAGTTCTAAAATAAAGCTAGATTAGGAAAGGCAAAAAAAACACTTCAATAGATGGTCCTCCAATCCCCTGGCGCAGTGTGTGAATCATACATGATCTTGCATCACCACAAAAGGGCTGCTGAACAGTGCACAAGGTTAAATATGAAGACCCCCGTATTGGGAAAGATGCATTACAGTCTGTTATACAGTTCTCAAGGAACCACTTGTTTAAAGAGCTTTGCACGTTGCATCAAGCAGAAATAGTGCAAATTAGAAAAGGAAGTTCAGTACCCATAATAGTGAGTAGTAAGGGAAAAAATCCTTTTCATTCATTCCAAGATATGACCAAGGTCATGTGATTTTCTAGCCACTAGTTAGGCGGTCTGGGCACATTTTATTCAGGGAACCGTCCCTCAGTCAGGAGCTGAGAGCCATGTACACTCCTCATAACTCTTAATTTAAACCACGATCTAATCTGAATAACTACCCAGCAAGTATTATCCTACAAGCAGATTGCAAATCAGCGTTAACGTTCCTGTGCAGTTACAACAGTTCCAGTTTCGATAAACTTTACAACCCTCAGTGTCTGACATCTACCATAAAACAGTAATTAAGCCCGTGGTTTCATTTTGTGGCTTAAGATAACAAAACACAGACTTGGCTCATGTTTTAAGACCCGAGTCACTCAATGAGATTACTCTTTCGTAAAGAGCGAGATTTAAGAAGTCAAGCCCAGCCTAGAACTTCGATGTCAGTGACTAACTTTAGATTCAGATATCACTGGACAACACAGAGAATCTACATTTTCAGCACTGGACTTTCATGGAACACAAGTTGTACAACATGTGCCTTTCACAATCTGGTGCAGTCACTATCTGTAAAGTAATTTGCGAGGCCCCACTAATTGATATTGGCAATTTGATTAGCTGGTTGTTAGGATACCCAGGGCAATTGGAAGCTTCAAAGTAAATTGCTGAAATTCTTTCAAGCCAAACATTATAATTGTAGTGAGATTTAGGGTGAAACCGGGCACCCAATACTGTGAGAGAAAGATTCAAATTAACGAGAGACATTAAAACTTCAGTGAGTAATTGAAACAAAAACAATGCATCATTATCATAAAATAGAACACAAAGTTCCCATGAAATCATGTAAAATGGTGCATTATTCGATGAAATGAACCCAGAGAAGGAAGAAAGAGGTTGCTTATACCAGAGAAGAGCAAGTGAATTCCATTACGAGTCAGGAAACCGAAGCTTTAATAACCAGAACAAGGTTTGTATACATTTAATTCACTGTTGCAAGTCTACTTCACAGCATTTGAAACTTCATAATACCTTGAAGCAATCAATCAATAACCACTGCGACAAATGTTAACCTCGTGGGGGGGAGGGGGTGAAAAAGAAGAGAGAGGACGAGAACCGATATGGAATGAAAAAGTCAATCTACTCCATTCCAAACCAAGAATCTTTCTCTGAGCCATTTTGCCATGAAACTCCTGCATTCCTAGGAAATTCCCAAAGCCACAGTCCAGCTTTATTGGGGGGGGGGGAGTGGAAAAAAAGGGACAGAAAGAGCAGCTGCTGAACCCCTCATCAATCATTGATGGGGAAAAAGGCAGAGTAGGGGGGGGGGGGGCAGAGGGAGATAAACATATTCAGAGACAGCGAGGGGGAAGACAGTCAGACACAGGGAGAGGCAAGGATTCCCCCAGAGGGACTCACAGACACTGGGAAAAGCCACGGAGAGCCTCTCTCTCACCCCTCCCCCCCGGCCTACTACCCCCCCCACCCTCAGAACCCTTTCTCCCCCCCACCCTCAGGCCCCTCTCCCCCCCACCCTCAGGCCCCTCTCCCCCCCACCCTCAGGCCCCTCCCCCCCACCCTCAGGCTCTCCCCCCCCACCCTCAAGCCCCTCTCCCCCCCCCCCACCCTCAGGCCCCTCTCCCCCCCCCCACCCTCAGGCCCCTCTCACCCCCACCCTCAGGCCCCTCTCCCCCCCCCCACCCTCAGGCCCCTCTCCCCCCCCCCACCCTCAGACCCCTCTCCCCCCCCCCACCCTCAGGCCCCTCTCCCCCCCCCCACCCTCAGGCCCCTCTCCCCCCCCCCCACCCTCAGGCCCCTCTCCCCCCCCCCCACCCTCAGGCCCCTCCCCAACCTCAGGCCCCTCCCCCCCCTCAGGCCCCCCACCCTCAGGCCCTTCTCCCGCCCCCCCCCCACCCTCAGGCCCCTCTCCCCCCCCACACCCTCAGGCCCCTCTCCCCCCCCCACACCCTCAGGCCCCTCTCCCCCCCCCACCCTCAGGTCCCTCCCCCCCCTCCCACCCTCAGGCCCCTCTCCCCCCCCCCACCCTCCAGGCCCTTCTCCCCCCCCCCCCCCCCACCCTCAGGCCCCTCTCCCCCCCCCCCCACCCTCAGGCCCCTTTCCCCCCCCCACCCTCAGCCCCCCACCCTCAGGCCCCTCTCCCCCCACCCTCAGGCCCCTCTCCCCCCACCCTCAGGCCCCTCTCCCCCCACCCTCAGGCCCCTCTCCCCCCCCCCTCAGGCCCCTCTCCCCCCACCCTCAGGCCCCTTTCCCCCCCACCCTCAGGTCCCTCTCCATCAGAAGACGCGGTCCCGGGTGTCTGACCTGGAGATGCTCCTGGAAGCGGATGGGCAGTATCTGCGCCATGGCGACTGGTGTTGTGTGAGGAGCCGGTCAGTCTCTCTCTCTGTCTGTCTCTCGCTCTCAACGGCCGCCAGGCCTCCTTCCCGCCCAACTGACTGACGACCACCCCGACCAATCAGCGCCGCTCCCTCGCCTGCCGCCCGCCCCTCCGGCTGTGATGGACAGCCGCCTCAGCCAACCGCCGGCTGCTGGGTGTGTGATGGGCGGGACGGCGCTCGAGCTCTCAACGGTCGCCAGGTGCTGACTGACAGCCGTGCCGACCAATCAGCAAGGCGTCAGGCCGAGATCCCGCCCCGCCGCCTCTGATTGACGGCTACCGTCGCCAATCGCAACCGCCCATCCGCCCGTCGCTCCAGTTGACGGAGAGCGCCGCCAACCAATGGCGACTGTACGCCACGCCCACCGCGGCTACCCTCCGCCAATCGGCAAGCGCTCGCAGGGCGGGACCCGTTTCGGAGGGATTTTTAATAATGACTTCACGGTGCGCAGCCGGTGCACTCCGTCTACCCACCCAGAGCCACAGCCACCTCCGCCCTCGGGATATAGTCCCCCCACACAGAGACCTGTCACCAATGCAGAGGGGAAGCTCGGGATTTGCTGCATTGCTCTCAGTCCATGTTTTTATTTTTATTTTTCATTTATTTCCAAGGATTATTGTCCGGGCAAAACACCTGCCTGGGCAAACCGGAAAAATTATGTGATACAGATAATAATACCAGTAATAAAGTAATAATGATACTAATACTACCACTACTAATAATAATACTAATAATTATTCTAATAATAGTACTGCTAATAATGGTACTAATAATGATACTGATAATGATACTAATAATGATTCTAATAATAGTACTAATAATGGTACTAATAATATTACTAACAATGGTTCTAATAATATTACTAACAATGGTACTAATAATATTACTAACAATGGTTCTAATAGTATTACTAATAATGGTCCTAATAATATTACTAATAATAATCCTTGCATGTGATTTAGCGCCTCGCTGAGATGTTGAAAGCGCTTCACTGTAAAGTGGAGCGACTGTGCATTTTTATATATTTTGTCTTCATAGGTTTTCAAGCAGCGGCAGCAGCAACGAAGAGAAAGTAAATCCAACGAATAAATCAAAGGAACAGTTGCTACGATTTACTTATCTGTCCCTAAATACAACACAACACACACACACACACACACTGTTAGAGGAATCTGCAGCGACTGAAGGTACTTTGCTGCCACACAGTGCCCACACGATGCACTCGATGCATTGTGTTTCTCTGCTCAGTCCGTCTGTGCGTCAAGGACAGACGCGCGGTTTAATTCTGTCTCTTCTGTTGCAGTCTGGCTCTCAATGTGACCTTCCTTGTTATCTGTTCTGCCCAACGCCCGGCCCGGCCTTCAACCCAGAAACCCACACGTTTCTGTCTTGTAGTATAGCGGTTGGAGCGTTCACAAGCGAGAGGACCCGGGTTCGATCCCTGGGGGGGGGGCGAAACCTTAGGCAAGTTTCCTTAAACTACACGTCTCGGTTTACCAAGCAATAAGTTGGAGCCCGGTCGTTAGTCCATTGGTGGATCGCTTTTCCTGGGGTAATATTCCCTTCCAAGAAAAACTATCAATAATTTGGTCACTCAATCCAAGACTGGTTGTGGGACGCTGCTGCGCGCAATTGGTTGGCACGTTTCGTCCACACAATATACCATCACTACACTTATACGGTATATTCTGTGAAGTGTTCTGAGACGTGATAAGGCGCGGTATCAAATGCGAGGATTATTATTATTACCTTAAGTACTTTGTGTAATGCACCTGAATACCCAGTAGGCGGCAATATATGGTTACAGTGCAGTGAAGCGTTAGCATTCAGAGATTTCCACCTCAGAAGTCCATAAAGCAGATATTTGTGTGTCAGCCCGGCGCAGTGGGTAGCGCTCTCTCTCTCGCCTCGGAGTCAGAAGGTTGTGAGTTCAAGCCCCCACCTCGGGACGTGGAATCACACAGTCTAGGCTGATGTTCCAATGCAGTGCTGGGGGTGTGTTGCATTGTCGGAGATGGCGTCCTTCGGATTAGACGTTAAACCTCGGAGGTGAAAGCACTACCAATGGGTCTCAGTGTGTCTGGTCACCGTGCTCCATGTTTGAGTCAATCCAGTGATTGACAGACCGTGGAAATGAGCTGCTTTGCCCCTGATACCAGGGGGTAATGGGTTAAGTTACGCGGGCAGGCTGCATAAACTTGGTCTGTATTCCCTTCAGTTTAGAAGGTTGATTGATTGATTGATTGATAAACATAACATGGAGCAGGAGGAGGCCATTCAGCCCTTCGAGCCTGCCCCGCCATTCAATCATGGCTGATCTTCTAATTAACTCTGGCTAATAACCTGACGCTGCCTTATCCCCATATCCCTTAATCCCTTTTGCAATAAGAAATCCATCTATTGTTTTGCCAGGGCAGCTACAGAGAAACTATTTCCTCTGGTGGGTGGGGGCATCATCTTAAAATTAGAGCCAAGCCATTTAGGAGTGAAATCAGGAGGGAGTTTTTCCACACACGCAAAGGGGAGTGGAAATCTGGAACTCTCTCCCGCCCCCAAATTATGTCTTCTGTGAATTATGGCTGAATCCATTCAAATTTTCAAGACTGAGGTGGATAGATTTTGGTTGGGTGAGGGTATTGAGGGAGATGGTGCAAAGGCAGGTAATTAGACATGAGGTCCAGATCAGACACGATCTAATAGAATGGCGGAACAGGCTCGAAGGGCTGAATGGCTTCCTCCTGTTCCTATGAATTGTAGCGGGAGATTTCACTTGACTAATAACAAGTCAGTGATTCTGAGCCAGTTATCTGCTCACACGGGGAAAGTGAAAATTATTGAGATCGCTGGATTGGAAGAACATTGATGAATGACGTTGGCCCAAACGGCCTGCCTCGGGGAGAAGCCGTGTGATTTATACCTTTTGTCAGCATAATATTTTGCTCCTTACTGCTCCTGAGAGTGAGATGTGTTAATCTGAGTGTCAGGGCTCTCTCTTTGTCTCTTTCTATCTCTATCTGTCTCTCTCTTTCTCCTTCGTGCGCTCTCTCTCTGGCTCACTTCCAAATAGGATTTAAGCTGAAAACACATAAAATTCCCAGTGAATTCTACTTGATTTTTTTATTTCATTGCACATTACATTAACCATGTAAGCCAAAGCCCTGATGGGTGGGTGGTTCTAGCTGGACAAGCAGTGGGAAAGCTTGTCGGACAGCGCTCTCAATGGCCAGCTATGTGGTTTTAGGTGGAAGTTTTCTATTTTGGTCAGCCAGGTGTCTGACCCACGCAGAAACCCATCACGCACAGAGAAACAGATTACAACAACAATAATCTTGCATTCGATATAGCGCTTTATTACGTCATGTAGACGTCTCAAAGCGCTTCACAGGATATACTGTAAAGTGACTTGACTGTATATTTTGTGAGCGATGAGAGAGAGAGAGCAATAGAGAGAGAGAGAGTTTGGTCCAGGTTTCTCTCAAGACTGAGGTCTTCTTCCTTGAGTGAATGTCAGTCCCAGGTTATAAAACGACTTGTGAAGTGATTAGAAAGTGATTTACCAAATTCTTTGTGATGTCCTGAAAGCAAACTACGACAGGCTAATGTCTCGGCAACATTCGCGTGCTTTAACCCTTCGAGGAGCGCCGTTGGCAACAGACGTCAGAACATGTTCTTCCCACAGTCAACATGTACCTACATTGTTAGTGAGTGAGTTAGTGGGTTTGTCAGTCAGTCAGTCAGTCAATCATAATCCTCACAGTTGATGGAACGCCTTATCATATCGTCGAGACACCTGAAAGAGCTTTGTTGGGATTGACTGTGAAATGTAGTGACTGTGTGTGTGTGTGTGTGTGTGTGTGGAAGGGGAGCGTGGGTGGTGTGTGCAGGGCTCAGTGGCTGCCTGGTGGTCAGTGAGTTGCCCGGGGAGGTGGGGGGGGCAAGCTGGTTGACAGCTGTATTGTGGCCAGGTGATGGATGGACGAAGGGTGGGAGAGCTCATTGTGTGGGTCTGGGCTCTGTCCCTCTGCCCTCTCTGATCTTATCATCTCTCGGGCGATGCTCCCAGCTCAGAGAGGTGCTGACAAGCCACAAGCACACGTGAAACCCAATCCCTGGGGGTGTGGCGGGGGGGGAGGAGAGACTTCTACAGGACGAGCCCTCTCAAAAGGGTGATTTTTCACCTGGGTTCAATTGGCCTTTTATGTTATCAGTTCAGGACAATGTATCAGCCTCTTTCTCTCCTCTATTCAAACAGCAACTTGTGTGACTCAATCAAACAGCTTCAATTATCAGTTTGTATCTTGTCTATCTCTCTCTCTCTCTCTCTTCCCCGACCCCAATCCATCATGATTAGATCAAACCCGGCACCTTTTGTTTCCAACACCGATTACAAATCTTGACGACAGTAATTGCTGTATTTTAAAGACTCTTCCTCCCCAGTGCCCCAACCCCCACCTCTCTGTCCGTCCGAGAAATTTCAATTCCTAACCGACGATTCCCCCAATACCAATACGAGCCGAGAGCCCAGAGTGAGCTACGTCCGGAGTGAGGCGACGCCAGAGTGTGAGGGAATTTGGTGAGAGTGGGAATTAGGTGCAGAAAGCGAAGTGGGGGCAGGCTATATATCTTTGTATCTATATAAAGTTTGTGAAGATGGTGCGGCAGGTAAACTGCGAGGTCTGTCACATGTGGGAGTCAATGGAGGGCGCCTTAAGTCCGGGCGACTTCATCTGCTGCAAGTGTCTGGAAATCAGAGAGCTCCAGCTGAGAGTAGCTGAGCTGGAGTCTCAGGTGGAGACGCTGCGCAGCATTAGGGATGAAGAAAACTTCCTGGACAGCTTTATCCTGGAGCCGGACACTCCCCTGAATCCCAAGGAAGAAGAATTTAGCAGCGACGGACATGACTGGGTGACAGTCAGGCGGGCAGGCAAGCGTTCCCGAAAGAGAGGGGCTGAAGAATCCCAGACTTTAGCCTTGTCTGACAGGTATGAAATATTGGCAACCTGTGTGGACAAGGAAATCTGCGAGGAAGACAGGCAAACTGACCCCAACA